CTCAAATGAAATGTCTTTAACATGAAAGTGGGAGAATAGAGGGTGTGTTTGGAGAGAAGGTTTCAGAAAATTTAGGTTAGGGTTACTTATGTAAGTGTAGGGATTTTAGACAAATATTACGTTCCCTTTTTATATTAGAGCTAAGTACTATATATAAAAAGAACACATTTTGTGCTCTGATTATTAAAATACATATGATGCCAATCAATAAAGAAGAGCAAATGTAACCATCATGCATGCAGACGAACGTAACAGTGGAGAACTGTGAGGATGAAGTAATCTTAATTAGTATGGTGTTTCCTTTACATATGCCAAGAGAAATTAAGCAGGAGTGACACTGTGATCAGCCGGCTTAATATCCTTTTGAGTGACAGGTGTAATTCCACACGTATATGGAGTGAAAAATCCACCCACTAATAACCAAAAGTTCTAATTCAGATTAGTAATGGGAATGTCATTAGTTAAAGCTTAATTATGAAAGGACGGGCAGCATCAGCAGCGGGCTCCCCATTTTGGACGTCTATACCATCGGTCCAAGGGCCAAGGAAATTTTGGACGGTTCCATCTCAAGATCGTGACCCACTAAACAAAAAGAAACCGTGTATTATGTTCACGATCATTGTACATTAGAGTATATTCATAACATCATGTTAAATTTTCATACTACCATGGTATGATCTTATATACTACCAAGCATTACCACTATGGTATTGAGTGTTAATATACGTCTCAAATTTTTTGCTCCAAAATATATCTAAGTGAGTTCCAATTTGAAGAGCGCGATTCATATGCTTTTTTTATAATAATATGAAAGAGATATAGCTCGTTAAATTCAATTAAGAGAAAATTTATGACTGGTCAATAACCTTGAGTAAAATCGAAGGTATGACATACCTTGAGTAAAAAAATATGATATTTTGACCTTGAAATGACTGGAGTTTGGGACATGGTACTATCCCTTACCCTTAAAGATTAAACTCTAGGTCATAATTCTATAGATCTAATACCCTAAGATTAATTTAATTAGAAATAATAATCGATGGTCATGATTCTGTAAATACATCGAACAAATTATATGTACCATCTTAGTGTTTACAGTCTACGATTTAGATAATTAAAATATTTGGTCAACTCATCAAGGGTCAAGGTATAATACCATACCATAAGATCTTATTAATTCAAGGTATAGATACCATATTCTTACCGAGTTTATGCAATACCTTTGATTTTACTCAAGGTACGATAGAAGACCCCATAAATATGGCAACGTCTATCGTACACTAGGCAATCCCCTTCATATGCGTCCATCTCAACGGTCAGCATAACTGCGATAATTTATGTTAAAATCCCACAAAAAAAAGAACTCGCAATTATACTGACCGTTGAGATGGGTCGTTATGGAGATTGTCTGGTGTACGCTAGAACAATCCACATATATATGTTCTATGAGGAAGATACATTAGTGCTCTAATGACAACAACATACGTACTTCGGAACCTAATAACTCACTTCTTTCTCAATTCCTAAATGGGTATTTGTTCACTTCCAGTAATCTTAGAAATCTTATGTTATATGATAAATGTAATTTGTTCATGTAAAATCACTTTGATACTTTTCCAACATTACATTCTAGATCCATAAAAGAATCTTCTTAAATTCTTCATTTTTTTCTGTAAGCAACAAACTATTTTACAAAGCTCACTTGGAATTTCAATAATAGTCATATTACCAACATATTATGATATCATTGCTTAACCTTTATTCTAAATAACTATAAATCTCAACTAACACAAATGCGTGTAAAAAAATTCTTTCATACCATGAAAAACAAACGAAAAATATGTTACATACTCAACAAAGCATGCTCATAAGCCACAATTCATACATTAAAGTGAAACTATAAATTATAATACTCAAATCGTATATAAATGACACAATTGGACATGCACAATGCAAATTCTCTTATGCACTCTATCTAGATATGATCTTTTCATACTCATTCAACCCTTGTTTGTTAAGTGTACACTTATACGAGTCTTTCACATTCATCTATATTGCCCAATTCATACAAGGGATTGTCTCAGTCGATCGATATATATTATCGAGAACTTAACTGTTTGCTTCTAGAAAATTTATCCTTTAGGGTTTTTTATGACATCATCTTTAGGAGATTCAACAAATGGACTAGTACAACATATTTCAAATGTAAATTTAAAGCTTGACTTGTTAGAATTATTAAATTTTTAAAAGTAGTTGCATCCACCCCAGAAGAGTATGTCTCCTCTCAAATAATGATGGGTCACATTGAGAAATCTATTTCAACACATTGTGTTGTCTCTCACAATTTCATAGTTTTTATTAGCACAACGAAAACTCATTTGTATCGCGCAAGTTTACATCTTCATGTGTAAGGACTTCTGATCCATAACCTCTATGCTACACGAGAAATTTTTAGTATTTCTTTCTCTATTGACCAATAACATCTTTTGCATGAATCAATAGAGTTTTACTATTGGTCATCATCTTTGTATATCATGTTTTTATATTGACCAATAACATCTTTTGCATAAATCAATAGAGTTTTATTATTAGTCCTCATTTTTGTATATCATGTTCGGTACTAAGTATAAAAGAAAAAAAATGGACAGAGGAGCACATAAATTGTCATGTCGACCCACCTTACCTCTCAATCAGTAAAAAAATAAACAAGAATTACTAAAAGCAGGTGTTCATATATTATTTGAAACGCCCTGTGATCTTCTGTGCTTTGATATTATTTCCAGGAACAAGTGTTATATAACTTGTTTGCAATACTCTGCGGTTGGATTGAACCAAACCTCCGCAATTTCAGAATTCCCTTGCCGAATGGGCTGCTGTTCTCCTCAAGCGGAATAGGCGAATAAATTCCTTCCATATTAACTTCAGAAAATTCAGATCATAAACTAATTTAAACAAGAGATAAAAGTTTTATAGAATTTTACATATCTGAGTATTGCAGCAAATATGCTCACAAGTCACATCAATGAGTTCATTTACATTAACCATACAAAATTAGTCTATTAATTTATACTATAGTTTTCATTAAAAGGATTATATTATATTAGGAGTGGAGGTATAATCTCAAGTTGGTCTGCTGAGAGGAAATAAGAACAGAAGTAAAAACAAGGACAAATGAGAGAGAGGGTGGTATCCCACAAATCATTCCATCCCCAAGTGCTAACTTCCAACGGTTGTAAGCTTCCACGTCACTTGGAGACCCTGCAGTTGAATCTTCCCGCCGCGAATATTTTAAAATGAAAACATAATAATTAAAGAGTAAATACAATTTAATATCCAAACTTTTTATTTTAAATAATATAATAGTCAAATCTTTTCGAAAACAATTTAATATCCAAATCGTCATCTTTCTGTCTGTTTGACCGTTAGTTGACACTTCAAAAAAGTTCGAAGTACGACACTTCATCAATATCCATCGATATCTTCTCTGAAAAACCACCAACATATCGTAGTTCCAAACCTGAGAAGTCCATGACTCCACCATGATGGTATAGAATATCTAAATATTCAGTCATCTGCAATGCCAAAACAAGAAACAAAGTTGTATTGTGACAATTTCCCCTAAACAAAGATTTTTTGAAGTGTCAACTAACGGTCAAACGAACGTAAAATTAACGATTTGGATATTAGATTGTTTTACGAAAAGATTTGATTATTATATTATTTAGAATGAAAAGTTTGGATATTAAATTCTATTTATCCATAATTAAACTAAGTTTATTCTTCCCCAAATCCGTTAATCTTCTCAAGAAGTAGGGGACAATTCCCGGCCGCCTTTTTGCAAGTTGTTTATTGCTTCATTCCTGTGAGCCGGCTTGCTCGTTCTCATCGAGAGCTACTTGCCATAGAGAGGCAGATCCAAGAATTTCTCCCTGAGGTATTCCATGATAATGCTAAAAAAAAATAAAAAAATCAAATTACTAAAACACTAATTCACAAATTATGTAATTTTAGGGATTTTTAGAACGAACAAGGATATGTATTTTCAAATTTTGTAGATTTTGTAACAAATACTAGGTTAGCGCGCCCGCCTGTTGGTCGGAAGAATTTGATGCTAATGTATAATTTCGGGTTCTGAAAAAATAATTTAGGCCCTTGATTAATCGTGTATGTGCGCTTAGCAGTGCGTAAACGTTGCGTATGTCCTAAGCGGCAATTTAGGCATTGAGAAAATTGAATGAGAGATAAAAAGAGCTATTAGGTTGTTTTCATCTTTCTATTTAATTTTTGCCCTTTTCATTTATTCGATTATTGTCTCTTTTTCTTATCCGGTTTGGCTGTTTGTATGGGTCTCACTTATCTTTTGCCTCACTCGACCACTTTATTTGTTGAAAAATAAAATGAATATATATCTTAAATGCCTGGAAGTTGATTAATACTTTATATTAGAAATCAAGCAATATAATCGGATTTATAGTTCAAATACCTATAATTAGACATTTTAGCTCATTAATAAATTAATTTGTATCATTTGGTAAAATAAAATAGTATATAAACTTGAGAGCTATTTTCTGCTGTTAAATTATTTTAACTGAAGTATGAAAGCGCTTCAGAATTGATATTTCATTCATCATTATTAAAAGTTACAATTTTTCTTCTAACGTCTAAGTGTGTCTAGCAAAACCGTTCTATATCAAATTCATGGGTAAAAAAAAACAATGTTGTTGTATGTCCTCTCCGGAGCCAAACCGTTCTATATTAAAATAGATTGGGAAAAAAAGCCAATAACCAAACACACAAACGAAAAGAAGCCAAACCAAAGCTTCTAACCAGACACTGTTGCAGAGTGTAAGACAATATGAAACACCATTGTCTATTAAGCAGTGGGGAATTGATGGCAGAAAACCACAAAAAGGCTAAAATACAGACAAATAATTCAAACGAAGATCAACAAAATTTTGATGAATATATAACAAACCCACAAGTTCCAAGTTTTGTATCCTCACCATCTAACCTCAGAAAGGACTGCTTCCCTTTTCCCCCAAAAAACACTGCTCAATAAAAAACTGCTCTAGCTCTTCATCAATGGCAGGAAATCCTCCCGCACCACAACAAAGCAGCAGCAGCAGCACGAGCACCGTCAGGACCACAAAGCCCGCTGGCCGCCGCTTCGTGGGAGTGAGGCAGAGGCCGTCGGGGAGATGGGTAGCAGAGATCAAGGACTCCTCCCAGCGCGTCAGGCTGTGGCTTGGAACCTACGATACCCCTGAAGAAGCCGCCAGAGCTTACGACGAAGCGGCCCGCGCCCTCCGCGGCGAGAGCGCACGCACCAATTTCGCTTCCTCTGCCTCTGCCTCCCATCATCATCGTCGTCCCAATTGTGTTGGTGCTGCTGATGGCTCCCCCGCCGTGATCCCGAATCCGGAGTCCCCTCCGGTCGACGGCCGGCTGAGCGCCAGCAATTTCTCGTCGTTGAAGGCGAAATTGAGCAAGAATTTGCAGAGCATCATGGCGAGGACCAACGAGAGCAAGTCCACCAAGAACAGAGTGAGCGACCAGTTCACCTTCGCCAGCATATTCCAATTGCGCGGCGGAGGAGACCAATTCTTCCACCAGCGGAGCCAGAGCCAGAGCATTGAGAAATCGGTGCAGCCGAGCATCGTTGTGCTTTCTTCTTCTTCTTCTCCTTCTCCTTCTCCTTGTGCTTCAGGAGATCCGTTTTTGGAGCCGAATTGCTTGTCCAATTCCTGGGAAACCTCCACCAGCGTGTCGGATTGCAGCAACGAGTGCGGCGGCGTCGGGTTCCGGCAACAGGGGATGGATATTTCGTCGGACGGATCGGAAGTTCTTTCGTCGTCGGAGAATCAGATGGTGGGTCGTTGGAATTGGATTGATAGCAACTTTATGTGCTCCGAGGAGGAGGGATCAAGGGGTAAGAGGTTTAAGGTCTCGTCCACTGTTATGATCCCTCCTTCTTCATTCGCCGGCTCGCCGTCCTTCGACCCGTCGGCGTATCTCGGCGACGGTGAGATTTGAAAAGCATCAGCGGGTCAGGAATCTGAATTATACTTTGTTGAGGGTGAGCATCAGGAAGCGAGCCAGGCAATAGATTAGTGTTTACGGTCTTAAAATTTTTATTATATTATTATAGAGTTTACGGTCTAAATTTGGCTAAATAATATGGTCTTTTCAAAATATTGGCTAAATAATATGTTTGTAATTTAGTTAATCAACTTTTTATATTTGTCACTACTTTTTTTTTATTGCTAAGCGATATGGATGGCTATACGGTCCGGTCAGGTTAAATTGGTCCAAATTCATCCGGTCAAGTCCGGTCTTTTTGAAAATATAAGGACCAAAGATTGGATTGGATACAATCCGGTTTTGATTCGGTTCGGTCTTGACCCGGTCCGGTCCCAACTCGGTTTTGATTTTATATTGAGCTTGTGGGGATTTGAGTGGCCTAAGGCCTGAAAGGGTGAGGAGTTGGTTAAGTTTTGAACTAAGTGCAAAGGTTTGTGACCGTTTATGCAAATTACCCTTAAGTTTTTGGTGTTGAGTTCTCTTATCCGGTCTTTATCCAGTTTTCGATCTGGTCTCGAACGGTTTTTTTACATCAAATCTAAGCCCAATGATTGGATTGGATTGTTTACTATCCAGTCGCGGTCGGGTCTCGGTCCAGGTTATACAGTCCGGTTTCGGGTAAAACCAAAAAACCCGAACCAAATAGTTACCCTACTCAGCGATCACTACTTTTGATTTGCATTTACTAATTACGTTTTTGCACATTGATAAAGTACATGAGAGATCCACGGTTCATAAGTAGGAAACCGACCTTAACTACAAGACGCGTTTTGGGGTGAAATAGAGGAGTTCTTGTCAGAACTCTGAAGTTAAATATGCTCAGTGTAGAGTACAACAAGGATGAGTGATCTTATGAGAAGTTACCTTGAATTGCACATCCCAAATCGAAAAACTGTGAGGGTCGAGTACCAAAGCGGACAATATCTTCGTCGAGAACATTGAAGAGCCGAGTCAGATTGAAAAGCTGAACATCAATAGAGAACCAAATCTGCAAGCCCTGAAGACCACCATGACAAGCGCAGAACCTAATGAGGAGTTTCGACATCGAAAGCAGTTATATGCCATATAGTTCTACCATGTTGATGATAGGAAGAAGGTTCTTTATGGCGATCATGACATTTCAACCACCATCCATTTGTATATCAAGTGATAGACCGAGGTAAGGAACCAGATGAGATGGGCTTCAATGAAGTAGAGATCTGTGTATCTATGAAGAAGCTGCCAAGATATATGAGGACTGCGGCGATGACAAAGAAGATTGGTAACCTAATTGGAGTATTCATAATCTATAATGCTTGCTTATAGCTCTAGGGTTTGGAGTACATCATTCCATAAGCTCTAAACAAACCAGCTTACGAACTTTGTTGGAAGTTGCAATTGTTAAATAGATGTATTGTTGTAAACGCATATATAATATTATAAATATATTGTCGAATTTGATACATTGTAGAATGCAAGGTTTGGTATGTGTGATTGTGTATTTCACATCAGCTAAAAGTTTAGACAAAACAATCTCAACTCAACATCACAACTAAAAGTTGAGATATAACAATCACTCATTTTGAGTGATATGTATGTCACATCATATAAACAATCCATGTATTATTTCTGCTAAAAATTAAAAATTCGATGCATTCTAAACAATACATGTATAGTAACAATCTCAACAAAACAATCGCAACTTACAAACGACTCGTTTACTCAGCAATCCATCAAGTGAAGCTAGTTCGCGAGGTTATCAAGCTAAGCATGATGTAGCTAAAATTTGACTCGTTTACTAACAAATTGGCTCGCAATTCGGCTTGTTAAATAAGGAGTCGACTGTTGAACCCATATGCTCTGATTTCTCTATTTCTCTCTAGCGGCTTGAGCCTACCCATATGTAGGGTTGTTAATGAGCCGAGCTATTCGTAAGCGGCTCGGTCTCGAACTCGAGAAAACTTGTTCGAATAAAAAAAAAAGCTCGGCTCGTTCATAAACGAGCCAAGCTTGAGCTCTACCTTGTTCGGCTCGTGAAGCGCGTGAACTAGCTCGATTAGGTGGCTCGTTAATACAACTCATGAACTGTCTCGTTTTGAGCTTATGAGATGTCCCAACATTGTCAATAAATAGCCGACTGGAGTACAACTTATGAGAAAATCAATCTATATTTTATAAGTTGGTTTGTTAATGATGCATATAATTATTAAATTGTATGTATCACGTCATATGGTGTTTAATACGTTGAATATATGTAAGCAAATATGTCTCATATATGATATAACATTAGGTAATCACATGTTTCACAATTCACATGTGACATATAAATATTAGGGTATTTATATTATAATAAATTATCTTAGAGCTGAGCGCGAGCCGAACCAACACGTCCACAACCAGTCACCGTCGTCACCACACACGTGCATACCCCACCCAACACGTTTAAAAAGCAACTCGTCAGCGGTCCCACCCTACACGTGGCAAGAATCCCCTGTATTTGCCACCGCGATGACCTGAGAATTGTCAAAGGCCGTTCAAAATAGAAAAATCGCAACGGTGGAATCCCTGTCCACAACTCAATCACAGCCGCAGGATCCCCAATCATGCGCCACGTTTAATTGTATGAATTCATGATTGTCCGATCAATACAGAAACCGTCTCGTTTATTTAGTAAAAAAAAAAGTAAAAGCTAAAATAAATTGTAATGCTTTTTTTTTTTTTTTTTTCTGCTCGTTCCGACATTTTTATGGAATCTAGGCGAGAAGAGAGCCTGCCTGACACACAAGTTTGGTTTTTGGGCTTCCCGAACAGAGTAGAGAGGAAGAGAGAGACAGAGACAGTTGTATTCTAGAGAGAGAGTGAGAGAGACAATTTGAAGACGCAAGATTTGATTTTTGAATCTCTACTTCAAATAGGAGACATCTCTATTTCAAATTTTGGCTGCTTCTCTCTCTCTCTCTCTCTCTCTCTCTCTCTTGCTCTGTTTTCTACTTGTACCGTAGCCAAGTGATTTCGACCGTTGGCGTGTTTGTTTCTCTGTTTGTAAGAAGCGAGAAGAACTGAACCGAAGTGCTCTTAAAGGGTTCATTTCAGTGCCCAAACAAAAGGAAGCTTTCGGAGATCCGACTGTAGCTTGCGTGGGAATTGCAGGCACAGTGAAAAAGCAAGCAACTTTGTGGGGTTTTTGGTGATATTGAGAGAGGGGAAGAAGATTTGAGATGACGTTAGTTTCATCTTTCATCGCAGTCGTTTTTGGGAGTGAAAATTCCAGTCCCTGAAGCGTAAAGGTAAGTGCTTCTCTACCCTTTCAATTCACTTACCAGCTTAATTTGTTGCTTTCGCCATTGCTTTACTTCCTACCTTTGACATCCATTTCCGCCATTTCGCTTTCTCAGCTCCTGGGCTTCTTCAGGGGCGTCCACTGAATCGGATTCGAGGTCGGGTCAAGCGAGAATTCTGGTGGGCTTTAGCTGTAAAATGGTTTGAGAACAGTGAATAGCGAAACTTTGAGGTAAAAACCAATCATTTCCGCCCATTTATTTATTTACTGAGCTGAATTCAATTTCCAGTATCTCGGTTGTAGATAGAGACTTGTACCTTCTCTTCAAAGTAAAGTCTGTCTCTCTCTCTCTCCTCTTTTCCCTCTCTAGTTCTCTCATCTCTACCACCTGCCTTTGATGGCGACCCGATTGGGAAACGCTTTGGAAGGGAAGATCAGATCACCATCTACATCTACAAGATTATACATCTCCTCTACATTGCTTCACCGACGTTTTCTTTTTTCTTTAGAAGCTGTAAAAGTAAAGGCTCAGAAAATTGTTCCTCTTTTTCTTCCTTCACCCTTTAATTATTATATAATAATAAAAATATGATCTCTCGTGGGTAGGCAGGCAGCAGGCAAAGCAGAGTCACAAAGGCATATCCATCTAATCTAATCTGCCTTTTTTTCCTTGTATTGTTTTCTTTAATTTGGTGGGTTGGGTATTTGCTTCAGAACGAGCTTGGTGTGACTGTTCAGTAATACATTCTCAAAGGAAACCAGAGGCACAAAGGCGTCACTCTAATTATGTTATTTGGAAGAAGAAGAAAAAAAAAAAAACCTTTCTCTTGTTTTCTAGTTCATGTCTCACGATTGCAACTGCTCCCACTCTAATAAGTGTCTTTTCTTTCCTTCTTGTGCTTTGCTTCTCATCCAGGTCACTTCTTCACTTTCTTTACTTTAATGGCCTTCTTCTTCTCGCTCTCCCCGTTTTGCTTTCAGGAAGAAGAGTAACCAAATTTGATTGAACAAGCAGTCAAATCTATCCATCATGGTAATCGAAGATCGCCGCAAAGGCAAGCAGGTGGTAACCGATGTTCAATCCGTTGAAGACTGGCTTTCCCACGCACAAGAACTCGTCCCTCTGGCGATCGAAAAGGCGAAACAGGTCAAGGGCTTCCCAGGAAGATGGAAGATGATCGTCGGCAAGCTCGAGCAGATCCCGAATCGGCTCTCCGACTTATCGAGCCACCCTTGCTTCACCAAGAACGCTCTCTGCAAGGAGCAGCTCCAGGCAGTCTCAACGACTCTCAAGGAGGCCATGGAATTGGCAGAGCTTTGCGTGGCAGAGAGGTACGAAGGGAAGCTCAGGATGCAGAGTGATCTCGATTCTTTGTCCGGGAAATTGGATTTGAATTTGAGAGATTGTGGGCTTCTGATCAAGACTGGGGTTCTGGCTGAGGCTACTCTGCCTCCTCCTTCGGTCGCCGCAGCCGCCGGAACCTCCGCGGAACCTGAGGCTCTGCTCTTCCACGGAAACATCAGGGAGTTGCTTGCTCGCCTTCAAATCGGTCATTTGGAGGCAAAGCATAAAGCTCTCGACTCTCTGGTCGAGTTCATGAAAGAAGATGAAAAGGCAGTTCTCTCTGTTCTCGGTCGGAGCAACATCGCAGCTCTGGTCCAGCTGCTAACCGCCACCTCCCCTCGTATCCGGGAGAAAACAGTCACCGTCATATGCTCGCTGGCGGAATCAGGCAGCTGCGAGAGCTGGCTCGTTTCGGAGAGCGTTCTTCCTCCACTGATCAGACTGATCGAATCCGGAAGCGCAGTGGGCAAGGAGAAGGCCACCATATCTCTCCAGAGGCTCTCGATGTCGGCCGAAACAGCCAGAGCGATCGTGGGTCACGGAGGAATCCGGCCCTTGATCGAGATATGCCGAACGGGGGATTCGGTGTCTCAGGCAGCAGCAGCTTGCACCCTGAAGAACATCTCTGCAGTGCCGGAAGTTCGGCAGCCGCTAGCGGAAGAAGGAATCGTGAAGGTAATGATCAATCTTCTGGACTGCGGGATCCTGCTGGGTTCCAAAGAGTACGCAGCAGAATGCTTGCAGAATCTCACTTCCAGCAACGAGGATTTGAGAAGATCAGTGATCTCCGAAGGCGGGATTCGAAGCCTGCTGGCGTATCTCGACGGTCCTCTCCCTCAGGAATCCCCCGTTGGAGCATTGCGGAATCTGGTAAACTCCGTCTCCACTGAAATCCTCGTCTCGCAAGGATTCCTGCCGCGATTGGTCCACGTGCTGAAATCGGGATCGGTGGGGGCACAACAGGCTGCAGCCTCGGCGATATGCAGGGTGTGTGCTGCGGCGGAGATGAAGAAGGTGGTGGGGGAGGCAGGGTGCATTCCGCTGCTGATAAGGATGCTGGAGGCGAAGTCGAACGGGGCGAGGGAGGTAGCTGCGCAGGCGATCTCGAGCCTGATGACGGTGTCGCAGAACTGCAGGGAGGTGAGGAAGGAAGGGAGGAGCGTGCCGAATCTGGTGCAGCTGCTGGATGCCAGCCCGCAGAACACGGCGAAGAAGTACGCGGTGGCGTGCCTGGCGGGCTTGTCGGGGAGCAAGAGGTGCAGGAAGATGATGATCTCGTACGGTGCGAGCGGGTACCTGAAGAAGCTGACGGAGATGGATGTTCCTGGGTCGAAGAAGCTGCTGGAGAGACTGGAACGAGGGAAGCTCAGGAGTTTGTTCATTAGGAAATAAAAATATTATCTTCTGTGTAAAATGTGTAATGTTTAGCTCTGCTTTTTTCCTTATTTGTTTAGGGTTTTGTTATGGGGATGGGGTGTTTCATTATCTGTATGAAACGGAAGCAATCAATGGTGCAAAAAAAAGGGTAATGGAAGTTCTTGAAAACGAACAATCATGATGAGATTCTTCTTGGACTCCATTATCACAGTAGGGCTGCAGAAATTATGGCGTTTGGTCCTCTGGTCCCCATGGGGATTTTCTGGGGTTAACTATTGTGAATATGGTAAAGCAAGCAGCTATGGCATTGATTTGGCCTGCATGTTTCTTTTTCTAATCAATTGGTTGGGTATTGAATGAGATGATGGCAGTAATCAAAGTGGTGGTAGTAGTAGTTGCAGAAGCAAAATGCTTGGTGGCTCTGAATATTGATTGTTGCAGTGGGAGAACTTTTTTGGGTTGCACAATTCTATCTTGTTACAGGGAATGGAAGGAGTGAGGATGATGGTGGCAATGCGTGCTGGTTCAAATAATTGAGGATAGATAAACAAAACAAAACAATCTAACATGACATCATTGTGGATCTGTTTGGTTACAGCCGTCAGTTTGGTTTGTGATTTGTGAATAGATGGTTATGCTCTGATAGCATAAAAGCATAGTAAAGAGGTTGGCGTTGTACCAGAAAATTATTGTGTACTAATGATGTTTGTGGAGCCCTAACTTCAACTTTCATCAACAGGGTTAGAACTTAGAAGAACCATTATGACATTTCGTTACACAGCAAATCAGACATCATTACGTCTATTATTCCATTGCAGAACAAAGCAGGAATGCAGGACCGATGAAATGTGGTGGTGACATAGGGTTTTTAAAACTCAAAAGCAAAAGCTTACACCAAACAAGCGTTTTATATGACAAAACACTAAACCAATTATTTAAAACTTTTCTTCAGCATGGTACCTAAACATTCCATGCTAGCTAGTGTATTCTTCTGGCCAACCTTCAAGCTATCCTTGCCTCGACCATCGCATTCGTTCAAACCTTGCCGATCCTCTTCAGGCTATCTTTGACTTGGGTCGTGATGGAAGCAACTACATTAGCAAAACCAGGGAAAATGGTAAGCTCATCAAATTCACGCCACCACAGATCACGATGCACCTCTCATATGCTGAGTCATAGCAACTTGAAATCACAGGAACTTGAGCTCGAGTAACATATAGATTATATCAAACTGCTGGCGGCTGCAGAGGAAATAATTGCCCTAACATCTACGTAGTGCATTCACTATATAGGATCCACAATACGCGTATAATACGTACCTGATAACAGGAGATCAAAGAGGTAGTAAATCCAAGGGCTCCAGTTACACGAGGAGTGACTTTCTTGGGTGCCAACTGCAGAAGCCCAACTGCAACCACAATATCTATGCCTGCCTTGACGAGAGCTAGCGACCTTTCATTTGACTTTTGGAGCTTAGCACGGTATTGCTCATTCTGCAGTTGATAAGAGTAACAAAAGCAACCAGGTCATAAAACATCTGGAAAGCAGATAACTAACCATCAGGAGTTCAGGGTATCAAATAGATCACTTCATACCTCATGCTTATCAGTATTCTTAAGCTCTTTCTCTAACTTACTGATTGATGCAGACAGCCTACCGAGTTCCCCAACCTGGTATGAGAGAATACTAGGACATTATGCAACTATCTCAACCAAACCAAAAAATAACCCATCTTGGGGTTTGGGTTAGTGTAGAGATAAGTCACAACAAATTAAATTCAATCACAAACCTCGACCAATGTGGTACAGATCGATGACCCCATCCAACAGAACAGAGATATGCGACCAAGTAGCTCAGCTCGTTCTTTGTTCTAAAAAAAGAATAAGAAGGATTTTCTGAGAATCTATTGCCAAACTCCAATCTAAAATTCTAATATGTGATCAAGAAAGTACAACGTACCTTATAGATGCCACTTCTACCAAGCCAAACAATTTGATCAAGGAATAAGAACGTGGACAACAATGCATTTTTCGACTGCAATAGCAACACACTGAACTGTCATGTAAGAGCAAGAGAAAGAGCAGAAAGAAAACATGTAAAAATCTTTTTTAGTAGAACTTTACACATACCTTTCCCAACAAAACAAGAGGAAGAGGAGTTCCTTGAGGCACCGGACTGATCAAACCATGCAAATCATTGACAAACTGCAAGTTTATCGAAAAAGTCAGGTAAGGCATGGATTGTAAGTTCTAACCGGAACAACAGAAGCGAACACAGAATGTAAACCGACTGTAACTGACCTTAAAGATACGGAAAACTTTCCTTGCCAAGCTGGTGGATTTGTCAACGTTTTGAGCAGTTCCTGGTTGGCCATTACTCAAGAATTTCGAGCCATATTGAATCGCCCTGCATATCTTGTCCCTTGCCTCGGCCTTATTCAGATACAAAACTACGAGGGCAAGTTCAGCTCTTGTGGCATCCAAAGTACTCATCTTTTTACTTCAAAGAACACCTGCGCCATTCATTCAAGGGATTTCTCAAACATTAACCTCTGAAACTCAGCAGGGTATGGAAGGAAATGGACAGGCAGAGAGACCCAAAACAATGACATCAACCCAAATAGTGAATAAGAAACAAACCCCAGTGACTAACAGAAGCGAAAGCTCAAACAGCAGTTAAGTCACACAAAGCCATTCCCATCCAAATTTTACAAATCAATAAAACGCGCAATTCAAAAGCAGAGAGGGAATAAAAAAACAAAAAAAAAAACCCTCATCGACAATTCAACGAGGCAGTGGAAATTAAAATCTCCGACCAACTGGGGGAGATAGAAAGGAGAAGAATTCACAACCAAGGCATGTTGAGTTCCAAAGACAATTCTATACAATCCACCATGGAAATGGAAACTGTAAACTGATACAACTAAAAACGAGAAGTACCAAAGAACCAGAAGAAGAAGAAGAGCTAGAGAGGAGAATAGTGATCGACCTTTTGGGAAGACAGGACAGGAGTACGGACAAATCCACCTCCAAATCCACAAGTGGGGAGAGGATTGAAGAGGAAAAAGAGAGATGGCGAAAGTACCGAAAAGGGTGCCCGGAGGTGGGGAGCGGATTAGGGATTTGGCCTCGAAAACCACAAAAAAAAAAGTTGATTTTTTTCTCTGAATCCAAACGTATTTTCTAGGAAAATACGCACCCGCCCGCGTCAGCACTCGCTCTTACGACGATGCGATAAAACGATGACAAGAGCTTCTTTGGTGCTCTACTCTTCCCAGCTACACTACAAATCCTCTGCCGCTCTGTATTTTGACGATTGTAGGAAACGCCGCCGTTTAATCCATTCTTATCGTCGCAAATCTAATTATGGTGCTCACAAACATACTTACAAAATGAATATTTATCAGATCATACATTGGGCGTTTCGAAATTGCTGGATGGATATTGTGATAATTTAGTTCACATATGATGTTGTGAGCATCATAATCGGATTGATCCATAATCTTGTTTGGTTTCACAAATTTGTGCATAAATTTAATGTAATAAGACTGGTTTTTTAAAATAACATAAACGAACGTTCAATAAATCATGTCAATTTTTTTTTGTTGTCTAAAAGAGTAAACGGTGTCGGTGTTTCTTGTCACAATATCTATCTATATAATAGTATAAGGAGTTTATTGGATGAAGCAATATAAGGAGGAACTTACAGTAACATCACCGTTTTATCACTGTAAAACAAAGTTACAGCGGCTAGACACCAATAAATTAGATCTAGAATATTATTCTAGTTATTTGGAAGAGCATATCTCGTTAGAGAACGAGTAACCCAATCAGCTCGAGTATTAAGCTTCCTAAAAAAAACTTAACCTTAATTTGAAGGTTCAATCTAAGGATTGAGACCATTGATCCTATTAAGGCCGCATCCCTTCATGGCCATCTCGATGGTTCTTGAGATAAAAGTTGAACTAATACTTGACAATTGGTTTGGACTATACATTCACTAGCATATTCTTGTGTTAATTTGAGACCTTCCAAAAGGCCTTCGTTTCCAACTTCAATCGGGATATAATAAGGAGATTATCACCTCGCCCAACACACACTTGTTCATGATGGTTAACGACCACAACACCGTATGTCATCGATTGGGCATCGTATAGGAACTACCCCTCACAGTGAATCACCATTGGGTGAGTACTTGCCGATGGAGTAGTATAAGATTAGGTTCACCTGAGCTGACTATAAAGAGGTTGATTGAGGGGCGGATCCTCGGGCGTGAAGTCCAGTCAGTGAAATCCTATAGGATTGTAAACACATGCTAGAGAGCCCAATTTTTGAAATTCCTCTCATTTCTACCCTTCCAGATATTCCAGCAGATTCGACCAAAAAAAAAAGATATTCCAGCAGATGAAGACAACATGACTCAAAATTCTCAAATGGATAACTTCCTTAACGGAGCAGACCAGTTGAAGAATGATGTGGATTAAGAAGGGAGGGATAGGGAAGGAAACACATTGCTCCAAAAGCTAACGGCGTGGATGCAAGCATATAGGCAATGTAAGATATATTCATTAGGATTTTCGCTCATAGCGCATCTTGGGTTTGGGGAGCATTTTTGCTAAATAAGCCTTTCCTTAGGTGCTAAGCACCTTCAAATGAAAATTTCCAGTCATGGTGGAGAGTTGTAATCCCATATCCAGTTCCACTTATTTGTGTTTCCCATCGATTGACAGTTTGTGTTAGCCTTATGAGTGAGGAGGAAACTCTTCTAGGTTTCACCCATCTTTTCCATTCTTTGGATAAGAAAATATAAGATCTCCTTCCTAGAGTTCCCACATATATTTAGAGTGACAATTGGAGGGGACAAACCCAATGTGAGTAATTATATGCTCTTAATCTGTGCAGGAACATTTGCACTGAAGAATGACTTTATTGTCCGTATTGCTCCATAATCCTTTATGAGGTTCAAAATTCTCCCAGCATCCGCCTGGTTGTCTTTGCCAAAGATAACTTATTATTTGCAAAGAGCCACTGAGTAATGACAAATCTAGGATGAAGCTTAATACCTTTTATATGACCTTCAAAAACGACCACATTAATAAGAAAGTTCAGAGCATTAGACATAAAAATGAAAAGAAATGGGGAAAGAGGGTCTCCTAGACCAATGGCCAGAGATGGGTAAAAAGGCTCAGTGGCTTCCTCGTTGAAAAGGATGGAGAATTTGACAGAGCAGATACACGATTCGACCTAATTGGACCATCGATCATCAAATCCATAATTACTCGGGAGCTTTTCCACGCAATCCTAGTCGATCATGTCAGACGCCTTTCTCATTTCCAATTTAAGTACAATATCCTACTCCTTTCCAACTTGTGGCATTTGAAATGATTGAGGGCTTCACCACCAATGATGACGATGTCTAGTATGAGACGACTCCCGATGAATACAGATATAAAATAATCTCGAAGATCATGGCAACTCGACTTAGGAAGTGGACCCCTTCTCTTGTCTTGGAGCTACAAACGCAAAGTTTTGCAGCAACTGGTAGTGTGAAATTGGATGTGGGTGATCAACCTTGGGCATCATAGAGACGTGGGTATCATTCCATAATTGTGGCACGGAGGCCGTTTCTAACTGTGACGGAAAGAACTAAAACTATAGTACCCATGCACCAAAGAGAAGGAAAAGAAGAAAAACGAAGGCACGATGTTCTTTGTTACTATTTGTAGTCTGGAAATAAATACACAATACTAACACGGCCCCAAGAGAGCAGCGGATACCAAAAGCATTTCAAGGACCATAACTCTCCCGCATCAACTAGGTGAAATCAAGAGAGCATTATGCCTATTTTTCTGTTCTTCCTTTTTTGATAATCAGAGAGCATTATGGTTGGCCGAGATGCATGAAATACCAATATTACAAGGTACACAAGCGTTAGTTTTATGAATCCAGTCGAGGGGGCTCAGAGAGCGAAGTCCTCCTCAAACTCATCGTCGACCTCCTCGTCTCCGTTCCAATCATACTCCTCAACAACTACTCCTTGGTCTCTTAATAGATTCAAGATCTGCTCCAAGTCTCTTATCCGCCCTTGCAGATACGCAGTCGGTGAAGGTAAGGTGGGATCATAGCTCAGTGCCTTTAAGGTGAAATGGCCAGAAGGTTCCAAGATTTCTACCCCAAATGCAGGTGATAAAGGGCGACCCACGACTTGGACGTGACAGATGCTGCAAGATTGCATGACCAGAAAGTGCATTAGGAGGGCCTCCACGGAGCAAGTTGAAAACTGAATTTATACATCCATCAGGCATTAAGGAGCTTGACGGGAAGCGAATGAATGATGTACAATATGATAAAAGCAGCTGAAGATGTGCAAATTCTGTGCAAGGCTCAGAAAACAGCAGAACTAGGGTGGAGTTACTACGGATAAAGAGAGAATAAGGCCACTGCTAGTAAATGAAGGCATGCCTATGTTGCTTATAAAAAAAGGCCAGTAAAGCAAAACTGCTATTTTTCTTTTAGCTAGCAATCAACAAGCTTCTAAAGAGAATATAGTTCTCTACTTTTCCACTCACTCCAAGAGATTGATAAGATAACATCAATGCTTTTATGATGTTCACCCTTGGACAGGAATCAACATACCGAGGGCTACTGGAGAAACACAATTTCTTAAAAAGAGTATTCAAAGATTCAAAGGTTTTTGGAACAAACCATATATAGAACATCCCATCCATTGTTTGTTTCTGAACTCTGCCTAAAAGCTCAATCATCAGCATTCCACCAATGCAAAGAACGGGTTCAGGAAGCTTGAAATTTTGTAGTTGATTCTCCTGTTCAACATCATTAGGTTAGAGACATAGAAAACTCAATTGACACAAGAATCATCCATCAGGACTAGGGGCGACTAGTGGGCCGTTGGATCCGCTCGTACCCACCCACTTCAACCCGCCCAATCACATAGTGGTTGGTTTTCAAATGGCAGGCGTAGTTTTAAAATATGTCTCCCAGTGCTCTAGTTACCTGTGCCATAGGGAACTCAGCGGTAGTGTAAGTCCATGTGAATTTCTCAGCAGAAAAACCGTCACATGGCTCGCTCATGGTCCCATCCAATGGAACATTGGGATGGCCAAACCGAAATCTTACAGATTTGGCAGAATATATAGGAGAACCCCACTGAAAATAAGCTGCAAACAAGAACAATCTTTCATTACATGCCATCTAAACAGTTGAAGGAAAAGGACATCAAACATACCACAAGAAGAGCAAGTCAAACCTTCGAATGGCTTTATGTTGATTTCAGAAACCACACATACATCACTGGCCAGCTTATAGACGAGCGTCTCAGGCACCGAAGACGTGGTTTGTCCTTTACTTGACCAATAAGAAGGCCGCCTTCCAACTCTCTCATGTGGTTCCAGGGTATTACGAACGCTCTCATCCGGATAATTATCTGTGCTAGAAGCACATATTGCTTCTCCTATACAATCTCTCAAAGGGAAAGTTTTGCAAGAACGAGCCAGAAATGCAAAAGCTCTGTGCTCCACCCCAAGATTTTCATCTTCCACATATCTGCTGCAACCAACTTCTGCAATATCCTTAACACAACGGCTTGGTTCAACCACATGGTCAAGTCTATGCAAAGTAGGGAACATTCTCACGCAGAGCTGCCTGCTAAGACCATTTGTGACAACTGCAAAAGGCGTGTATTTAAGTCAATCCAAGGCCAAAAAAAAAACTTGGACATATACACGAGCATTCTCATGCTATGACAGGAAAATGAGGTAAAAACATCCCTCTGAAAAACTTCAAAATTCAAGAAGATAGGGAACTTGTTCAGTATCAATGTCTTACAACCATCTCGTGGTACATATTTCTGACGAACTAAAGTATAACATATGCAAAATGAGACGACATACAAGGCATTGCAAAATGAGATCCGAACTCAAGCAGAACATAGGCAAAATGAGACTCGTCATACAAGGCATTCTTTGGGAACCCTACACCGACTCTAAGAAGTGAAGACAAGAACATAAAGCAAGAAACTTTTGGTACCAATTTGACGGAACAAACTCTATTGGCGTTCCACGAAGATAACATCAGAAAGGTGCTCAATTGCTGAAATAATGAAAATTTGAAGTAGAAATTGAACTATGCCAAGTGCGACTTACCAAAATGTCTCCAAGTCCGGGAGACGGAACTGACGCGGACAAGGTCAGCAGGATCATCCAAGCACAATAAAATCTTCATCAACACATCGTAATCCAGCCAGTTGAAGAAATCCATACCACTTCCCATCGCAGAACTAGTTGTAGAGGGAAAAAGAAGGAAACCCTCGTTGGATTTTCCCTTTCTGAAACATAAACGCAGGGTGCCAGTCTCAGCAAGGCAACAGGTCACAGAAGCGGAATCAAATTAAACAACTTTACACCATCATCATCTCATCCTCCAGCCAAAAAACCCCATTTAAGGAAAACATCGGTCTTGGCAAGAGGCTGGGCACCGACCCAAAAGGATTGGGAGCAAATGCACGTCGAAAACGGCAACAGAAATTCAGGGGAGGGTTTTGGAAGCGAGAAAATCAAAGGGAACAGGACAAGAGATGAAACAACATCGCACGACAAAATATTAATATAAAGCGGGGGGAAAGAAAGATACGAAGAATCGAGCGAAGAAATCGAAGCAATGCAGAACGATTGGAGCTTAGGAAGAGAAGCAAAGCATATCACCTTTCTTTATTCGAAGAAGAAGACGAAAGTATGAATCTTGAGCTTGACTTGAGATTGTTCTCTCTCACTCTGAATCGGGTTCCCTCTTTGCTTTAAAAAATTGATTAATTGAAGTTTGCTCAAGGCGAGGGTGCTGGTGGGTTGGCTTGAAACTGAAATGGGTAAAAAGGGGAGAGAGATCTGGGAGAGTTTTGAGTTTGGTAAGGAAGAATTAAAGAAGGATGAGAGGCAGCCACCCAACCGATCCAGCCAGCAGCAAGGCCGTCCCTTTCCCTTATCAGCTCATCTCCTTTTTTTTTTCCCTTTTTTTTTTTCAAAACCGCCAAAACGGATGTAGGGATGGCAATGTTACAAAATGGGCCGGGCAGTGTGATACCAATATCCGTCCACCTATGATTTTACTTTTGCACCAGATCCGGCCCAGGCCCGTCATGGATTCTTATGTTTTGAGCTTGGCCCATGTCTTGCACGAGCGGTAAAACCGGCCCGGCTCTGTTCAGTTTTTAGGGGTCGTTTGGAGAATATGAGTTTAAATCTACAAATTATCAATAATCTAAGAATTCTAACTCTACAGATTGTTGAAAACAGATCTTAAAATGTTTATTTTTAGGTAACGGTGATTGTTAACATTCAATTAAAATAAAATATTTAATTTATATTAAATAAAATATTTATCCTTAATAAAAAAATTAGAGTGGTTCAATAAATATTAAATTTTTTGTTGATAAATATATTTCACGTGATAAATAAATAAAATTAAGAGAAAAACTAGGAGAAAAAAAATCTCAGGAATCAAGATATAGAATCTCTCTGCTTATGAGAGATTTGATATCCGCAGATTTTAGAGATTTGGAATATCTAAAGCTAGAATCTGCAGTACAAAAAACAACAAAAAAACATAACTTTCTACAAAATCTATGGATTCCGTAAATCCATGTCCTGAATCTTGTTCTCCAAATGACCCCTTAGTACCAAAACTTCTTCAATCGTAATTGATAGGGGTGGGCAACGGGCGGATCGGATGGATTTTGACTATAAAACTAATCCACCCACTCATGGACGGATTGACAATTTTCAACCCGCCACCCACCTACACTTACTATCGGGTTGGGTGGATCGCGGATAATACGGATGGATTGTCGGGTTCAACCACAATATACTAAGTGGGAAAAAAAAGTAAACCAGCTATACAAAATAAAATAACAGCAGCGGCATAAACGGGTTACAATTATTTGAGCGGCAAAAATTAGAGTAGAGGAAGATAAGAATTGGCACAAACTGGTAACAATTATTTCAGCGGAAAAAATTGGAGTAGAGCCTGTTCATTATAAAAATATAAGAATTGTCACTATGATTTCTTATGCTAGGTTGAACAAAATGCAGCAGCTATAGAAAGAAAACAACAGGCAACAGCTTCAAAAACCATTTAAACCATCAGCATAATCCGTTTAAAAGAAGAAAACGGCTGCTTTAAGAAAAAAAAAAACATATGCAGAATAAACAGTAGGAAGCAACTGCCAAAAAAAAAAGACAATCAGTTATAGAAATCCATTTTAAGGCATGATTATCAGATAGAAGAAATTATTCAGGAAGAAGAGGGTAGAATTGTAACGGGAAGTAAATCGGGAGGATCTTTCTAATTCTCAAAGTAGCTTGGAATGTAGATATTGACCAGAGAAATTTCTTCAGAGGTGGAGGATTATTGACTAAATTTTTTCCAGAATATGGTAAGAAAGTGTCGATTGTTTTGGGTGGGGAAGTAAGGAACGAAGACGAGACCTAGCCAGCAGGCGGCAGTAGTGTTGTGATGGTGATGGTGATCGGGTTTGCGGATGACCCACGGATCCGCCCACGAACCATCCACCTCCTACGGATCACCATTTATCCTATCCGCCACCCGCCCGCCAACCCACCCACATCATGCGAATAGGGTCATTTTGCGGGCAGATCGGGTCAGATCCGCGGGTCAGCAACCCGCATGCCCAGCCCTAGTAATTGATATTAGAGGTGTTAATCGGACGAAGCAAATTCAGGTTGGGGTCAGTCAGGTTGTGGGTTTATTGAGTTACGGGCTATTTGAGTTTAGATTTATTGGGTTACGAGTTACGTGTTCATTGGATTGCAGGTCAATTGGGACCAAAACATAAGCCTACCCATCATCAAATCAAGCACATGGAAGAAGGAGTACGAGTTCATCGGGTTACAGGTAGGTTGGATTGAGAGCGGATCAGGTTGCAGGTTGTTCGGGTCACCGGGATGTATTACTTACTCTTTACTCGTTACAACTTACTCTTTATTTATTACACTAATAACATTTTTTTGAAATTTTTGGACAACCTTTTTCTACCTTATTTATATACTTATAAAAGGCTTTTTTTTAGAAGTACTCATAAAAGTTTAATTTTTTCCGTCAAAGTGTTAAATTAGTTTTGTATTTTTTTAGATGATTGAGTTATTGTAATGGTATGACTTAATAGACCTATCTTGATTCTTGAACCCTCATTTTGAAACTAAAATGCAACTCGAGCCACCTTAAGTGGGCCAAATTATTACTTTAGTATTATAATAACGCATGTAGTGCATAAGTTGCAACAAATGTAGAAGCATCAGGGCCGCCCCCATGATGTACGGGGCCCTGTTCAAAAATTTGAAATATAACCATAAAATTCGCCCCTCAGATTTATTAAAAATAAAATCATTATATAGAGATTATAATATACATAATTTCATAAATGATTATACAAGTAATAATATCATATGTCATTATTTAAAAAATAACAAACGTCTAGTATTATTTGAAATAAAATCATATATAAGTTGTTCCATCTTTGCATCATTCAATAAATTATTCTCAATTGTCAACATAGCTAACCTGTCACATTCTGGCTAAGACAACTTCAATCAAACACAAGGTGTCTCAGTAAAAATGTTGACTTCTCAATCTCTATCCTACAATTCTAATTTCAGGGAAGAAATTTTTATAATGGTGGTAGGAAATGTAACATTTCGATTTTTTGTTTATTAATTCTAATTAAGGATTTTTTTAATTTTAATTAAAAAAAGGAGAAAGGGATTAAATCCCTAAGGTTACTCACTCTACTTCACTCGGTTTCTCCTCATTCGTTTCTCAATCTCGCACTTGGGAAGAATGGAGTTGGCCACTGAATTAATTGGACGAGAGGTGATGGTTAGGGGTGGAAACCGGTCAGGTATCGGTAATTTAATATAAAATATCGAAATTTTGAATATCGAATTATTCTCTAGTATCAGTCTAAATCTCTAAAAAAAAATTGGCATCCCAATCGTTAAATACTTTGGTATCCTAATCAGTATTATCGAATAAAAAATTAATTAATTTTACAATTAATAATTAAATATATAAATTTGATATGATTGTTTAATTTAGGGCAAAGAGTCTTGAGTTTGCCTAGAGCTAGAACATGGATAAGGAGAAGGGAGGAGAGGTGACAACTCAAGTTCTTGTCATTGGTAATTTTTAGTTCGACGAATTGGAAGCTGAGAGACGACTAATACTAGCGTTTTCATTTTTATGTTATGAAAATAACAAAAAATTAGATGAGAGACGAGAGTGACTTAAACTGGAAAGCCAAAATTCAGTTGGATGGGGACTTGTAAGCTATGAAAGAGTGGGGAATGACCAAAAGAGTGAGAGGACAAGTTGTTGGAGAGGTTGCAGGGATGGAAGCAACGCACGCTTTCCTGGGCGGCTAAGGAAACATTGATCAAGGCAGTTGCAATGGCACTGCCGTTACATGTGTTGTCCTGTTTTAAGCTCCCCCTGGGCCTTTGTAGGATTCTGGATAAACATGTGGCCCGTTTTTGGTGGGGGAAGAATGAGGGGCAGCCTAAGATCCATTGGATGTCTTGGAGGAACCTCTGTCGAAGTAAGCATGAGGGTGGAATGGGGTTTCGCCGGTTTGAGCAATTCAATCAGGCTCTCCTTGCAAAAATTGGGTGGCGTATTCTGATGGACCCTCAATCCCTCTTGGCGAAGGTTTATAAAGGTAAATACTTTCCGCAGGGAACGTTCCTTGAGGCCAAGGCTCGTTCGCGGCCCTCGTGGGGTTGGACGAGTATCCTCCATGGGCGTGAGCTCCTGGTAGCTGGCTTGCTATGGCAAATCAGGAATGGCCAGACTGCTCCTCTCCTGCATTCCAGCTGGATACCTGGGTTGCATCCTGAAGTTCCTGTTTTTAACCCTCGGGTGTTGCCGGTTGATCGGGAGCCTCGGGTAGCTGAGGTCATGTGCCACGGGGGAGGGGGGTGGTGTGTGGATAGCTTAAATCAATGGTTTGATCCGGCTACTTGTAAGGCTATTCGTGCTATCCCTCTCCCGGTCCAGGGTGTGGAGGATAAACTGGTATGGCATGCCACGTCGGACGAGATTTTCACTGTTAAGTCTGCCTATCACCTTGCGGTCACTCTTGATAAACGGTCGGGACGGTGGAGGGATATGGTTAGCTGGATGGATAAGAGTAGTTGGATCCGTTTGTGGGATGCGAATATTCCGCCTAAGCTTAAGATTTTTGCTTGGCAGATTTTTAATCGCATTCTCCCTACTATGGAGGCCCTTGTTGAGAAGAAGGTGCCGGTTCTGCCACGTTGCCCGGTTTGCTGGGATGAGCTAGAGTCCTTGGAGCATTTGTTCCTTTATTGCCCAGTTGCTCGAGCTATGTGGGATTATTCTGGGTTGGAATTTATGGGTGAGGGACTTCCGCGGCAGACTTTTCCTCTCTTCCTCAAGCGGTTATTGGCCCTTATCCACCAACCTTCTTTATTCATGGTTGTGATGATGGTCCTTCGTAGGATTTGGAAATCCCGGAATTGGGTGGTGTTTGAGGGGAAACAGTTTGCCTTCTTGGCCTTGGTTCGTCAGTTTCAGCAGCAAGTGGATGAATGGGTGCGGTTGCCTGGGGACCCTTCCCATGGCTTGGCTATGGGTGGCTTGCAAAGCCATCCGGCTCCGCAGGTGGATTCTAGTCTTGTCTATCGGTGGGATGGGGAGACGAAATCAGGCTCCCACTATGCGGGAGGCATGGTGCTCAGTTCAGAGGGTGGGGTCCTGAGGGCTACAGGGGTTCAGTTCCCAGTTATTGATGATCCGGTGATTGCTGAAGTCCTGGCGCTTCGGGAGGCTGTGAAGTGGTGTTTAGCTCAAGGGTTTAGTATGGTTCGCTTTGAGGGGGATGCCAAGGTAATTATCGATAAAGTTCGGCGGAGGGAGGTAGATGATAGTAGGATGGGGGTTGTTCTTAGCGAGGTAGTGCAAATATTTGTCCTTCATCCTGGTTTGAGTATTCGATTTGTAGGTCGGCGTAGTAATAGGGTAGCCCACTTGGTGGCTAGAAAGGCCCTTTCGATGTACCCGACTGCTTGTCGTGCTGTTGATTTTCAGGCTTGGCTGAGTTCCAGGATGTAACTATCTTATTCTTTTGATCAATATATATCTTTTGTTAAAAAAAAAAACGCGATGAGTGAACTACGGGAGCAACAGTATGTTATATTATTCAAAGAGAGCGGTGATCAATCCTTGGATGGCAGATTATTCAAGTGAATGGGCGCCTTACGTCAAGTACTTAGTCTTACATTACATGTTTAAGTGATTGTTTTATGTGAAGTTGTGTATTTGATTTTGTAAAATAAAATAAAAAATCAGCATGTTTACGTTAGTTGATGGTGCGTGTTATATTTGAGCTATGGTTTGAAGCATATGTTTTTGAGTTTTTCCTCTAAAGATTAGTACTTACATTCAAGGTTCAAAAAGGCGCTTGTCGTAATGCGAGCGTTGAGCCTTTGCCTATCTCGCCTAGACGTAGACTAAGTGTGTCTAGGCGTTGGGAGAAAAATAGCTATTCAAACTGCATGATGAATGAAATATCTACAACACTTCCTCAATTCAGTTCATAACTTACTAAACACTTAATGACAAGAACAAAGCTCATGAATTCATAGAATCATACCTCAATAGCTCACAAAGTTCTTGAGCTATTGAAAATATGGATATAGAAAATTGATTTTGTAGTTGACATTAATTTTCTCCTTTAATATTGACTTTCTAGATCCATCTAGTTATGTTTAGGAGAGACTTATATGTTGCCTTACTCCATTAATGTGTTCCGGTATTTAACTAGGCGTGAAGCGTGCCTTTTTTATTTATCACGAATATGGCGGTTTTAAAAGTATTAACACAAATATTGTTTTTTAGGGGATAGAAACAGTGAGTTCGCATTAGACTAAGGCGGATCCGCGATTTAAACTTTTTATGTAAAAAGCGTGGACCCGCCTCCATTTCGTTTCCTTTCCTTTCAGTTGCTCCTCACCATAAAAAATTGATGTTATGAAGCTAAACGAGAGGAGCTCTGTTGGTTGCTGCAAAGATGGCTAGGTAAGAGACACGTTAATTTTTTTAATTATATGATTAAAATGATATTATGATTTTCTTTAGTTATTAATTAGTGAATTTGTTTGTTATGTAGTGATTTTAGAAGATTTGAACTAGTCGTTCGGTGAAAATCGGAGAAAGTAGAGGACAATTTGGGCATCCATTTCGTTAGTGGTAGAAGCTTTCAATTGATAGTTCCATGCAGGGTGACATATCATCAATTTTGTGGGAATCTAATTCCGAGAATACGGCATAAAGACGAAGCATACAAGATAGTGATATGATCTCATGTTTCACTTATTGTCTTCCAGAATGGCAGAATGGTGGTATATTTCCTTATGTGATGCCTGTTGTGGATGATGATAGCTTGGATGTGCTTTTCGACTTTATGGCACAAATCCTTATTGTTTGGGTGCTGAGATACATGGTGAGATTAGCCAGGCTGATCAGGGTGAAGATGAGACATGGAGTGTGCCATCTGATCATGATTATGACGACGAAGATGAGGAGGAGGAGGAGGGAGATGGGAAAGAAGAGCAGCCTAATTATCCTCCATATTTTTACTTGCAGGGTAATGAAGAGGATAACAAATTATCATATGTTGATTCATATGGCGTAATTCCAATGCCTATTGTTGCTGGTTATGAAGGAGAATTCTATAAGGGGCAGATATATCACTCTAAACAACCTGCACAGGTGGCAATTAAATACCACGCACTACAACGCAACTTTCAGTATGTCTTGGTGGAGTCGACACTTTCAATCTGGAAGGTCAAATGCTTGAAGCACAAGGATGACAATTGTGCTTGGATGGTGCGGTTTGGATGTCGAGATGTTGGAAGCGAATGGACTGTGACAAAAGGCCGAGTTGGTGCATTCTTGTAGCAGTATGACTCAACCGACGGATCATCGTCATCTTGATGTCGACGTTATATTTGAGTCCGTGAAGCATTTGGTACGTGCCCAACCAAATCTAAGTGTTCTAACTGTTAAGGTCGAGTTGAAAGATAAGTTTAATATGCAAGTTACATAAAAGAAGGCTTGGTAGGGAAACAAAGAACATTGGGGAAGTTGCATGGAAATTGGGAAGAATCCTACGATTATTTACAAACATTCTTGTGGGTGGTAAAGAGAAAAATGCTAACATCAGTGATTGATTGGGTAAGAGTTCCTTCATCGCAACCAGGTCATTTGATCTTTCATGGAGTATCCTTGGATGGCAGATTATTGGCTGAAAATGAAGAAATCTGAAACAAATAATTTAATAATGCTAATAATAAGAAGGAATCAAGAATCTCACATCTCTTATTCTCTCTTAAAAACATTCAACAAAGAACGAATTTTGTTATATGGTTTGGAAAAAGGTCTAATAAGAAAGCAAGTCTTCCACCTCATGTGGTCCACTCACTCTTTTAGCATTGGGATTTAATTTTTTCGTTAGTTTTGTTTTAACTTTATCCAATTGCATTAATTTTATTATTACTTAATAGTGGAAAACAGAACAAACAAAGGTCTACAAAAAATTAGTGGGCAGTCGAGATCCAATCTGGGCTCCCACTTCTTTAGCTATAGCAAGCTAAGTCGAGTAAAAATATACGCAGCTTCTCGAGCCTCCACATCCTGTGACACGGAGAATTTCTGGATTCGCTTGAGTAAAGCCACGACATCCCTATCCAACTCTCCTAGCGAAGAAAAGGAAAAGGGCAGGAAACTATAACCAGTGGCCATGCAAAAGTCTAGATACTTGACACACTTTCGCTGAGCATCATCAGCAACAACTCGTCCGGGACACAAAACCAGTAATCCCAGTCTGAGTAAAAGGCGAAGATCCAGTTAGATCGACACACACATCTCGCCCCCTGTCCCAGGAATAAAGCAACAAATCCGCAGGACGAAAAGGTCCACCATGCCCATAAACCAAACTGATACCAACCTCTCTACCGGTAGAAATCTCAGACCTGTAACATATGTCCAATAAGGTGTCACAAACGAGGTTATGTCGATGCTTAATGCCCACAGTACTAGCACAGTACACAACATGATCTCTAAAGATATCACCATGAAAGGCACGAGAACAAGCAGGACAGGACTTAGATACCGAAAACAATGAGACACTCAGTCGATAACTAAGCACACTACGATATGTCCTCCCATTCATAGTCTACCCTAACCCAACAATAGGAACAACGCGCAATCAATCATAAGAGTGCGCACTCTACTGAGACTTCCACAAAACCACCTGACGCGTAGTCAATGAGAAAACAAAATCTGAACTAGCAGCAACCTTTGCGAAATATATGTCTGCCAATTTCTTCACAAGTTTTGGGGAAGCAACTCCACTAGGGTCACGCAAAGAGATTAGAACCTGTAAATTCATTAAATGTGCGTAGGGGATCATCAAAAGAAGGACCAGGAGATAGGCTACCAGAAGGACCTAAGAGTTTAGCTTGCAACTACACAGACTGCAAATGGGATGCCAAAAAAACATAATGTAGGACATCTCCGGCAGCATAAACCGCAAGCCCACCTAAATGAAAAAGGAAGGTGGCAAGCCTAAACTGCCAATCGCCAAACCCAGGACCAGAAGCAGTGACAATACGTTTTAAACTAGAACGAAGAGCTGTGTCGAAAGATAGCTGGGCCGACCCAAAAACACGAGGAGAGCAAGTACACAAAGCAAAGTAGAGTTTAGAAATACCAGTACAAGCCTGCAAAAAAGCAACTCACACTATGTGTCATCAATCCTCGCAACCAAGTCCATCAACTCGACGGTCCTGGTAACTCTCTTAATTTTATTATTATTCAAAAGTACATCATCATGTGGTCCACTCGTTCTTTTAACCTTTGGATTTAATTTTTTTTGTTCTTATTGTTTTAATTTTATCCCAATGCATTAATTTTATTACTATCATTATTATTCAAAAGTTACATTCAAAAGCCAATACTCCATAACATTAATTAGCATATATAGAGGTCTATGAGGCTCGTATAACTTGGAGGCTCTGTGCTGAAGGTCTTAAAAATCGTCCTTATATTATAATATATATATATGATTTTGTCCTTGATGTTCTCACTTTTTTTTGCGCATGTTTACACTCATCCCATAATCATCATTCTAATTAGACATTTCAAAACGATATCAACCTATTACTTTTAATATGATGGGGAAAATGCATGAATTTCCTAAAAAAATAAAACAGATTTACTTTAATTTGCATATATTTCTCTGCTCTATTACGTTTGAGGTGGTGGTGCTGTCCAATACTTCTTGACAGCAAATAGTATTTTCTCCCTGTGCCTTGGACCGTCTTCATGGTCTGCAATCATTCCATCCCATTGCATTCCTTGTATAATGCTTTTCACCTTCACTAACACATCCACATCGTCTCTTATAATTACACTCCCCTGTGGCCTCAGTATTCTATCCATCTCAACCAGAATGTCTTCCATTTCACATCTGCAAACCAATTTTTGCATACACTTGCTGCTATTAGCTTTCTTACTTTTCAGTTTTCACCATGTTCCTCTCATTTCAGTTATTGCACTTTACATACTACAATACTAGAATGGCTTACTTGCTCTTGTAGAGGCTGAAGATTGAATCTGCATGAATGAAATCATAAGTCCTTGGATATGTTGACATGGCTTCACACCTGTGATAGAGAGAGTTCAGAGTCAAGGACTGACAATTTGGACCATTAACCAATTAAGCTCCACAAAAGACGGTATGGCTTGGGCATGTTCATTAGGGTAATAGGGTCACTTTCTTGTTAGGTAAGCAATTTTAAGTAGTTTAGCATCTCCCTTTCTTGTTAGGTAAGCAACTCCAGTTGGAAGGTAGCAGCAATCATCCTATAATAGAAAATCTTTAGTCAAATGGTTAGTTGGTTGGAGAGCATTACCAATTCTGATAGGTGCCAATCAAGCCGCGCTCGTAGATCGCTCCTAAGGTATCGACTCGAGATTCAACAGGGACGGCGTTCATGACCCAGACCGGGTCACGAACCAGCGCAGCTGCAAACCCACCTAGGTATGCATTCATGTCGAGCAAGTTCCTGTAGCGCCCGGTCTGGGCAAGCTGCTGGTCGACCCTCTTGTAGTATCCTGCTCGTTTCTGCCACAGCTTTGTGTTCTCGTTAAACTTCTCTGCTGTGATTCCTTCAAGGCTCCCATTTCGGATTCTCGGAGGGATCGCAGTTAGCCTTTCGGGCCATTTGGGTAGTGACCCACCTGCTGTTTCCTTGATGTCAGATACTTCAGGGAGTGGTGTTATGCAAGTCTCCAATTTTGTATACCTGAAGACAAAGAGAGGGTTTTTTTAAAATGTTATCTGAGGATGCCCTTTTTCTTTGCTTGTTTCACAAGTAAAGATGCAAATTACAAAAAGCTGAAGCAAAATGCCAATTTCCTTGTAAAGATAATGACAGGTTAACTTGCAAATGTTGACAAACTTAAAAAGAGGGCCATTTTTCAATTGGGTCCAGCTGCTCTTTTATTATCCTGATGGTTTTGGTATCTATCTAACAATCACTCCAATTCGCCTACCAACTAACAGATTCACAATAGCACAGGAAGAAAATAAAGAAAGATGCCCCTTTTTTTCTCCTGTAACCTGGTTTGGTTTGGTTTGAAATTCAAAAGGAGAAAAACAGTGTAATGAAAATACCAACCAGGCTTGATCAGGGTTCTGAGAAGTGCAGAACCCGGGCTGGCGAAAGACCCGCCTGGTGGCCCTGCAGTGGACATGATTGGTGGGTTTCTGCCAGATCGCAATGTCGTTCTTCTGCACCAGTTTCTTCCAGCAGATGCTCTTGCCAACTCGCTCGACGCGATCCTGTTCTGCCTTGAGATCCTGCATTGTTCTGTTCCATCCCCTGTAGTGTCCTTCCCAGTTGATTGGAGGGCCCGAGAGTATCCAGTACCCTCCTGGCCTCAGCAACCTGTCCACTTCCAGCAGGTACTGCCCGTCGTATTCGCCCCAAGGGATGAGGCAGCGCGAGCAGTGAGCAATGTCGAATGCCCTCGATGGGTATGGCAGTCTGATCGAAGCAATGATCCCGATCAGGGCCGGGACTCCACGTTCGAGTGCGAATTGGACCTGAGCTTCGTGGCTGTCTCTTGGTGCAAATGACACTGTTAGAACGTTTCTGGACAGCAGGTATGCCCCAAAGCTTGCAACCTGTGCCAGCCCCACAACACCAAAATACAAATAATGATGATAATGTAATTGGTATCGTTTAATTAGAGGGAAAAGGATATCGTTAATCTTGGGTTATCTAAATCTCTTCCCTTTCACATGGACTGAGAAAGTGACAGAAAGTGACTTGTATTCTAAGAACAAAGAAAGAAGATAAAATCATTGGTTCATTCTGTTTTCTTTCTTGAAAAAGAGAAGGGCTAGCGTAGATCAGCAAAAGACCATTTTCCTCAAATCCAATGACTAATACAATATCATTGATTGTTACACCACAAAAACCGAGTTAATTAGGTGTACTGATTATATTGGTCTTGTTGCTCTCCAAATTTTAATTTTATTATTTTTATTTTCTTTGGAGTTGCTACAATTTTCCAGGACTCATTGACCTTTGAACAGCCAGCGTTATTGGAGTTACACACAACGTAAACCATTAAGGAAGGAAGAACGACGCTTTCTCGTTTCTTCTCTCAGCCAAAATTCCATCGAAATTAGTGACCCAACTAAAACGTAACCTTTCTACTACGGCCGGCTGGTTGCCTAAAACTCAACACCAGGGTTGTGATGTGATGGTGGTGACATGTTGCCCCAGTACCAATCGGGTTCAACCGATACCGCGGTTACAAAATTGGTTGGAATATCTTCATTATGATCGGCATTATCGATTTTTTAGTTTTTTTTTTTAAAAAATGACATTGTTTTTGTGAATTCTATTAATAAAAAAGTAATTGTGATTTAGTTGATAAATGTGAAAGTTAATTGTAGATGTTATTTGTTTGATTCAAACATGAATATTTAGATGTTTATGTTATTTGTTGGATTCAAGTATCAAATTTGGATAATAGCATTAAATGTGTTATTTAAATGTGGATTTTTATTTTATTTTGTTTGAACGTCATATTTTGTTTAAATATGAAAATAGATTTCAGAAAGATTGTTTTGTTTATATATACTTAAATATATTAACTATTATTGATTTCTCATTTCTCTACATGTTTCACTAACCCGACATGAACTGAAATATACCAATTGGACCATATAACTTGTCTAACTAGCACAACAATACAAACCGGTTTGACTACCTTGCTCAACAATAAAACTAAAAAAACCCACTTTCTTAGCCAACTAAATGAATGCTCCATTTTTGTAATAAATTAAAATCTCACTCCCACTGTCACCGCACTCACACCTATTAATTATTTAATTAATTGCCATTTTTTTTGTCAACAATATAAATTCTAATACTCTAATTAATTGCCCCCGTAAATACAATTTACGACCGTCAAAGTAAAATTAAAACGAACCCATATTTGATATTTTTCCTTTTTTTTTTTCGTTGAATGATATTTTTCCTTTTTTCCTTCTAAATAAATTAAAATAAAATAAAATCCTAGTCTAAGTCCAGCATTCCTTCACGCAGTAGATATTGCAGAATTAGAATATCCCTCATTTTAATATTCACGGGCAGGCGCAGCAACGTGACAAATCAAGTAAAGAATGAATCCGGCATTCAATACCAAAAACAAAGACAAAAGAAGAAGCAGAAGCCAAAATGTCAGCCAAAATTAACACTACTACTACTGGACCGGACGCCGGACGGTTGTCGATTCAGTGGTTAGAAAGAAAACAGAGGAAAAGGGGAAGATCACATTACCCCGCAGCCGGTGTCAATGGCGGTCCTGATTGACCCATCTTTGAGATTGATCAATTTCCCAATTTCATCAATGTAAGCGTCAGCTCCCCGGGGGAACATCGTCCCGCCGCCGGGGAACCTGAACCGATCGCCTTCGTAATGGACCCAATTCTGCTTCCCCTTCTCCACCGTCAGCTCCTTGTGCGGCACATTAGCGTACCACGCCAGTTCCCTGCTCTCCGGCCACCGGAACGGCACCCGGTACCCGTGCGGGGCCGGGACCCGACACCGGAGCCGCTCCTCGCCGCTCGCCGGGCAGTGCCGCTCCCTGTAGATCAGCCGCGCCCGATCGAACGCGAGGGAGCGGCGGGCGTCCTCGCAGGGGGTGTACTCGGAGTAGGAAGGGTCGCAGGGTGGGAGCTCCGGCACGGCGGCGGCGGACGGCGGGGGGTCGGCGGGACGGTGGTGGGGCTCGAAGTCGAGGGTGATGTTGGCGACGACGGGGATGACGCAAGCGACGGCGTTTTTTTGGGTTTGGGCTAGAACAGGGGAGGGGAGGGGAATTGAGCCGCGGGCGTTTTGGTAGAACCCGATGAGGTAGAAGACGGAGCAGAGGATTACGGCGGCGAGGGCTTTGATTAGGTTCGGACGTTTGATTTTGGAGGCTGTGATTAGGTGATGGTAATTGGAAAACGGCGGCGCCATGGATGTGATTGGGAAGAAGAAAAGAAATGGGGAGCTTTCAGGCAGAGATGGAAAGAGGGAAAAACAGAGTGTGGATTTTAAAGAGGGGAGGAGAGGCAGAGAGGGTGACGAGTGGAGTTTTCAAGGAGAGCGAGTGATGGGAACGCGCGTTGTTGTCTCGTGAGGGAGTTAAAAGCGACGGTAAGGGGAAGGAAACAAACATGCAGCGGCTGGCAGTGATGGATAAAAAGGATTGAGAGTCTGATATTTAATCGGTTCCTCCATTGTTCATCAGTCCCAGAGAGGATGGTCTACATTTTTGTTGGTAACGAAGTATAACGAGAGAATGGATGATGCAACTATTATCAGTGATGTGAAACCGGTGGGGTGGATTGATAATCAGCGCTGATTTCTTAATAAAAAATATTCTCGTTCAGAATGAACGAGACTAATCCATGAAGAAGGAAAACCTACTCGAATCGATTTTGATTAATCAGTCGCAGCTCTCTCTACCGCTTACACAGTCAAACCGAGTTTAGAAATGCATATATACGTAACCCTATGCCACACTACTCCTACGGTTAGGGGAAAAGAGCAAGTCAAAAGACCAAACTATCCCTACGCCAAGTCAACATGTATTCCTTTGCCCCTCCCCTCCGACAACCGGGGCATGCAGATTACAAATGCCCAGCTTGGAGAGCAAGTAATGAAACCGATCACCACCCAAGCCCTTGGTAAAGATATCCGCCAACTGGTCTTGTAAGAGATCTTCTGAGGAGAAATGGTACCCAATGAAACGTGATCTCGAACGAAAGAGCAGTCTAATTCCATATGCTTCGTACGTTCGTGGAACACAGGATTGGCTGCAATATGTAAAGCAACCTGATTATCACAATTCACAATGCAGCACAGTGGGGGTAGTAAGAGTGACCCCAAGGTCCCAAAGTAAAGCACGTAACCAGATTACTTCACTGACAGCATTGGCCATGGCCCGGTACTCAGCCTCCTCAGAGGGACGCGCAACGATAGTCTGTTCCATCGTGCGCCAGGACGCCGGAGCCGAACCAAGAGTAACAAAATACCCAAAAGTAGATCTCCGAGTAGTCTGGCAGCCAGCCCAATCGGCATCACAGTACGTAGTCAACTGGAGAGTGCTCGCAGAAGGAAGAAGAAAACCCCGGCCAGGAGCGGTCTTCAAGTAACGGAGAACTCTATCTGCAGCGACATGATCAGGAGTAGGAGAATTAACAAACCTGCTCAAGATGTTAACAACATAAACAATATTCGGGCGAGTAACGGTGAGGTACTGTAGACGGCCAACCAAACACATGTATGCAACATCATCAACGGGAGAAGAGGGCGAGGACGAATCATCAGCTGGCCGAGTAAGCTGGCGAATTTGCTCGATGGGAAAGGAACTCGGACACCCCCCCCCCCCCGTAAGCCCAGCATCATGGAGCAAATCCGGGGTATGTTTGCGTTGACTAAGAACAATATCCTTCGAAGAACGAGCCACTTCAATCCCAAGAAAATACTTCAAGTCTCCCAAATTCTTGATACGAAACCTGTTGTCTAAAGCCTCCTTGACATGTTGGATAAACTCCATGTCATTGCCAGCTAGAATCACGTCATCTACGTAGATCAATGCCACAACAAAAGTAAAGCCCTGCCGCCGAATGAACAAAGAGTAATCTGCCTGTGATCAAGTAAACCCCATGCCAAGTAATGTATTGGTGAACTTAGCGTACCAGTTTCGAGAAGCATGCTTGAGTCCATAAATTGACTTATGTAGACGCCACACACGGTTATCACCCGGTGCTGCAAAACCCTATGGGATTTTCATGTAAACCTCTTCATGCATGTCACCATGAAGGAACGCGTTGTTCACGTCGAGTTGATGAACAACCCAGCCACGATCAACTGCGATAACAAGCAAGGTACGAACACTAACCATCTTGGCAACGGGGGCAAAAATATCATGATAATCTATGCCTTCCACCTGAGTAAAATCCTTAGCCACCATATGAGCTTTGTAACGTTCAACCTCGTCATTAGTTGGATATTTTATTTATACACCCATTTAGGCGTAATGGCCTTCTTTCCGGGCGGCAAAGGAACCAAAGACCACGTCCTATTAGCCTCCAACACTTGCATTTCCTTCATAGACTCACGCCATTCACTATAAAAAATGGCCTGATGAAAATATATGGGCTAGGGAATGCGCGAGACAGCAGCAAGGAACGCTCGATGGCGTGGGGATACTGCATGATAGGAAACATGGTTATAAAGGGGATGCAAAATATTTGAGGGTGGCAACTCAGTATCGTTGACCTCCACGTAATTGGAAGACCGGTGCTCAGAGACTATCGTCATATGATCGCTGCTCTAGACATAGGCTTAGAGGTTTGTGCGGTCCCTAGAACTACCAATCAGGCTACCCATAGTGTGGCAATAAAAGCCCTTTCTCTATCTAGTTTTAGAATTTCTTTCGTTTGATTTTGTTACTTTGGGTGGGAGGAATTATAGGGTAAGCGTTATTCTAACATTCTATTGTCATATCTCATAATAATAATAATAATTAATGAGGCTTCTTCATTCATAAAAAAAAAGTATAACCAATCAACAGTTACACCTCATTATCAACCATTTTGTTTCAATCTGGATGTCAAATTAAATAGGATTACTGAGACTTCTTAATATGAGTTTCTTTATCTATTGAACGCGAGAAATCATACTATTAGTGATAACGATGCAATTGCACATATTTGCACCCCTAGTTCTTATCCGTTTGAGGGGCATAGTCGTGTACTTTTGGCCTATTTTACGCCGGGTTGTGCTATTTTGTCATATTTCAGGTCCCAGGCGTAAGGCTAAGCACGAGTTTCGGGGCATTCGGAAGTCATTTCGTCGAGCTGGAGCCAAAACACGGGCACACCTAATTCATTACACGGCCGTGTTCTCCCAAAGCACGACCGTGTTCTGTGGCCGTGCTTTTACTGCCGAGAGCTAATTCGAGTTTGGCAAACATGAGCTGATTACACGGGCTGAAAGCACGACCGTGTTCTCCCAAAGCACGGCCGTGTTCTCTCCAAAGCACGGCCGTGTTTCTCCCAATGCACTGGCCGTGTAATTAACACTAGCCAAAGCACGGGCGGGCTGAGGCAAAGCACGGCCGTGCCCTCGACCGTGCTTTGGCCTGTGATGCCTTTTTAAGCAGATTTTCAGCCAAAGAGAAGGGGATTCGAGTTTTTGAGAGAGAGAACGATTCCTAGAGAGAGAAAGCGACGAACAAGAGTCTCCAAGCGCCCTAGCTTGATCTTCAACACCATTGGAGGCCAGTTTGAGCTTGGAGAAGTGCCGATCTTCAACACCATTGGAGGCCAACATCCCAACTTCGCCTGGAGCAGCAACACCACTAAACCACCTGGTTTCCCAGCACCAGCAGGTGGTTTTCAGCAGAGGCAGCCCTTCCAGGCTCGACAGGGGCCACCCCCACAGCAGCAGCCCTACCAGCCTAGGCAGGGGCAACCATTCCAGCAGCCCCAACGCCAGTTTGCCGAGCCAGCAGCAGCTCCGGCCCCAGATGACCGGATGACAAAGCTGGAAAATATTCTAGCTTCATTCATGACTAGCACTCAGGCTGCTATCACGTCACTGGAGGCAGGTCAGCGGAACCAGGGTTCCATTTTGCAAGATCTGCAGACCCAGGTGGGCATCTTGGCCCGCCAAAACACTACCAGGGCACCAGGGACTCTGCCTGCCACCACTATCCCGAATCCTCGGGATCCTCACCAGCTCCAGTAGCTGGATGCCATTTTTACCAGGAGCGATAAGACCATATCTGCTGATCCTGTCCCGGCCAGACAGGAGGAACCATCACCTGCTTCAGCACTTCCAGCCGATGATGCAGAAGTGCGGGTGGAGAAGGAAGCCCTTGCTCCCAAGCCACAACCAGTGGTTAAGGAGCATGTACCTCAGCTTCCCTTCCCCACTCGCCTCCACAAAGACAAGCTGGAGACTGAGTTTGCCAAGTTTATGGCAATGTTGAAGCAGCTCAACATCAGCATACCGTTCGTGGAGGCACTGTCGAAGATGCCCAAGTATGCCAAGTTCATGAAAGACCTCCTCACCGACAAGAAGAAACTTGGGGATCTTTCGACAGTGATGCTCAGTGAGGAGTGTTCTGCTATCCTGCAGAACAAGCTGCCCGAGAAGCGAAAAGACCCAGGGAGTTTTACTATCCCTCTTACTATTGGCAGCATGCATGTAGGCAAGTCCTTGGCGGACATAGGCGCTAGCATAAATGTCATGCCATATAAGTTGTATAAAAAGCTAGACCTAGGTGAACTTAGCCCTACTAGGATGAGCATTCAGCTAGCTGATCGTTCCATTGTGCATCCTAGGGGGATCATAGAGGATCTGCTTGTTAAAGTAGTGCATTCACATATCCTGTTGATTTTGTTATTCTTGATATACATGAGGATGTGGATGTGCTTTTGATTCTGGGTAGACCATTTCTTGCCACCGCCAAGGCACTTATTGATGTGCATGATGGTAAACTGATCTTGCGTGCTGGGAATGAACAGGCTATCTTCTCTGTGACTGACTTTGATCACTGTGCTATTATTGCTGTCACACCTGTGCATGCCATTTCTGATCAGGTACACGAGCCTGTCGTGTATCCTTCTGCACCTCTTATTTTGCAGGACCCTCCTGTCATTCCTTCGCCGCCACTCCATCCAGCCTCGCCTCCGACCAAAAAGCTCAAGGAGGAGTGGCGGCCGAAGCAGCAGGTTGCTAAGCCTGCGCGGAAGAAGAGTGGAGACCACTACGAGCTAGTCCCACCTCCTGCACCACAACCATCCTGGCCGTCCGGGTACTCACTCGCCTGCATCTTACCGGATGGCCAGGTCGAGCTGACCGATGATGGTGGTCGCATCCGTCGGGTGCATGGCCACAACCTTAAGCTGTACCTCAAGAGCGACGTGGATCCGCTCTTGGAGGCACCTGTTCCTGCACCTCCCTGAGTATCCACCATGGGCGTCCAGCTAAAAGACGGTAAAGAAGCGCTTGTGGGGAGGCAACCCCACCACGGTTTGACTTTCTTTCTTGTGTTTTGAGTCGGATTGTAAACCGGTTTGGTTTTGGTTTGTTTTCTTTTGTTTGGGATGATGTATTATTGGGCTGACCATTGGACCTAACATATTGTGCTTGAGCTCTTTGGTTTCCTTTAGCTGTGCTTGGCTTGACTAGTCCTCTCTCCAGTCCGCTTCACTCCGACTGGTCCGCTTCCAGTCCCCTGCAGTCCGTGCATACCGGTAACATCGTTCCCCTTATCCTTCCCTCTTCTCCATTGAGGGCAATGTCGATCTTAAGTGTGGGGGGGATGTTTATCTTGTGACTGCATTAGATCTGTTTGTGTGCTTGGAGCCTAGTCCACTGTCCAAATTTTTAAATTTGAGGGCTCCAAGTACGTGTTCCTTGCAATTGCCTGCTCAGTATGCTTTGAATTGGCAGTCTTTATAATAATATGCAACCTAGGGAGGTAGTGTAGCACAATGGAGGATGTTGATGCATTTAAGAAGTCTCATTTCTTCTTCATATTGTGTTGGTTGATTGAGTGAATTAGTGATCTTAGGACCATTGAATGGTGTGGTGTTGTGGATTCTCTACCTGTCATGGACTCTTGTATCATGTTTTGAGTTTAACAGGTGCTCGAAAATGTGCTTCAAAATAACGTCTCCCGTGCGAATAGGGCGAAAGTGTGTAAGGGGAGACGGGAATCCGTTCCCAATTTCCACCTACTACCTCCAGCCCCCTTACATGTCTTTCCCCCGCACGAGGCTCGAGACATCCGCTCCTGGCATGGACGGTAAGAGCCGGTTGGGACCCTTGAAAAAAGAAAAAAAAGAAAAAATAACAGAAAACAAGCAAAACTGAAAGAAAAGGGGTTCCAACCATCTTCAAGAAGAAAATAGAGCACCTTGAAAAATGTGAGTCCATGATCCTTTGTTTTTGAGAATCTCTTCATCCACAATTCATTTGTCCTCTGTTCACTATTTGCCATGATGCCGACTCGATACTAGTGCTCTCGCCGAAGAAGCTATGAGATGACTTGTGCGTCGGTTGACCTCGTAAGTTGCTAAATGATCTAGGAAGTCCTCTACCTAAGATCTGGGTTGTTTGTTGCTATAGAGGTCTGGAGAGTTGCATTGGTTTGAGTTAGGTTTGCTTGGGGACAAGCAAACGGTTAAGTGTGGGGGAGTTTGATAACGATGTAATTGCACATATTTGCACCCCTAGTTCTTATCCGTTTGAGGGGCATAGTCGTGTAATTTTGGCCTATTTTACGCCGGGTTGTGCTATTTTGTCATATTTCAGGTCCCAGGCGTCAAAGGAAAGGCTAAGCACGAGTTTCGGGGCATTCGGAAGTCATTTCGTCGAGCTGGAGCCAAAACACGGGCACACCTAATTCATTACACGACCGTGTTCTCCCAAAGCACGGCCGTGTTCTGTGGCCGTGCTTTTACTGCCGAGAGCTAATTCGAGTTTGGCAAACATGAGCTGATTACACGGGCTGAAAGCACGGTCGTGTTCTCCCAAAGCACGGCCGTGTTCTCTCCAAAGCACGGCCGTGTTTCTCCCAATGCACTGGCCGTGTAATTAACACTAGCCAAAGCACGGGCGGGCTGAGGCAAAGCACGGCCGTGCCCTCGACCGTGCTTTGGCCAGTGATGCCTTTTTAAGCAGATTTTCAGCCAAAGAGAAGGGGATTCGAGTTTTTGAGAGAGAGAACGATTCCTAGAGAGATAAAGCGACGAACAAGAGTCTCCAAGCGCCCTAGCTTGATCTTCAACACCATTGGAGGCCAGTTTGAGCTTGGAGAAGTGCCGATCAACGTCCAGGAGCAGGAATCCATCCTTCACAGTATGAATTCCGTGTCTGATTATGCTTTTGCTTCTTTCTCCATGGAGTAGTTCTCCCATTCATCTGGGTATGGAGAACCCTAGATTTGTATGTTAGGTTTGATTGTATGAACCCAAGTACTGATTCTATGATTTGATTATATTCGATTGAGGTTTGAATGATTGAATGACTTGAATCCTGATCAAATTCCTGTTGTTTCTGCTTTAACCTAGAATGAGAATATCTGCCTAGGTTGATAGAGCATCCTTGATTGAAGGTAGGGAGTTGGTGACTTTAGTCGAGGAGCCAACTCACTATTCTGTACCGGATTTACTCCGGTAGTGGAGGTTTTGTTTGTTAAGGCCTCAATCTGTTTACTCCGGTGGAGGTTAGTCGCCCGCTAGAGACTCAGATTGAGAGGGTCTGAAGACCTTTAGTCGAGACTTCAGGCTGTTTAAGAACCTTCCGCAGTATAACTATCATAGAAACTGAACTTGGTAATTACAATTCGGCTTAACTGCAGTCTAGGGGGAACCATATCCGGGTGACCTCTCTTAACCTGAATACAACAGTTTACTTGCTTTGTTAGTTTGTTAGCTTAGACTTGCATTAAAGTTTCATTGCTAGATAACAAGAATTCACTGAGTAGTCATCAAATCTAGGACCCGGGTTGATAATTAAACCTAAACCCGCTATACTACGCTTTAGGAAGTGGTTTCACTTGGCCAATTCCTAGGGTGACAGTAGAAGTGAGTCAAGTTTTTGGCGCCGTTTCCGGGGAACGGCTAGGTTGTTGAAGAAAAGTGATTTCTGTTAATTTAGCTTTTCTTTTTGCTTTGTCCCACTTGTGCCTTCACGGGTTTGCTTGCTTGAGTGTGTGCAGGTAGTGCATGACCCGTAGCCAGTCAGGAGGTTTACTGCCGTTGAATCCAGAGATTGATCGCACCTGTCGCCAGCTCAGGAGACAACAACGAGCTAGACTGGCTACGGAAGAGCGCATAGACGGCCACCTGAGTAGCTAGACTGGTTGAAATTCTTTCAAACAGAAACATACAAAAACAGATAAAAACGCATTTTTGACCGATTTTACCTTCTCTTACCGTTTTTTTAATATTTTTGCTCATAATACGTTTTATATAGAAACTTAAGCATTTTGCCTAGCAGAAATTACAAAACATGCGTTTTAAGACGCGTTTTTTTACTACATTGCTCATGGCAATTTAAGATATAATTTTCATAACGGAAAATAAAGTTGTTTCCTAATAAATAAAAAATAACATTAAAATGTAGAGATAATTTTAACAAAAAATTAGCCAAATTATGTACGAAATATGTCGAAATCCAATCCCAAACATAGCCACGACATAACCCGTCCCATGTATGCACAGGACATGTAGGAAACCTATTCTATACATGTTGGGACTTGTCAAAAACCTGTACGAAATATGTCAGGAGATGCAGGAAATACCCGAGACATGTTGAGAACCTATCCCAGAAATACCCTAAACATGTGGAGAACTCGTCCTGAACATCTTCAAAAATGTTCTAAATCCGTACCTGACTTGTTTCAGGCATGTTCTCAACTCATCCCAAACATGTACATGACATGTTTTCAACCCGCCACAGACATGTCCAGGACAATTGCTTGAGATAATTGAGTCAGATTGACTAGTTTCACAACATAAAATTTGGATGAAGCAATTTGGCCTGGAAAATTTCGAATTGATTTGTTTTGAAGCAATTACAATTGTCTTAGGCTAGTGCAGATAATTCAAATTGACTTGTTTTAATTACTCATTTTGTAAAATGAAACAGTTGACCAAATTGTCTCGTATTGCAATTGATTCATCGAGATGATCCATAAAAGAATTATTTTTATTATTTCTTCTACAATGTTTCATAAATTGTATACACACTCCGACCTTCTAAAGACAGACTGATTTTTGCTATTTTAGTTGAAATTTATTGTTCTCAATCACAAAACCAAACTCGCTTCTATGTAAAACAACACATATATGATATATCCCTACTAAAAGAGCTTTTCCACTGTGCAGTAAACGCAAAACCAAGAAGCGCACACTGGCCCAAAATATATACAGCAGAACCTTCAAATTCAGTTATCCATGGAAGCTTAAGCTCCTGGTGATGGTGACTCATTGGCTGGCTCTCATGAATTAAACTGTATCTCTTGCTCCAACCAGCCATCCCCTCTTATTATCAGCACACCATTTTTAAGTTTTATGGATCCAAGTCCAACCAACTTAATTATCAACCAAGCTTCAATAATTGAGGATAAACAAAGACAAAAACACAACACCAAACTAGAGATTAGCATATTTATTTTAGGTTTTGAGTTCAAAATAAGGTTTCATGAACAAAAGGAACTGATGGAATTTCAACAAAGGGTCATGTCTCACATTTTGCATGGCTGATATGGATCAGGGGTTGAAGAAGTTAAAATGCATATTCAAAAAGGTAAGGTTTGCAAGGAGGAAATCGAAACAAATCTGCATTGTCTTAGGGATTGCGAGACAATCAAAAAGGTTTGGGAGAGGATTCTGCCGATGCAAGCTAGGCAACAATTCTTTGGGTCCGATCATGATGGTTGGTTTAAACTCAATCTGGAGAATAACTCGCGTGGCGTTTGGCCAGGTGAATGGGCGACCTTTTTCTCCTTTGATTACCTGGTGCTTGGCCAGTTAATTCATTCACACACTTGTGCTCAAAGCCCTCAAATTTTTGAAATTTGGGCACTCATTAAGGCTCCAAATCATTCATAGAATAGGCCAACCACTAATTCACACCACTCATTCACACACACAACATATAATCATATATCATGCAATACACCCCCCCCCCCCACCCACACACTTAAGCACGACATTGTCTTCGATGGAGAAAAGATAAGAAGGGTAGAACGAAGTTACTGAATTAGGTGTGAATAATGGTGGAGGGACTTGGGAGGTCGGATGTAATTCAAAAGAGCAAGGTAACGTCCCAAAACACCGTAAGCTCCCAAAAGTTGAATTATTTACTGGGGAACCAAAGCAAAGTGAAAAGAAATGCAAACCTTAGTGGTTGGGTTGCCTCCCAATAAGCGCTTCTTTAACGCCATAAGCGTGACAGTGGCTCCTAAGTCTCGATCCACCCCAAAACCTCCAATGAAATTTTTGTGTGGTTCTCTCATGTTGTGTTTGGTTAGATATGCCCCCATGACCATTATCAATGATTGGTGGCATGCCCTTCTGTCAAGACTTAGCAATCTTAGTAGGCTTATCACAAACACGTGTAGCTTGTGATTGTTGTGGCCTTTTGGACATCATAACATGCCTCAGCTGAACATTTCTGCTTCAGCTTGTGGGGTGGTAGATTTTTGTGCCCCTCTTGTTGGGATCTAGGTGGTTTGACTCCATAAAAATCCTATCATTGCCTACTCACTAGGGGTGGCATTAGGAGTGGGCAAGCATACGTTAGTACTTGGTCCAATTTGAATGAATCTCCACCACCTACTTCATTGAAATGTGTCATAGATGGTATTATATCTATAATGGGCAGTTGAACACAACTTGTTCAGACAAGTCTCCGTCTTGGGTGTTGACTGAGGAGGCAAATCTCTCACCACAACTCTAGCGTTGAGGGGGTATGTGGTTGGCTTATCAATGGCACTGACAAGCTCTCCTACCATAGTTGTACATTTCGGCCACCAATATGAGAGTTTGTACTCCAAATAACACTATTAAATAATGGCTCTTTACCATCCAGTGGTAGAGCCATTGATTGGACCACTCGTTTAGTTAATAGTTGTGTCAACTCGCTAAATCACTTCTATTTTCGTCACACAACTCAATAAATTGACTATAAGACGCCTATCTTGATGAGAGTTGAGAGAATCAATTTGAGAACTTACTTTTATGGGTACTTCTCGCAAAGGCTTCATGAAGGTTCTCCACCATCAACATGTGGTTCTCCTCCGAGGCTAGACAACTCTCCGCCATAACATTGTGGTTTTCCTCCACCATATGGTGAAGTAACATGATATTGGTGGTTATATCAACACTTGGTGCTGCTGGTGACGAAGTCTACACCATGCCATTATTTCCGGCAATACCCTCTGTGTCTTGGCCAAATTCAACATTAGCCACTTGCTTCTCACAAGCCTAGGTGAGAGATCATCTTCTTGTTGCCTCTATCGTGGTGCCATTAAGTTAAACACAAAGGTCCCATTGGATGTGACAATTTGTTTTTTGACGAGAAAACTTGCGTTGAATGAAATTGATTGCAAATTTGACTTCTAACCTAAACGATTCTAAATATTGTTCACACCTCTTCAAATACAGTTTGAATGAGGATGTTTGATTAATGGTTTTTGGAACAAGAACTACACTAAATTACTTCTACTCCTATGAAGATTTATTAAAAGTTCTAAACTACGACTATGGCTACTTGCAGAGAAATATTAAAACTTGACATAGGCGTTAGGTTTGTGGTTTGGGGAACCCTTCTCTCTGTCGACTATTCCTCCTATTTATAGCCACGAGGAGATAACTATCGTAGAAAAACCACCACTTGAATACCTCCCAAAAGGAACTACTCCCTACATCCTCAAAATGTGACTAAGGTACCTCTCTTGAAACTAGGGGTGGGCATTCGGTCGGTTCGGTTTCGACCGAACCAAAATTATGAATACCGGGTCCCCTAATACTCCCAAACCTCGAACCGAATTATAATTCGGTTTGGTTCGGTTTTTAACACAAACCGAACTTGTGAGGCTACTTGTATCTTCTCATTGTTAAATTATTTTTACCCCTAATATAAACAATTAATATGCAATTATATGCATCATCAATGATAAATCAAACTTTTCAACACATAAGTCATAAAACATTTCAAATATTGAAGTCTAAAAACCACTACAAACATAAAAACCCACCATTTGGAGGTTGCAATCATAGTATTTCGGTTTTTCGGTCGGAATTTCAGTTCGGTTGAAAGAATCCTGATTTCCGAAATATCCCTATTTTCCTTCCGAATTCCGAACCAAATATCATTATTTCGGTTTTGATTCGGTTTAATTCGGTTTCGGTTCAATTCGGGTTTACCGAACCGTTTGCCCACCCCTACTTGAAACTGTCATGGGTAGCTTGCCTCGGCCAATCTTGATTCAAATCTTGTGTCATGCTAGTCTCTTCTCACTCGTGCCCATGGTCCCTCTCTTGAGAAGGCATGGTCTTCCCAAACTTAGTATATTTTTTAGCATTCGGTCTTGGTCATAAGGCTTAATCTCATGACATGACCTCTTCATTCGTGGTCATGTACTTCTCAGTCGTGTTCATGGTCCCTCTCATTGGAACATGAACCTCTATACGGCCATGGCATTTCTCGTGAGGCAGCATGAACCTCTAAACTGCCATTGCCCTTCCAGACTTACTCTTTTTGTATACGGCTTGAGGGTCATATTTTATTAACCTTGTGGCATGATATGACTTACTCTCTCATTGAATCATGCTCAACCTCACTATAAATTAGTAATTCGATAAATTTGGAACATATAAAAGAATCTGGAAAAGATTTGAACCCAATTTTTATTAGTTGGCCCGCGCCCACGCCTTGACAGTTGACCCAACCAAATGCCAATTGATCAAACCGAAACGACGTAGTAACCTTGTGACGTCGTTTCCCACAGTCTGCAGTCTGCACAACAAAACCTTCCACCGCCTCAAGTCATGGTAGAAAACCAAGTGTAAGAGGGAGAGACGGTACAGTCCCGTAAGTTCGATTGCTTACCACGGAACTTCCCTCCCAGCAGCCCTAAAACCCTAACCCCACCAAAATTCGCTCTGCTCCATCGGCAATGGAGGCAGACGACGAGATTTACGCCAACGGCGGCGACGATACGAGCCATACCAGGCCGATTATTAGTGGCGAGCAGCTCGACATCGAAGCCTATGCCGGGCTATACTCTGGGAGGACTAAGATAACGCGGCTCATCTTCATCGCCGTCCATTGCGGGAACCCATCCATGGAGAGGGAAGCGCTCAGGATGGCCTACGACGAGATCAAGAAAGGCGAGAACACCCAGCTGTTTCGAGAAGTTGTGCAGAAGATCGGCGGCAGGCTTGGCTCTAACTACGGCATGGACAATGGCTGGTGCGACTCGGTGGATCGCAGAGCTGAGCAGAGGAAGGAGAAGCTCGAGAATGAACTCAATGCGTACCGGGTGAGTCCTTAGTCCAGTTGAAATCCCCTTCGCTGCAGTCTTAGGGTTTTCGTTCGGGCATATTCTTATGAAATTCAGAGAAGTATTAGGAGCTGGTGAATGACTTTGGATGATGCTAGCATTAGTTGGATTTATGACTTGGTTTCTTATGTGTTGAAGTCTCTTTGGTAGGTCCTCTTATTAGCAAGTTCGTTGAAATATCAAACTTGCTATGTGGATTGTCTGGCAATGTGGGTTCCGTAATTATGACTGCTCTTGTGCCTTGTGGTAAGAGCATTTTTAGATCTCTATCGCTGCTATGTGACAGCCAATACAAGATAGAATTGCAAATTCGGACTCTTAGCTTGTTTGCGGTGAAATGTGAAAAGTCTTGGTCGTCCAACTGACTCTTATGTAACATGGACGAAGTTGTCAGTAGCTAGTATGATGCTCCCCCATTTGAGTTTGTTAAGAGCTCCCTTATTAAGTAAAAGGTTGTGTTGAATCATCTTGCTCATTCAATGACATGTTTCTTTATTCCCTCTTGCAGACAAATTTGATAAAGGAAAGCATTAGAATGGGATACAATGATTTTGGAGATTTCTATTATGCTCACGGCGCACTTGGTGATGCTTTTAAGAGTTACATTCGCACCCGTGATTATTGCACAACGTCAAAGCACATTATCCACATGTGTATGAGTGCCATTCTTGTGAGTATCGAGATGGGTCAGTTTTCCCACGTTTCGAGTTATGTCAGCAAAGCAGAACAGACACCTGAAGCACTTGACCCTACCACAATCGCGAAATTAAAGTGTGCCTCTGGTTTGGCTCATCTTGATATGATGAAGTACAAACTCGCTGCTCGAAAGGTTTTGTCAAATAATCTACTTGAGCTTCTTTCTCAGTTTTTTCCTCTCCTTTCTCTTGAGCTTCTTTCTCTGTTTGTTTAACTTTTTTGACTTGTCAATGTGATGTGGCTGTTAAATGCTTCACAAATCTAGTTGGATTAACTGAGGCTTTCCCTTTCCTAAATGGTTTCTTGAGTTCTGAATCAATGTGGTTATGTAGTTTGGGTATGATTACGGAAGCTCTATGGAAATGAATTGCACCTTAGATGTTCACTTGGGTGATCAACCATTCAGCCTCGAGCAAATCAGTATGAGTTTGGTGTATGCTCTTTGCATTGTCAAATCCATGCTGTCGATTTATCATGATGGATTTTGGTTACTGAAATGAGGATCATGTCTGTTTTATTTTTCTCCGGCAACTTTCCAATTGCATATCTCCCTTTTGTTATCCATTGTTTGCTGTACTTCTTACCAAGTTGTTTCGAGAAGCATGAGTCGCCTTTTATCTTACTCGTATTTATGGACATGTATTTTCTATTTTAATCTTGCAGTTTCTGGAAGTGGGTCCTGAGTTGGGAAATTCTTACAATGAAGTTATTGCTCCCCAAGACGTTGCAACATATGGTGGGCTTTGTGCACTTGCAAGTTTTGACCGGTCGGAGCTAAAGGTATTCCTAATCTGCTTTTCTTGTTTTGTCATCTATAGTGACATCTAATCATGACTAAGTGTTTATTCGCAGAACAAGGTAATAGACAATCTCGCCTTCCGAAATTTCTTGGAATTAGTTCCTGAAGTGAGAGAGCTCATCAATGATTTCTACTCAAGGTGAGTTTTCAATTTATAATGGTATCTAGTGACTGACTTCATTATTCCACTGGCTTGATAGTTGATACGCCTTCCCCTTATCCAGTCTGCATGCTATTGTTTAGAGCTGCTGATCACACTTTCTTATTTTCTGTATTGAAGTATGGTGTGTTTTGATTAGTGCAAGGTATTGCTATATTTTGAAATGGTGTCGTATCCTGCAGGATTACAAACTGATTTTTGCCTAAAATAGGGAGGGCAAAGGGCGAAGGATAGTAGGGGCAAACTTTTCTTTACGTTCATTGTTTTTCTAGTTTACACATTCATTGGTTGTAGTTTGCTCAGTGATGGTTTCTGGAGTTTTAGATTTGACTGTTCAGTCACGTCATTGATACTAAAATTTCTGCTTCTCCCATCTTGTATTTCCAGCCGATATGCCTCTTGTCTAGAGTATTTGGCAAATCTCAAGACAAACCTGCTGCTGGATGTGCACTTGCATGATCACGTTGAGAAATTGTATGATCAAATCCGAAACAAGGCCCTTATTCAGTACACACACCCGTTTGTGTCTGTTGACTTGAACATGATGGCTAATGCTTTCAAAACAACGGTCGGCGGGCTAGAGAAGGAACTTGCAACCTTGATCACTGACAATCAAATCCAGGTCTCTGCTCAAGCAGTTGCTGCTTTCTCTCTTTTTCTTCCTCGAGTGTCTTGTTTCCGGATCATTACATGGACAGTCCTTATGATCATCGTTTGTATTTTTGTGCCTGCAGGCTCGTATAGACTCGCACAACAAAATTCTATATGCACGTCATGCAGATCAGAGGAATGCCACCTTTCAGCGAGTTCTCCAGACTGGCAGCGAATTCGACCGGGATGTTAAGGCAATGCTACTGAGGGCAAATCTCATCAAACACGAACACAGTGCTAGGACCAACAGGAAGCTGTGATATTCTTTCCTTCTTTTTTTTTCCTTGGGTGGAGCAGGCGAGGGGCAGGTCTCTTGTTCTCGAGTTGCCGTCAATTGCTTCTATTGGTCTCTCTTTTGGGAGTGAAATTCTTGGTCGTCAGAATCGAAAATTTGGTGGTGGTGTATGACCTGGTAATTTTGTACATACCTTCAAATTGTGGAAGTTGTCAGTTAGTTTTTCCCATTTCTCAGCTCACGATTTCTCTTTCTAGTTTTATGACCTTTACCTTGTTGCGTTGCTTTCAATTCGGTTAATCATCTCCATCTAGCTCCCCACACTGTTACTCAGATCGGATGGTCGTTGACACCTCCCGGGTTAAGGAGCATACCTTAAGTTTAACAATCACGGACAAGTTTGTGATGGTCGAGTTGATACTATATTTTGTTCTTTCTTGATTGAAGTTGAAGCGGAAGCTTTATTTAGAATGTCTGAAATTAGCTAAAAAATATGGATCTGAACGTATTGTCTAGACGGAATATCTGCTTCTTGCACGTGCTTTACTGGAAGATACTTCTCGTTCGCCATAGAATGGCGAACGAGAAGTATCTTCCACGAAATCAAAATGCAAGAGTGAGTTGAGTTGCTAGGTCTCATTTGACGACGTAAGAAATTTAGCAAACTGTCAGGGAGAAGAACTATCTATTGGCCAGATCTTAAAACGTATCCGAGACCAAGAGGGATTGTATTTGTATCTTACTTCTGTAGTATCTGTCACCGACGACATGTATACTTAGCCACCGAACTCCGATCTCGCTCTTCCACTCCACTCCCTGTCTCCCATCTCGCCGGCCTCCTTCACTTGACGGAGCTTCCCCTCTCCCTTTCCCTTTCTTCCCTTTCCCATCTTGAGCTGATATTCGGAAATTCAGTTTCCAGCTTTTTCTATAAACCCGCCATTCGGCGGCGTTGCTGATTTCCTGCCAGTTGCCGTACTGCTGCCCAACACAAACCGGTCTCTCTCTCATCTGTGATCAAGATCCCGCCAGCAGCCCAGCCTACAACACCGCAATTTTGCGTCGAATGGGGCACTTGAACCTCCCATCCAAGCGAAACCCTAAGCAATGGAAGCTGCTCGACCTCGTCACCGCTGCCTTCTTCGGTCTAATCCTCCTCTTCCTCTTCCTAGTCTTCACTCCCCTCGGCGACTCCCTCGCCGCCTCCGGCAGGAATGCTCTTGTCCTCTCTTCTTCAGACCCCAGGCAGCACCACCGCCTCGTCGAGCTCATTGAAGCAGCATCCTCAGCCGATCGAGGCTTGTTCCGCCGAGGAGGTCGATCACATGCCGTGTGAGGATCCCAGGCGGAATAGTCAGCTTAGTCGAGAGATGAATTTCTATAGGGAACGTCAATGCCCGATGCCGGACGAGACGCCTCTTTGCTTGATCCCTCCCCCGAATGGCTACAGGGTTCCCGTCAGGTGGCCGGATAGTTTGCACAAGGTAATGCGTTTACTGTGTAGTAATTCACGAACCGTACGTATGCTTTTGATTTTATTCTTCTGTATACATTAAAATTGGAAAGTATGTTACTGCTTAGCCTAACAGCGGCGGGATATATGGCATGATCTTGAGATTTATGCAGCTTTCCTTTTAAAGTCTCTGCCTGTGGATTCCTTTGGTTCGGTCTTGATGGCGTTGTGTTTATTTTTCGGTTGTTCATGAGGCTGAGCTTTACTTTGCGTGGCTAAATATGTAGATTTGGCATGCAAACATGCCGCACAACAAAATTGCTGAGAGGAAAGGGCATCAGGGATGGATGAAAGAGGACGGTGAATACTTTGTATTCCCTGGTGGTGGCACCATGTTCCCAGAAGGTGCCATACCTTACATAGAGAAACTGGCACAGTATATTCCCATCCGAAGTGGAGGTTTACGGACTGCCCTTGATATGGGATGTGGGGTAAGAGCTGTGTTATTCTCTTCCTTCTCTAAAGTGATCATGGTGTGGTCAACTTTTATGGTTTATGACTTAACAACAATTTCTCACAGGTTGCTAGTTGGGGAGGATATCTCATGAAAGAAGGACTTCTACCTCTTTCGTTTGCTCCAAGAGACTCGCACAAATCTCAGATACAATTTGCGTTGGAACGAGGAATTCCGGCATTCGTCGCAATGCTTGGCACTCGGAGGCTGCCATTCCCTGCATTCTCGTTTGATTTGGTTCACTGCTCTAGATGCTTAATCCCTTTTACTGCTTACAGTTAGTTCTCTGCCCCACCCCCCCCCCCCCCCCCCCCCCCCCCCCCCCCCCCCTTCTCTTCACTTTGCTTCTTTGGCCACTTTCTACAGTCCCTTACCTTTCATGCTTGGCTTGCAGATGCAACTTATTTCATTGAAGTGGATCGCTTGCTTCGCCCAGGAGGATATCTAGTCATATCTGGTCCACCTGTACAATGGGCTAAACAAGATAAGGAATGGGCAGATCTTCAGGGTGTAGCCAGAGCACTTTGTTATGAGCTAATTGCAGTCGATGGGAACACGGTCATTTGGAAAAAGCCTTCTGGAGATTCATGCCTGCCTAGTCAAAATGAATTCGGCCTTCACTTGTGTGATAAATCGATTGATCCAAGCTCTGCCTGGTAATTGTCTGCACTTCATCCCTAATTTCACGAGAGCTTTGGTGTGATGATCATTGCTTTTACCTTATCTGTACATGGGATCTCAATTTGTGATAGTCTGAATCGACTGGTTATCCTATATCTGACATTCAGGCCCAATTTTTATCTCAGTAGTCTTCATTTTCAACAACTAGCTGTAATATCGTTTAACAAATCCTTTGAGAATTGAACCTTTTATTCTCGTAAGCTCAGACTTGCTTTGCTGCTGCAGGTACTTTAAGTTAGAGAAATGTGTGACCCCTCAATCTTCAGTCAAGGGAAAATATGGTGTCGGGATGATTCCGACATGGCCAGATAGATTAGACAAAGCCCCTACAAGGGCTGCTCTCGTGAAGAGTGGCATTGACCTATTTGAGGCCGACACTCGTCGTTGGGCTAGGAGGGTGGGCTATTACAAGAACTCTTTGAATGTCAAGCTGGGAACTCCTGCTGTGCGAAATGTGATGGATATGAATGCATTTTTTGGTGGCTTTGCTGCAGCATTAGCGTCCGATCCTGTGTGGGTGATGAATGTTGTTCCTGCTCGCAAGCCAACAACTTTGGATGTAATCTTCGACAGGGGCCTTATTGGTGTTTACCATGATTGGTGAGTCTTGTCTCCGAATCCAAAAAAACTTGGGATGCCAACTTAAGAGTGTTGGTTGGTGTTTATGCAATGATTCCACTTTCCTCTCCTCCATGTTTCCCAATGTTCAAACCTATCAATTGATACAGTAGTGTCAAAATCCTATAGTTTTCTGTCTAATTATTGTGGTGTTTAAATTACCTCGGTCCTGTTAGCATTTTAAGTTTTTAACCTAAGTCTATACGGAATGGCGAGCAATACATACCATGTTTTCTCGCGGTGACTATTAATAAGTTTTCAAAATGGAACTGAAGCAGCAAATCCTCCGTGTACTTGTCTAGTCCTATGTCCGTAGAAGCAACTCTAAAAACCATGTGAGATGTTGGTTAAAAGTACTCGACTTATCCAAGGCATGTTAGAGGCGTTCGGTGTTATATGACATAATCTAGGGGTGTATTTGTTTCAGCTTGCTAAAACATAAGTAACGTTTTTCAAAGTTTTAGTAGAACTGAAGGAGAAAGTGTTTGGATGATTTTAGAAATAAGTTGAGTTGACGAGAGGTGAGATATAATTTGGTAATAAAGTAACTAATGAGTTGGTATATAGTTTGATCAATAATGAACGAATGAGTCAGTTCTGAGAAATGCCTGATGAGTATATTCTTTTTCCAAAGGGGGTAAAGCTGCAAATGAAAGTTTATCTGTGATGTGGTTTTTAACTTTTAATCATTGTGAGAATTAGGTTGAATAGTGGTTCTGAAGTTAGATTGGAGAAATCTGTTTGTTTTAGCTTTTAAACAAACTTCGGTTTAAGATGCTGCTACCGAAAAGGCTTTTAGAATATTGTCCAGTATGGAGTGCTTGATTTGTCCCGTGGTTGGTTTCCGTAAAATGTTCACTGACAAGCCAATCTTTGATTATTTTTTTCTGTCGTCACAGGTGTGAGCCCTTCTCAACGTATCCTCGCACTTATGATCTAATCCACGTCTCTGGCATCGAATCATTAGTAAAAGCTCCAGGTTCTGGCAAAAACAGGTACTTGCAGCTTGCATTTTGATCTACAGTCAGTTTTCTTCTGGGGGTCATCTGCTTGAAGGATTTCTATGTTGATAGATTCTGAGATGCAGATGAATTTGGGAAATAATAGATTTATGGAAATCCGTTGATGAATTGTGGTATGCAGATTTCCCAAATTTAATTGGAAAAGTAGTAAAATGTCATTACTTTCACTATGTTCCTTTCTAATATAAAGCTAATATGGTAAAGTGAACTGATGGATTTCCAAATCTTGGGTGAAGGGCTTCATAAATTCAAGAAATTCTCATAACTTGTTTTTAGGGAGTTTTTTGTGAAGCTCTCTAGCTGCATCTTCTTTTACTTATAAGGACATGCCGAGAGATGATGGAAATTAGTTGTTCACACCATCACATGAAATTGTTAACTGAAACTGATATGCACCCATAGAAGTTCATTAAGAGAACCCTGCGTCCATCATTTGACAGATAAAGACTCCCATTAGGAAATGCATGTGTGCACTCTCTATGTGTGTCTGCACTAACTGTATTGGACAATAGGAAAATCCAACATGTACACCCGAAGCGCCAACATACTTGATGTGCTTGATACGACTAGCTATGCTGAAGCAATGTTTCATAGTGAAGCCAGGCTCTTACTGTTGGAAGCAAGCCATTCCTTTGAATGCCTGTTTTCCTCCGAAACATTCTCCGATGTTCACCTTTGTCAATCTTGTTTGCGTGCAGGTGTAGCCTGGTGGATCTAATGGTGGAGATGGACAGGATACTGCGGCCAGAAGGAACAGTGGTGATTCGCGATTCTCCGGAGGCGATAGAGAGGGTGGCACGCATAGCTAACGTGGTTAGATGGACTGCTACGATGCATGAGAAAGAAGATGAATCTCATGGGTCACAAAAGATACTGGTTGCTACCAAGAATTTCTGGATCCTCGCTTCAGCATCTCACTGACTTGTTCACACTCAGTTTCTTTAGGTAGCCGAGCTATAGTTTGTCTTTCCAACTCTCTTCTCTCTTTTTCTGATCTCAGTTCATACTTCTTGTAAGATGAAGATGCCAAAATGTCTGTTTGTTTTTATATATAATTCATTTGTAACAAATCAAATCAGAAGTGACAAGTTAGGGCAGAGTGAACAGGTACATAGAAAAGCAGAAGTAGCATCTTGCAACAGCTATGTTCCTGTTCCCAACTGGTTATGGGTAATTGTCATTTGTCAATGCCATTCATTGATTATTTTCTTCATTCGTTCTGACACATTCTTTCGCCGTCGTCCAGTTGCTATTTTTCAATGTGAAAGAGGACTTTACGACAAAGTTTGGGTTAGAGAGTTGCAGTTGCTGAAGGGACCACCAGCGATGTTGAAATGTGGAGAGGATCATATCAGGTAATTTGGGATTTCTGCGAACATTGAGTTGAGCGACCTTGAGTAAGCTGGAAGGATCAGGCGCGATTAGGAACCGTCGGCAATGGGGCGGTGTTGATGAATCTACATTATTTAAGGGGGTGGTTTCTGTGGTGGGACCTGGGTTGATGGCACTTCGTACTCCACGAGTATCATCAATTTGTAAATCTCACATATTATTTGCTATTAGGGCTGGACAATTGGTTAGCGGTTAACCAATCGGTTACAACCGAAATTGACCGGTTATCCACTAACTGGAAATCGAGATGACCGAAAAGTCGGTCGGTGTTCAGAGGCTGGGCGAGATGGTTTTGGTCTTGGGAGGAGGTTCGGTTAACCGAAAACTGAGATAACCGAAGCGTTAGACCCTCTTTCAGTCGTTCAGAGGTGGTTCGGTTAACTGGTAACCGACCCTTCGATTTTCTTCCTCCCCTATTTGCGACCCACCGTACGTAAGGCTATAAATCAATGATTAAAAATCAACTAAACAAACTATGAACTCTTTCAGATGTATGATGCAACAAATTCATCATAAATCAATACGATTTTCAATGCTCAAAACCGTCGGTCGGTTTTGTAATATCTTGTTTGTTTAATAGGTCTTGGATTGTGGATTATGTTGTGTTTTTTTCTTTTAACCATTTTTAACCCTTAAATTGAAAATTATAGTTTTCATTGCTTCCATCCCTAATAAAAGCAACCAACTGATTCTATAATTTACAAGATAGGAGTTCGGTTCACCAGCCAGACTGAATTAGTGGTAGATAATGGGTGTTTAATACCTGGAGGATCACTAATCAATAATCACTGACTCTCATCAAACTAAAAGTCTAAAACCATGAGATTTGGTCCAGCCTAGGAGAAGAATCGAAAGCACCTTTTAGTAAGTTGCCAATTTGCCATGGTTCTGTAGTTCATGTTTGTAAAATGGGAGCAGCATCAGCATTACTAACCTGCGTGATAACCAGGTGGAATAAACAAAAACAAAAAAAAGGGTTCTTGTTCTGTGTGCTTTTTGTTGAAGTTTTGATATGTACTTTCCATTAGCTCTAGCTCAGTTTTGGTCGCCGGCCGCAAAGTCCTGGTCGTCGCCGCAAATTTTATGGTACCGTGAAGGAAGAAAACTTCAGCAAACTCTGTTTTCTCCATCAAAAAATTTGACCTGAGCTAACTCCAATCCCATATTCCCATTCATGATAATATTCCTTGCGTCTGGCCGTCTGCACTCGATCACCGTTACATTGTATATACATAATAACAACAGTAAAAGAGCCATCCTCGTGTTATGTCCAAAACATGTCGAGTCATTGGTACAATCAAACAACATTTGCATGTTTGTGTAAAGTGGGAAACCGGACTTGGAATTGAAAAGAAGCAGAGCCCCCCAGCTGCATTGGGCCCAACCTGTGGACCTTCACACCTTATACAGAGAGTCCGGTTATGGCCTATGGGCTATGGTGTGTCGTTTGCTTGTAGGATTTTCATCATGGATTTTCCGTTTCGATGGCATAATTACCAGGCCAGGGATTTTGGAGGACAAACCGGATGAACTAGAACGATAGTCTCTGGATGTATTCAATTTAGCCATTAATCATAGTCAATTGATGATTATATATTCAATTGAGACATTATTAGAGTTATATAAATCTTGATCACGTTTGTATGATTCTTGCTTTGACCTTTGAATAAGTCAATAGAGAAACCTGAATTAGAAGTGGCGAATCGGTTGCACGAGAGTCAATCGATTAATTGCTCTGTACTGGAGTGAAATCCAGTAGAGAAAGTTTTATCAAACTGCCCTAGGTAGTTTATTTCGGTGGAGGATAGTATCCAGTCGGGTACTCTATTTAAAAGGGTCTGGTATATTTTAGTCGAGGTTCCAGACTATCTCAGTACTTTCCACAGTATAAATATAAACTCAATTGAATTGGGTGAATTACAACTCAGCCTAACGACATAATAGGGAATGCTTACCTGAGTGGTCTTTCTCGAATTTGGAAATCATAACATTTGTCTGCTTTTGTTCCTGCTTGCATGCTAACAACTTCTCTACCTTTGACCTCTAGATAATAGTTAGTCACCGAGTAGACAGTACATATAGGACCCGAATTGATAAGTAAAAATGAACCCACTATAGTACATTCCCGAGTTACGTTTTCACTTGGTCTTTTCTTAGGGTGTTAGTATTAGTGAGTTAAGTTTTTGGTTTCATTGCCGAGTACGGCTAGGTTATTGAAGAAAATTGAATTTCTATTACTTTAACTTTACTTTTCTGCTTATTTCTTTCTTCCACCTTTTGCCTTCACATGTTTGGTTTTCAGCTTGTGTACAGGTAGTGCATGACCCGTGGCCAGTTGGACAATCTACTACCATTGGATCACGAGCTCGAAAGGAATCTTTACAAGTTCATGAAAGCACTAAAAGAGAGACTGATTGTGGCAGAGGGCCTAGACCAGGATATCGTCGCTAACGGATTAGAGAGTGGATAATAAATCATCGTTGAAGAAGACATGGGGGGATCCCTTCAATCAAGTGGGAAACATGAACACGGACTAGCCGCCACCTATACCAAATGAGGGTCATCCACAGCCAGAGGCCCAGACCATTGGGTACTTTCTGACTCCTAGGCTCGAGGACCTCAGACCTGGTATTCAGCATCCCAAGTTGCTGCAAACACCACTTTGTGAAGAAGTTCCCACAAGAGCATCAATTCTTGGGATGACTTGGTGAAGAAGTTCATGGTCCGCTATCATCTCACTTCCAAGACTGCGGATTTGCATAAGCAAATCACCACTTTGCACAGGAAGACGATGAGACCCTTATAGAGGCCAGAGAGATACTTAGGGTGTATGAAATCTTCTAGAAGCTTTGATGTATTGTAGAACAGAGGCAAATTTAAATGGCTCTAAGGTCAATATCGTATTTCCCCTAGAGTCTCCCACATAACCCTCACTTTGGAAGCAAGATACGATTCTATTGAAGAAGAGGGTGATTTAGGAGGTTTAAGTGCCTCTGATTTTGCAGAACGTGAGATTTAAAGAGTAACGTGATGCATAAAAGTAAACCTAAGCTACTAGATGAGTAAGAGATAAGAGAATGAAGGCGTTGCATAGACAAGCTCCACCCAGGTCTCCTAACGATGCGTCCCTCGATGGTCGGTGGCATACGAGCTGTCGATTTCTTATTTTGTTAGATCCCACCTTTTTCCAAGCATTTACCCGAACTAATGGGTGACACCGACCATTTGGATTTATCTCTTGAGGCTTCACATTGTTTTATTGAGTGGCGTTGGTCGAATAAGACCACCATTTCTAGTCATAATCCTAAGTGACTTGGATTTTGATCCTTGCACCTCGAAGGAGTGCAAGGTCGACTAGGCCTCTCATTCGAATAGACAAATAATAAAATAGAAGAAATCAAACATCAACACATATGAATAAAAATAATTGTATTATACCAAAGATCGAGTTTTACATAGTTAGAATCCATAGAGTTCACATACCTACACAACTAAGGAACTAGCCATCTATGGGGAGGGGTTCCTGGTGTTCATCGATTGAAAGGAAGACCCCATAAGTCCACAGGAATTGGCCTCACCAGCATAGAAAACAAGGCCTAGGCTGCCGATTCTCCCTCAAAGGCTGGTCTCATTCTAAGTCAGGAGGGTTGCTCTGTCGGTAGGGTAACGACCTTCCTTGACCTTTCATCTCTTCCCCTCCCATTTTCTATATCCAGAGGTCTATTTATTGGCCTTTGATTAAGTTTTTTAAGGAGAAAATCTTGTAGCTCAAGCGTCATCCAGTCAAATAGAATGCTCCAAACACGCGGTCAGCGAATCAGGAGGCTCCAAGGTGACTTTCTAACAAAGTAGTTGAGCTATGTAAAACGACGGTTGCAACGCCGTTTCTTTAATTCATCATCTCTTTGAATCTTGGCTCCAGAACATGGATCTCAATGTTCATATGACTGACAAGTGGTCCACTAGTCTACTTAGCCAGCCTTGATCGAGCAAGAGCAGTGTTTAGCTCCTTTTCCTCGATCATGCGGAGGGTCAATGAAGTCATGAGGTGTCAGAAGCTTTATTCATGCTCTCGAAAACACATCCTCAAGTTGGCAATCCTATCATACGGGTGGAAAATTTACTTGTAATAGTGAGGAACTAGCATCATCTCGTAGGCCTACCCCCACAAAGACTCAACTAGTATATCTTCTAAAATTCGGGTTTTTCCAAGGATAGGATGCCACACACTTAGCTTTTTACCCCACACTTTATTATTTTCAACGACATCATTTGCATGTAGACTTTACATGGCAGGATATAGAATGTATGAAACTACATATCAACCTCATTTTTGCTTTAAGTGTAGAAGACTCCTTCCTATGAGGATGAGTTTGATAGCTCGAAAAGAATGGTAGGAAGCACCAATCCATACATTTTTCTTAAGATGGATCCAAATTTCATGACAAGGACATCCTTCATAACCCCTACATTAACCTCCCTTAAATCACGTATTAACATAGAGACTAGCAATTCAAAGTACAATGAACTCCGAATTTGCTGGCATTACTCAAAAGTTTTGAAATTTTGATTCACAAATGCGGACACATAAACCGTTTTCCCCAAATGCACGAACATTTAAAAATCACGGTATATAAGATGAAGGCCAGTCTAACTAAATTTCACCCCACACTTTAAATGAGACAATATTCTCATTGGAAAAAGTAAGTGTCCGTAGAGCATGACCCTATGAGAACCCTAGAAATAGAGATGCGACATGCGAAAATTTATAAACTCTAGTTTTCTCATTTTGATACCGACTATCTAGCTCCATCTAATTACATTTTAGGTCACACCTAACCTAAGTGTCATCGTACTCGATCGCTGTATTCTGAATTTCTAACTCAGTAGTAAAAGGTAAAAAAAAAAACAATATATTCAAGCAGTAGGAAAGGAGAGATTGAGATGATAGCAGTAAGAATGGAGAGAAAGTAGAAAGTGAGAAAATGTCACAAAGCAACCCCCACCCCCATACTGCCATTTTTTCCCCTCGCTGCCCTTTTGGAAACTATAGGTGAAAAGAAAAGAAAAAAGAAATGCCGGAAAAGAAAAACAAAAAGAGATTCGTCAAAAATTTTCACTGTCAATCACAGGATGGATATTGAGAGGGCGAAGAGAGTCAACCCGATCCCTTTTGGCGGTATTTATTTGTAAGGCTTCGATGACTCCACATAATCCTCCACCATTGCATTTTATCCATCTCTCTCTCTCTCTCTCCCTTCCCCAACCTTCTTCTTCTTCTTCTCTCTCTCTCTTCCTTTTCCTCCATTTTCTTCTTCGTCCGCTGCCTCCTCCTTTCCATCTTCTTCTCTGTACAAAAAGGACCTCAACCTTTTCGCCTTTCTTAAATCATTTCTCCCTCTCTCTCTCTCTCTCTCCTAGGCCTTTTATCAAACACCTTTCTTGCGCCCCATTTCTCTCTTTTTCTGCAGTTGCTAGAGAGAGAGATGGAAAAGGAGAGTCGAGCTCCAGCAGCATGCAGATAACCGCCCACAGCAGTACCCATCTTCTCCAAACACAACCTTTCTTAGCTTTTGTTTTGCTCCCCATTTTTCTTTGCTGGAGGCAAACAAGGAAGCTTGCCTGACAGGATCTTGTTCGGCTTTAGAGTGAAGGGAGAAGGATAGAGAAGGAAGCGCTAGGCTGGAGCTTGTTAATAACTAGGATACAAAGCCGGGGAAAAGGGGTCCTCTCTTCCCCACCATTCCTTCGCTTGCCCTTCTTTCTCTTTCTTTCTCTCCCAGAAGAACAAAAAAAAAAAAAAGGGTTAGTTTTGAAGGGAGAGGAGGTTGGAGACATTTGGATTCAAAGTTATCCTTCTGTCTCCTCTTGCTCTCCACTGTCATTTCCCCTTTTCCATTTCCGAGCACTTTTTTCTGTGTTTACGGCCTCTTTCTACCTGTTTCCCTTTGGCTTGGGTTTCTTGGGGAGGTGTCGGGACAAGTGTGGGGGGTGTGAAGCCTAGGTGTTTGATAAATTACCTGACTGAAGAAGCGCATTCACGGAGGAACAGTGAGCATAGAATACATACGCAAAGATAGATTATCAAGTCCGAGAACGAAGAAGGGAAGAGTTCATGAGTTTTGGAGGGTTCCTTGAGAACAGTAGCCCTGGTGGTGGCGCGAGAATCGTGGCTGACATACCGGCCTACGCTACGAACAACACCATGCCTGCCGGTGCAATCGTTCAGCCACACCTCCTCTCTCCTAATTCTTTCTCCAAGTCCATGTTCAGCTCTCCTGGACTCTCCCTCGCCCTTGTACGGACCTTTCCCCCTCGGTTATGGCTTCTTTTGGTTTCCCTATCTTCTGCCATTTTTCTGATCTGGGTTTTTGCTTTTTTGTTTGTTGGCTTTGTTCGCCTGTGGTTTTACAGCAACAACCGAATATAGAGGGCGGTCAAGGTGATATGGGGAGGATGAGTGAGAACTACGAGTCAAGCTTGGGGAGGATGAGAAGCAGAGAAGAGGAGCACGAGAGCAGATCTGGGAGTGATAACTTGGATGGAGGTTCTGGTGATGACCAGGATGCTGCTGAACACCCTCCCAAGAAGAAGCGATACCACCGACACACTCCTCAGCAAATCCAAGAGCTTGAATCGTATGGGACTGTCTCCTATTTTTAAATTTATTTAAAACTATTATTATTATCTCGCACGAAACTTTTGTTTTTCTCTTCCTCATCTTCTTTTTCCTTAGAACTTGGTTTCACTGGTCCTACTTGCAGGCTTTTCAAGGAGTGTCCTCATCCTGATGAGAAGCAGAGATTGGAGCTTAGCAGAAGACTTTCCCTGGAAACCAGGCAGGTCAAGTTCTGGTTTCAAAATCGTCGAACCCAGATGAAGGTAATGATGGGTGCTTCCCTTTTTCTTCATGGGTTTTAGTTTTTTTTTTTTTTTTACAGCTGGTATGCTAAGATGCCTTGTATTGTTTGGCACGGATTAGACTCAACTGGAACGCCATGAGAACTCATTACTCCGGCAAGAAAACGACAAGCTTAGAGCTGAAAATATGTCAATTAGAGATGCTATGAGGAACCCAATGTGCTCCAACTGCGGTGGTCCTGCAATAATAGGCGACATCTCTCTTGAGGAACAGCACCTGAGGATTGAGAATGCGAGGCTGAAAGATGAGCTTGACCGAGTTTGTGCTCTTGCCGGGAAGTTTTTGGGTCGCCCCATTTCTTCATTAACAGCTTCAATGCCGCCCCCTATGCCAGATTCAAGTTTGGAGCTTGGAGTTGGGAGCAATGGGTTCGGTTCATTGACCACTGTGGCTGCAACATTACCTGTTGGGCCTGCTGATCATTTCGGAACTGTTTCTAATGCTATGTCTGTAGTTCCTCAAAATAGACCGGTGGCCAATGGAGGAACCGGGCTTGACCGGTCTCTGGAAAGATCTATGCTCTTAGAACTTGCTTTGACTGCCATGGATGAGTTGGTTAAAATGGCGCAAACTGATGAGCCTCTTTGGCTCAAGAGCTTGGATGGCAGTAGGGAAATGTTGAACCAGGAAGAGTATATGAGAACTTTCACTCCGTGTATCGGCTTGAAACCAAATGGGTTCGTTTCTGAAGCTTCTAGGGAGACTGGTATGGTGATTATCAACAGTTTGGCGCTTGTCGAGACTCTGATGGACTCGGTAAGATAAAGTTATCTAATTTCGTACCCTTTTTCAGTCCCAAGCCGACAGATTTTTCTAGGTGTTTGATTTGAATGGAATCGTACCCTTCTTAATTTTTCTTGTTTGATTATCAGAATCGGTGGGCAGAAATGTTTCCATGTATGATTGCCAGGACCTCCACCACTGACGTCATATCCAATGGGATGGGGGGAACTAGAAATGGCTCACTCCAGTTGGTATTTGATTAAGCTTTGTACTCTTGGGTTTGAATAGTCCCCATTTGTTCTTAGTTCTGCACAATTGTATAATAAATCCAAAGATTAGGTCTTGAAAAATAATAGCAATTAACTGTGAGATGTGTCTGCAGATGCACGCTGAGCTCCAAGTTCTCTCTCCTTTAGTCCCGGTTCGTGAGGTGAATTTCCTACGGTTCTGCAAACAGCACGCAGAAGGGGTGTGGGCTGTTGTTGATGTTTCCGTGGACACTATCCGAGAAACTTCGGGTGCGCCGCCGACATTTCTCAGCTGCAGGAGGCTTCCTTCTGGCTGTGTGGTGCAAGATATGCCTAATGGCTACTCCAAGGTAAGCAAATAACTTTTTTTTCTCCATTTATGAACTGTGATATCTACATTTTGGTGTTGTTAACTTTTGTATCATCTCTCTCTAGGTGGGTGTTCCCTCCTTTATTGAGTTAGTTGAAGTAAATTGGTTGAGCAACACTATGGTAGCTCATAGGTTGTTTCCAAATTTTAGAAAGAGAGCATTTAATTTTGTGGAGAAACACCAGCTCGAAAATCATTGACTATTTTGGGTTCCCAAAAGTGTTTTGTTTTGTTCTTTTTCCTTTCCCTCTTAATAAGCTTGAGTTCTGCTCACCCATCAAAGAACTTTACCTGTCTAGTGACTACTCACTGTCTTCACCACACTGTCACTTGCTCCTTTTCCCTCCCTCTTTGGATTAAGTTTTAGTTTCCCCAGAGAAAAATGAACCTTCCTTGCACTGCTTGTATGTAGATAGTCTTTGATTTGGGGTTATATTAGTTGTTTATGTGTATATAGTTCAAGTTTCAACATCTATACTGAGTTTTTTAATATGATAATATTGGCAGCATAGCAATTAGCAAACCGAGATTGCCGCATTCATTGCTTCTGGCATTGGGTATTGTTTGGGTTTTTTTTATATATATATAAAAAAATTCAGCTTTGAAAATGAATAGAAGCCTCCATTGCTAAAAAAAACTTTGCTGTGTTTTGGACACATTGATTTCATAATAATCGATCTTTCAAACCTTGGTTTCATTAAACAATGCATTTGATGTTTCTATTCCAATCTCTGATGCTGTCTTGGTAACCCCGTATCTTCTAATAACATATTTTGTATGACATGGCGACAACCCCTCATGGGATATGATTTCGCTTTTGTAGTATTCTGCTACTAACATAATAATAATAGTAGAGAGGAAAATCCATTTCATGGTCAGACCCCGAAAGACAGGGCTATTTTGTTTCCATATGAAAAGAGCATGGATTTCCAAGCTCATGCAATGCATATATTTTATATATAAAAGAATCATAATTCATTCAGAGTATAGTAATTAGTACACATCTCGATGTCACCCTCCCCACTCAACAATGAGGGTAGTGGGAGTGAAGTAGGTAGTTGGTCTTTGGTTCCATTCCCTCCAAATCTTTGCAAAATCTATTTATTTCAACGTTTGCTATATAATTAATAATACCCTTTACTTAATTACTTGATCCCATACTTCTCCTTGAGCCCTAACCCAGTCGTGACATTTCCCAGATCTTACTCTAGTGTTTTGTCTGTTCCAAAACGATTTCTTTTTTGACTCTTGATGAATGACATCGCATCATGAGAGATTTGGCAGTTTGAACTTTATAATATTAATCTCTAAATAGACGAGCTAGCTAGCTAGCTAGCTGCTTCTGAATTATATGTTTAATGCCGAGTAGTTGATTTTTATAACGGCTTGTTGACATGTACATATGTTTTTATTAATTGCATTTTGTTTTGTTTTCTGTTGTTATAATTAAGTTAAAATAGAGTCAAAACCAGTAATTGATTTTATTTGGTCTTTCTTCACCTGCCGTCATTAAATAACATTGAACTCAAAAAGCTTTCTGGTTAATCGTATGAAGTTGATAATAAAGATGAATGATGAATTGCAGGTGACGTGGGTGGAACACGCAGAGTACGATGAAACTCAAACCCACCAGCTGTACCGGCCGTTGATCGGCTCCGGCATGGGCTTCGGTGCGCAAAGATGGGTTGCCACCCTTCAACGTCAATGCGAGTGTTTAGCAATTCTCATGTCTTCTGCAGTGCCCTCAAGAGACCATACTGGTAAACTAACAGAACTGAAACATTTAATTTAGTGTAATAATCCATGAAAAAATATGTTGAGAACTGACTGGAAAAAAAAATGGGTTGTGGAGGACAGCGGCGATAACTGCGGGCGGGCGGCGGAGCATGCTGAAGCTGGCGCAAAGGATGACCGACAACTTCTGCGCCGGGGTGTGCGCTTCGACGGTGCACAAGTGGAACAAGCTGAACGCCGGGAACGTGGACGAGGACGTGCGGGTGATGACGAGGAAGAGCGTGGACGACCCAGGGGAGCCGCCGGGGATCGTCCTGAGCGCGGCGACGTCGGTGTGGCTGCCGGTGTCCCCTCAGCGGCTGTTTGACTTCCTCCGCGACGAGCGGCTGCGGAGCGAGTGGGACATCTTGTCCAACGGCGGGCCCATGCAGGAGATGGCCCACATCGCCAAGGGCCAGGACCACGGCAACTGCGTCTCCCTCCTCCGCGCTAGCGTAAGTGCTTCCAACCAAACCAGTTTCTCTCTCAGTCTCGTCTCTTCTTTGGTTGAAATTGAAAATAATAATAATAGAAATCAGTGTATTTGAAAGGGTGGGGGGAAAAGGACTCATCGAGCCCTTGGGTGAATAATCCAATTCAGATCTTGTCAGAGGAGAGGGGTGGTGTAGGCTTGGAAGTAACCAAGAAGACGGGATTTGGCGGGTTCTGGAATAGAAATGGGGACGTCAAGTGTTCCAAAAGTCAAAATGGTTAAAAATATAGGCTGGGAAAAAAGGGGGAAAAAAAAACGTTTTTGTCAGCTTTCTAACTTTTTTACAGCTTTTTGTCTCTTATTATTATCGTTATAATAATTTTGATTTTTTGCTGGAAATTTTTTGTGGGTATGGTTTTGGGCATGCAGGCGATGAACGCGAACCAGAGCAGCATGCTAATACTGCAGGAGACGTGCATCGACGCGGCGGGGTCGCTTGTGGTGTACGCGCCCGTCGACATTCCAGCGATGCACGTGGTGATGAACGGTGGCGATTCGGCCTACGTGGCCCTCCTCCCGTCTGGGTTTGCCATCGTTCCCGATGGCCCAGAAGGCGGCGGCGGCAGCGGCGGGTCTCCGTCTGGTGGTGGTGATGAGGAGAAGGGGGGGCAGAGGGTGAGCGGTTCCCTGCTGACGGTGGCATTTCAGATACTGGTGAACAGCCTGCCGACGGCGAAGCTGACGGTGGAGTCGGTGGAGACGGTGAATAACCTCATATCTTGCACCGTCCAGAAGATCAAGGCGGCACTTCAATGCGAGAGCTGATCATGGGAGATTTGGGATTTGTTGTTGTTGGTGGTTGAGGTGGTGGAGTAACTTTTGCAAGTGGTGGTGGTGGTACGGTTACGCGCGGGATTATTAAGTGAGGTTTGGGTTTGGGTTTGGGTGGTGGAGTCAAGAACGAACCAACCGCGTTTGGGTAAACTCCTTGCATGGTGGTAAGGATTCCATGAGAGAGTTGTGTCCTTAGCACAAGGCAAGGGTGGTGGTTCGGGTATTGACTCAGCTCTACCCTCGTTGTTATAATGATATACTTTTTAATTAATTTTGGAGTTAATTATGATAGTAGAATTTGTAGTTACGTGCAAGCAAAAACTATTATAAGGTTTCAACAATTACCTATTATTTATTTATTTAAGGTTTCGATATTTTGGCAGTCTTAAACTTTTTTTTGTGGGCGAACCCTAAATCTATGTCTGGTAGCAAATAATAATAATAATTCGATAGCTGTATAGGAATGGCAATGGGGCAGGTATTTCGATACCCATACTCGTCCGGTTGTATGTCGGAGGCAGGTCGACCCAATGTGTACGAGCCGCCGTTCCTAATTTGCAATTGGTGTCGGCAAGGCATGCATAAAAACGAACGGGGGTAGATTGGGGCCGCAGGGCATTAAATGAGGGCAGTGGGGGCGGAAGGAAGGAAGCGTAACTATGAATTAAATGCGGGAGGTTTGGCGCTATCCCGTTGTCCCGTGGCGTGGGTACCCGTTCCTAGAGTTGGATATTTGGTCCCGGATTGTTTGGTTTTACTCGAAACCGAATCGTATAACTCAGACTTGGATCGGACTGGGATCGGATAGCAAACAATGCAATCTCATAGTCCGGCTTAGATTTGAGGTAAAAAACCGGTTAAAGACCAGATAAGAGACCCCCAACACCTAAAATCAAGATAAAGTTGGGACAAGATCGGTTCAAAACCGGACTGTATCCAATCCAATCTTTGGTCCTTATATTTCCGAAAAGACCGGACTGAGACCGGTTCAATTTGGTTCAATTTAACCGGACCGGACCGTATAGCCACCCCTACCGTTCCTCAGAGCTCCCATTTATGCTATACAACCTACAACATTGGCCACACACGTACGGGATAATATTTCTTTTACAATTTTTACTATCGACCCTCTTCAGTGTAAAGTATACTACTATAGATACGTATTGAAGTATAGTGGTGACTTCTTATTTCTTAACCAAGGTGACATTCCAGGGGAACACCTAATTAAACACTGTCGCTATTCTAAAGAATTCGATTGTTACTTTAGTTGATAATTGGTGGTTGTTCTCCACCGATGACGAACTAAGGAATTAAGTTAAAACTATAACTCAGGAGCAGTGCAAAGCAAAGTCTTGTTTATGGGTAGAAGCGTAATGGTGGGTAAAGGCGAAAATATTAACTTTTTTTTTTAACTTTTACTCGTGTCTTGTATATTTTGATAGAAATCTTTCCAACTATAATGCAAATATGAACAAATATGTGAAATACCTCATATTTAAAAGGTCAATCTCACGTCAAGCCTGGCTTTTCTTGATGGAAGCCCACATAAGTAAACTATAAATTAACAGGATCTTGACAAATAGACTTCTAATTTGACCAAAAACCGATATAAAGGGATGAAATTAATTAAGAAATTGAAAAAAAAAGTTGTACAATTAAAAGTATGATTTATTTGTTGAATCAAGAAACTGAAAAAAATGTTGGCCCCCTATTCTGAAGGGATGAAATTGTGAAAATCTTTTGTGGGTGAATTTACTTGACCATTTTAGTGTGTATTTTTATATATAACTATCTATTGTTATTTTGATGAAAGTGAGTGAAAGAATTAACTACATTGGGAAAGCGAAAAAAAAAAAACAAAAAGCCAAATAGGTTGGCAAATGTGAAACACTGCAGTTGAAATTAGTGAATTTTGTTGTAACCGCCCGTGAGTGTACGCAGCAGCAGCAGTAGGGCCGAAGGGTTGACTTGTGAGTTGTGTCATGGTAAGGATATTTAGTCTATGCAAACACAAAAACGAACGAACAGCAACAAGTCTTAGCTCTCAGTCTCTCGAGCTAACTTTCATAATATTGGTCCTGCATGTGCTGCTTCTTTCTTTGGAACTCCCTTTTCCTCTAATTTGGTCTTTTCCTACCGGGAGAGTGAATAAACATGACAGGCAGGCATGTGTCTATATCAGCCGAGCGGGTTAGAATTTGAAAAATACCTGCGTTCATTCTTTCGGAGTATAAAGAAATAAATATAATTAAAATTAATAATATTCAAATAATTCATTTGTAGATAATAAAGAAATGTTCAATTAATAATATCATTGTTTTTATAAACAACCACGTTACCTTTTCATATTATGAAAGAAATGCAACATGTATTCGTTATTTACACTCTTAAAGTAAGTCTTTTTTTTTAATGCGTCTCAGTAAGCAATCATTAGCAAACTCGTCGCAATTCGACTTCAAAACGTATTCTTAATATAGCTCGAAGCTTAAAAAAAAAAGATCTTTCTACACCTGTAGTTGCAACAGGCATAGTCAAAAGTAACTTCAGAAGACAAAGATATCGATTTTGAGGTATATATCAATTGAATTTTTTTTATAGTGTGATAAATTGATTTGTGTTAGCTTTTAAACCTGAAATATTTTATAGTGTAGTGGTGAAGCACTCTTATAACACGCAGAGGTGATTAGTTTGATTCTAATCATGGAGGTTCGGGGGTGTGCCGGGACACCCTAAAATTTGAGAGAATTAATTATTCAACTTTCGATAGTAGTTTGCGTATGGCTAAAAAATATTTAAGTTATAGCGAGACACTCTTAAAATTTGGGGAAAAGATTATCCACTCTTCATGGGTATAAGTAATATTTAAGTGGTAGCCTATTTGATTTCAAAATTCGAGCTAAGAAAACTATGGAAAATAATGAAGAAGACAAAAGTCGATTAACAAAACTATGGATAATAGAAAAGTCAATTATTCTCAACCATAACATCCGACTCCACTTAAAATCAAAGGCACAAATTTGATTATGTAAGGAATATGCACTCTAGGGTTATTCACCATATCCTAAACCAGTAAACTTTATGAAATCGTACCAAATGTTATACAAAAAATGTCATGAACAGAAAATTTTGTACTAAAATCATAATTTCAACATAGTTCAATCGTTTCACACCGCTCAAATCACTTAGCGGTTTAAGGTCTTCCCGATCTGATCAGATGGTAGGTTACCATTTTCAAAATATTGGTGTAATACTGATAATTACTCGTATGGAAAGCAGAAATATAAGTTACGAACTCTGTTGACTCTCTAACTGCTGGTTATAATAATTGGAAGTTGGGACAATAACTGTTTTCTTTCGTCAAAATTGGCCTGCATGTAATGTGAAAAGGAACTCTTTGCCTATATAATAGTCCAATTATATGCTCCTTAGAAAGTCAAGCCAGTCTATCATGTTCCCTTTTCTCCATTTTACATCATGAATGATGGAGACCTATCAGATGAGAAGATGCTACCTATCGATTAATTTGTGACAGTATCTTAATATATGTGCTGGGGGTGTACGTTCTAGTGATTACCACGGTGACTGATTAACAAACTAATTAAGTTTAAATATCATCAACCATAAAAATATAATATCTTAACCAAACCTACTAACGTGATATAATGACTATATTAACCAAGCTCAAATTTAATGAGTTTGTATAATTGGTTAATCGGGAGTTATGATTCGAGTCAATTTAATTATACACATTTGCACTCCTTTCTATTTGTCGTTTGACTTGTGCAGCGTCGTCATTGGAGCCATTTTATGCTAGGTTTAGTCATGTGTCGACTGTGTTTCGGACTCTAGCATGTCAAATAGGAGGGAAAAATCGAAAGTCGGACAAAAAGGAGCCAAAACGGGACCAAGTGCTAGTAATGTCAAGCTTCACGTTCCAAAACAAATCTTGACTATCTCAAGGCGTGAAGATTACCCCAAAACCCTGAACATTAAAAGTCCCTAGGAGGATCAAGATGTCTTGGGGGCAGGTACATGGTTCACGGTCTCGGGGCGTGAAGATTACAACCAGCTCGTAAAATGTGTTAGTGAAACGGGCCGTTTTCAATCGATATCACGGGCGACTGTGAACTCTACACTGCTGGGTATAAAAGAGAAAAGAAATCATATTTGAAGGGAGGCTGACTTCTTGAGGAGCATAGTGAGATTGGAGAAGAATTGAAGCTACCAATCACCAAGGAAGCTTGATTTCATCTCCAAGACCATCCCAAGTCAAGGAAGATGAGCTTCTCAGCATGATGATCATATCCAGGGGCGGATACATGGGCTTGTAGGGGTGTCCCGGGACACTCCTAAAATTTGGGGAAACGATTATCCAACCTTCGGTAATAGTTTCGTATGGGTATACAAAATATAATTGGTAATTCGGGACACCCTAACATTTGAAAAAATGATTATCCTACCCTCGATAATAGTTTGCTTATGATTAACAAAATATAAGTGGTAGTCCGTGTTATTCCAACCTAGGACACTACGATTATCAAACATATTCTAATTATGTTGCTACTCATTCGTTATTCTATTTTAAACATCATGCAACAGTAAAACACTATTTCTTTATCCCCAACTATTTTCAATACCTAATAATTAAACTACGTACACGCTACCCTTAATTTTGAATTGATTTTATGGTTACACGGCAAGTGTTGAAAGAGTCTTTTCTACTTTGAGCTACATTAAGAACAAGGTTAGAAATCGAATATGTGATAAGTTCGTGAAGTATTGTCTAGTAGGATATGTAGATTTTTTTTAACAGTGCAGACACGGAGTTTATTTATATTATTTTTTCAAAATATGAAAACACATCATGAATTTTAATAAAAAATTTATACAAGTATGATATTTTTAATATACGAATTATTTAATTCAATTTAACTTTTGAAGAGGACACCGTTGTAAAAATTTTCTGAATCCGCCACTGATCATACCATTCTATTTGGTTGTTTTTCTCAATCTAGCCATGCAGTAATCTTCCAATTCACTTGGATGATGTAGAACCCTAGTCTAATATGTTATAGTTCAATGATTGTGAACCCTATGCTTTGATTTGTGTGATTGATTATATATTAATTTGTGCATTTTTCATGAAAATGGAATGTTCTTAATCACTTCCCTCAATTTGGGGTTAATTAACCTAGTTGAGAGAATACATCCTAAGAGTTCATTTAGAGCATTGCCTAATCAAAACTTGGGGTTCATGTCCAGCTTAAATCGGGCGAGATATGACAACTCGAATAGGGACTCCTGTCTAGGTTAAATCTCCCTACAGTATATGCTAAGTGTGAATCATGCTAAGGTATCACAATGTCACATCGATACAGGGCTAGGCAAACAAAAATACGTATATGCACACAACTTTAATACTAATTAGGAGCGGGACATCACACCAATGGGCACAACGACGAATCCAGGATTAAGTTAAAAATTAATATTATTAATTAATTAAAATTTATTGATGAGGTACATAATTTTTATGACTTTCAAATTGAGACACAACGGATTTGTCACATTCTGAAAGATTTGTAAAATAAACTTTACTGCTTATTTTTCGACTAAAATCTTTTTCAGTGCAATACAATTGAACAATGATTCATAAATTGATAGCTCTTTTAATTTCAAAATCATTATTGATTAACTTTATAGCTGAGAGACATGTTCACAACTTGCAAATGTAACATAACTTCAGAAGCAAGTAAACGAAAGAAAAATAATTATACTTTGCTTTCTCCACCATTTGCCTAGCTAGCTCATAGATTCTTTCCCAGCTGGATAATGAGCAGTACAGGGCTCGTTTTCCCCTTGACACATAGAAAGAAGAAGATAAGAGTGCATAGCTATTCTTTTTGGATTCTGCCAAGCTTGTCAACCCGCGGGTCGCCCACTTTGACTCTGACCCGATGAGAAAAACGGGCCGCACGCACTCGCCGGGTCGACCGCCACAAGGTACTGGGTTGGAGGTCAAATTGTGTCATTTTTTTCTTTGTTTTGCGAAATGCGCCTATTTTCCGATTTTTCTTTTCGCCTAACTCAATCTTTGGAATCCTAAGTTGAACATTTGAATATTAATGTTATATAAGTGTGTGTGAATTTTCACTATATGTTGAATCTAAGTACGAAATGTTATTTTGGTGTAATATTATATGTTATAACTCATATGTTAGATGAGATTTGATATAATTTATCACGATAAGTACAATATATGACGCTTTCCATATTTCCGGGCTAAAGCGGGCTAAAACGGGTGACTCATTAACCCTTGACCCACTAGCTCAACCGGGTCCGGGTCAACCCGCGGGTTGACAACCTTGCTTCGGGTTCTTGCTTTGTGGCAGACAGCTTCAAGAGTATAACCGAATATTTGACAATTCGCAATTTGAGCAAACCACAGAAAAAGAAGGGAATGCAGAAAATGAGAGTGACACAACTTGAAGGAGCTTGATTTTCTGAAACAATCTGAATTTTCATTGTAACACCGATACTTGGGGAAAAAGGTGTACATCAGCAAACAAATCCTAATCCATCTAACACGACCAATATAGTTTGGTCGTAACGAAATATACCCATAAATCATATATCAGAACATTAAAAAAAAATGTGGAAAAATGAGCCATTAGTCCATCACACGATTTCCCTAAAGTAATTTGATCAATTCGTGGGCAACTCTGGAGCGCAGTCAATTAGAGCCTCGTCTGTCTGCCTGCCTGCCTCGCCTCAGTAGAAGTAGTTAGTTCCATATCATTTACAGCCACACCATCAAAGAACACAATCAACAACATCTATCAAATAATCATCAGCTTCTCCATCCTCTTCCTGTCTCTATCCTTTCCTCATCAAACTTTCATCTTTCCTTCTATCTTAACCTGACAAGTAACGATCTCGGATTATCTGTGATGATAAGTCAAAAGGAATTTTGAAGACTAGTTATGCCCGCTTTTTCTTTAGCATTTTGTTCATTAGTCTTTTCTTGCATGCTCCGGAATGAGTCGTTCGCGAAGTTCAGTTGAGGTACCCGCCAATTCTGCAGGGCAAAACCATTTTTTTACTTTGGCATGAGAAATCTGAAGACTTGAATTCTGGGGAGAATATGAACACTGTATACTGACTCTGGAAATTTGATTTACCTTGAGCTGTAAAATTGAACAAAGGAGGTAGAGCTCTACCATTAGGCAAGCATGCACTTGGGTCTCTCAAATCGTCGAAGAAAGGGTGAGCACACGCTTCCAACTGAAAGAAACCCCACCAAAAATTAAACAGCTTAACTCACCAGTATTTAACATATATAATGCCAAAAAGGTTTCTCAGTTGCTCTTAAACTAAATTACTTACAGCAGTAAAACGTAGATTCGGCGAGTATTGGAGCAGCCTTGCCACCAGATCCACTGCTTCATTGGGCATTCTCTTGTGAAAGATCTGCAATTTATATTGTTAACAATCAAATGGTCATTATAATCTACAAACACACAGGAATACTAGCAAAAGGAATGAAGAACAAAATTGTTAGCAGACCTTGTGCCATGGGTGAGCTTTAATTTGGGGGAACTTGAATTCTGTATAATTTGGATTCATGCACCTAATTTCTTCCCTGGTTGGTGTCCCCAAAACCTGATTGAAAGCAGCCGATTAGAGAAAAGCACAACTCCAAACAGAAGAGATGACTCATGTAGTTGTGTAAGTTAACACACCTTAATAATCTCCACCAACTGATCGACGCCACTTTCTCCGGGAAACATTGGCTAGAAAAAAAGAAGGCCAGCCCCAATTAGCATTGACAAATGCATGTGGACATTGACTGACAGGAAGAGATGGCAACAGCAAAGACAAACCTGTCCAAGGAGAAGCTCAGCCAATACACATCCAGCAGACCACATGTCAATGGCAGTGGTATACTCGGTGGCCCCAAATATAAGCTCGGGAGCCCTATAATACCTTGAGCATATATAGGATATGTTGGGTTCACCCGGGACCTAGAGATATCAAACCCAAATGTGAGAATCTAGAGTTATTCAATCTTCTTCTAAGGAAATAATGAGATAAGGGAGAGGAGGAAGAAGTGCTCAGACAACATACCAGCTTCTTCGCACTACCAAAGTCACATATCTTTAGTTGATGAGTATTGGGATTGACCTGAGCAAAAGGAATCAGGATAAAAGAAAGTTAGTACCAAGACTAGACTATCAGTAACTAGTATAATTTACAAGGAGAAGCATGTCAAAAGGCCCTTACCAATAGATTCTGAGGCTTAATGTCACGATGGCATACTCCGACAACATTATGTAAATAATTTAGAGCACGGCATATCTGCAAAAAGTTAGTTGCAAGATGACCTAATTAGACTTGAGTTCCTGTCACTGATGAAAAAAATGCTAGTAGCTAGTCGAAATGGGAAAGAAAAATGATTCAAAATCAGAATCTCAAAATCCTTACCTGATAAGTGTAAAGTTGCACATATATGATAGGCATGTGTTGATGGTTCATTCTACTGTAGTGCCTCGACACTCGGTGGACTGTCTCAGCTATATACTCCAAAACAAGATTAAGGTATACTTCTTCTTTATCAGTAGTTGAAAAGAAACAATGCTTGATCTGGACAACATTGGGATGATCGAGAAGGCGCATGATCTGAAGCTCTCTGTTCTTGTATCTCTTATCCTGAAGCACTTTCTTTATAGCAACTGATTCACCAGTTTCAAGGCATTTGGCCTGTTTTACAAGAGTTATGTGAAACACAAGGAATTAGAAAAAAAGGAGGGTGATAACTGGTAAGTGATAAGGGAAAACAACTCCTTGTTTTACTGCTTGGACACATACCTGATAAACCACACCAAAAGAGCCTGTACCAACCACACGTTCTGCCATGTATGAAATTGTCTGCTTGCATAAAGATCCAGAGAAAACCATCAATCAGACGGGAAAGGTCCCAACCGTTGATATATTCATCAACAGAATACAATCAACCAATAATTTTTCAAACAGCAGAGTGCAACTGTTACCTGCTTTGGCTGTCCATTGCGGCCACCAATCGTGGTTGCAATTATCTGACCAGTTTCAGTCCCATTACCACTCACAACAGCAGCCCCCATTTCCTGAATAATGCATAAGAAAACGAAGAGGAAACTGTTATTGCTATCACTAAGCATTAAAACACCATGAATCCAAATACGGTTCTTAAGATATGGGTCTGGAAGGAGACATGATGGCCACATTGAACTAGATACCTTGTCGTCGGTATTCGCAGCCTTATCATCTCGGATCTTCATTTGGTGCATTTCATGGGGAAGCTGTTCATATCCGTTATTTTCTTTTTTGGTCTTGGAAGATGGCTGAGATGTACCAACTGGAGCATTAAGAGATGCTGAAGCTGCTTTCTGCTCCAGCCCAGTGGCATTCCTTTCAACTAGATGCGCCTCATTATGGCTCTTCTGCTCAATTTCTTGGTCCACCTTGGCCCTCTTAGTCCCAGGATCCGCGCCCTGTATCATCCAAATCAAATTATTAGACCCACTCTCTTCTCCCATAAAACGACCCATACTTTTTTGTTTGCAGAAATGAAATCATTTCGTTTTGGTTATTGAAATCTGGAATGGAGAATTAAGCACCCAGATCACAAGCTCTCAGCAGTTGGTTGCAAATGAAAAATAAACAAATACGAACAAGATTCCTATCTTAGATCGTTGAATTAATGTGCAGAAAGAAAAATAACTAGGGAACTCTAATCGACATTGTCAGAATAACCCTTGAAATCAAGCTCCATTTATTTACAGATCATATAATGGAAAAAAAAGAGATGAAATGCTAAGGTAAAGGATCCAACATTAACCGTCCCAGAAGCAGAAAAAAGGAAGAGGAATGGGACTCACGGGATCAGACGAGACGGAGGTACGACCAGAGGCAATGCTCTTCAAACGACGCATCACATTCATGGTTGCTTGCCCTCTTCTTTTTTCCTTACAATTCACTCCTCTTGTTTTACCCAGCAGAGATGCGAAAACCCCTAACGCACAACAATAAGTTTCCTCTCTAGAATCCCCCAATTCATATCATACAGAAACAACAACCACCGATCTCTCTCTCTCTCGAAAATGGAATGTGGGGAGCGGGAAATGGGAAACCTCCTCTCTCCTCCGCGATTGAACAGAGCAGCACGCGAGAGAGAAAGGAGGAGGGAAGCTTTCGGGAGAACGAAGGCTGATAGGGGGCCAATCCCTAAAAACCTCCAATATGATGGAATTTGGGGGAAATTTTCTCAGGCTTCCAGCTTCGGGCGTTTCCTCTCTCTCTCTCTATCTACGCTGCCTGAAATGACATTCAACAACAATCTCTCTCCCTCTCTCTCTCTCTCTCTGCTCTTATTTAGCACTTCCTATTTTCTAATCTCCCATATCGTTTCATAGAGAATTTGATTTGCCTTCTTTTTCTTCGTGGTTGGTCTGGTCAAACCTCCAACCCCGGCCAATCATTTCTTCAGAGGTGCTTTTTCCCCTCCTCCCCAATACTTTGGTCGCTTCCCAGTCAAACGGCGAGATATGGCCGTCGATTGAGTTTGGTTGGGAGGGATATGGGAGAGATCGGACGGTGGAGGGCTTTGCAGAAGAGAGAGTGGTCTTCACGCTCACGGATCACGGAGCGCGGGACGCGGAATATTCGGGGTGAGGTTTCTTCTTCCCCCCTTTTTATCTTTGATGGGGTTTTGGTTTGACCGGTCTTTGACGGTCAGATTAATTGTGCGCCTCGTAGCGGTCTTTGTTGGAATAGTTTTTCCTTTCTCCTCTCTGAGACTCGGACTGCTTTTAGTAGCTAACTCGTAAATTGAAATGTTGTTTGAACGCAACGTAACAATGTGTATCGCATGGTTGTCATGCCACCGGCATCGGCATGTCACCCGGTTGAACCTGGTTCAACTTGTACCGGTCATGAAACTGGCATGACACTACCGGTGTGCCCGGTAATCGATTTACGTATTCTAAGTAAAATGACATCATTTCAATGAATTTAATGAATACAAAAATTAATTTATTATTCATTTTATGAATGTAATAGTTAAAAGTTGATGATATTTGTTGGATTGTAACTCAATTGTCCACAAATATGTTTAAATACATTGGATATTAATTGTTTTCACATTTTTTTAAACCGGCATGAACCGGCACAAACTGGTTATGGTCGTATCATTACACTTGCCAAACTGGCACAACGGTATAAACCGGTTTGACAACCTTGGTGTATCGTATTCTTTTAAATTAATTGATTATAAAAACTCTTAAATAGTCATTCATGGTTTGTCTATTTAATAACTCAATCACTTAGTTATTTATGATCGAAAAGAAAACTATCAGAATAAATATAAAAATGTCTAACAAAGCGTAGCAAAAACATATCCAATATTTGTTTCTCTTGACGTGAGAAACAATGCATATATATATATATATATATATATATATATATATATATATATATATATATATATATATATATATATATATCAAAATCTAAACCTTAAACTATTGTAAACAATTCAATAGCGGAATCGATAGGAAATAACATCTTTTTTGTTGGTGTGTGGTATAAGATTCTGCTGGGTTGGTCCAGCTTCTTATGGTGGCTTGATTAACTGGTTTCTATAAGTTATGATTGGTCTATCTTGAATTCATTGGAGGAGTTCAAAGGTAATTTTCAGAAGATCCTCTATTGTCATAATAGAGAGAAGTTACAACCAATTAAGTGTCAAAGAATTATGAAGCGAGAAGAGAAAGTAAGAGGTTGCAAGACTTCTCGTTTCTGCAACAGGGGAGAACAAACCGTTGGATCGTCCTGAAATTTATTAAGAGTATTCAGGTTAATTAGAATATATTGTCACACACATTTGCACTTAGTACAAAATAGTCACAAATCTTTAATTTGTTATGATTTTAATTTGTTATGATTTGGTAACACAAATTTAAGTGTATATCAAAATGGTTATTCAATCATCCTCCATCCAAAATTCTGTAAGTTTGATACCGTTAGCACTCCATATCACCAAAACTATTAATAAAAAATTAAGTTTAACCAAATGACCCAGCCCACACCAACCCAACCCACCCGAACTAAGATGCACCATCGGACATCAAAATCCTCCCTAGTCCCTATTGACATCCCCAGATCGCAGCTCTTTCTACTCTAAAACCCCAAAACCCATATTCTTGATTGGCTCACTCGAGAAGTTCCTCCAGGAGCACATCAAGGTCGGCTGTAAGTCGGAGCTCTCGGCGGTTGAGGTAGACAGTAGGAAATCGTTGGCCTTCTCCGCCTGAAAATCGTTGAACACGATCTCTACCTGCCGTAGAAAATTTTCATTTGAGCACCTCCTACGACCGCCACCATAGATCCATACCCGGCGAATCGAGGCAAAAAATTCCATCCCTGATGGCTTCCATCGTTTATATCGCTGCTCTCTGCCTCCTGATTGAAGGAGGAGCTTCCGATGCTTGACAGAAACTAATGGTCCAAAATATTGAGGGATTTTGGCAGGGGATCCAATAGCTCGGAGATGATTTTTGGTGCCGAGAACGATAACATGCATTGATGATGAGGTGCAAGCATTGTTACTTCTTAATTCGTTGTCGGGTAGTTGGGAGACTTTGGTGGTCTCACGTAGCAACTCGACACCTAATGACCATCTGACGATGGACATTGTCAAGGATAGTATGTTCAATGAAGAGGTGAGGAGAAAATAATTGGGGATTTCATCAGAATCACGTGCTATGGTGGCAGATAAATATGAAAATCGTGGAATCAGTAGAAATCGAAATTCCAATTTCAAGAACTCTCGGGATCGAGGTAACAATCGAGGTAGATGTAGAGGGAGATCAAAATCAGTCTCAAGACCGAGAGAAGAAATCACATGTTATCATTGTAACCAGCTCGGACACATGAGGAGAGAGGGGAGAATCTTAAAGCGGGAACAAGCTAGAGATAAAAGTGTTGAAAACCGAGAAAATATGATACTACTGCTACTACCACATATGGTGATGTGGTCATCATTTGTGATTCGGTTTTGTTAATCTCGCATGCCAAGAGAGTGCATGGGTTATTGGCTCAGGTGCCTCATTCCATGTGACCTCGCGAATTGATTTTTTTTCCTCTTCCTACGAAAAGGGTGACTATGGTTGTGTGGGGATGGGAAATGATGGTGCATCAAATATTGTTGGCATGTGTGATATTCAACTAGTGACTAACACAGGTTGCAAGCTTGTCTTGAAGGAAGTGAGACATGGTCATGACATGAGTTTGAATTTGATATCCAGCCGAAAACTTGATGATGATGGTTATACCAACTATTTTGGAGAAGGAAAATGGAAGCTATCAAGAGGTTCTCTTGTAGTGGCTAAAGACAAGAAGGAAGGTACACTTTACATGACGAGTGCAAAGCATAGCAAGAGAAGAATCAATGTTGCCGAGAAAGACTCCACCATTGAAAACATGGAAAACTAATTAATCATAATGATTTTTGGTTCTTCCTCAATCGTCCATTTCCCTTTTTTTAGTTATGCCTTTGCCTTATTTGTCCAATCATAATTAGTATATTATATTTATACAAATTCTCATTTATAAATATAAATAGTTATATAAATCAGAGTTCCGCCTTTTACTCCATTTGCTTCTCTCTTGAGAGCTTTACCTTCCCATTTGAACTAGAAATTTCAAATTTCTAGCTATGTATATACATAAGATAAAATATTATAAATAAATAAATAATTATCATTACAAATACACTATCATAAAATATAATTTCAAATCTCAACAGACGCCAACAACTCAAATTGAGCAGTCCAACCACAAAGTGCGATCCCAACCTAGTTTTCATTATAGCGGTAACCTGTTAGATTTCTTGCTTCTTTGGTGGACACTAACACATCCGACAGGAAGAAAAGTAATTCCGAGAGGGCAGGGCACAAACCTAAAGGCTTCAGCATATATATGAGCTTGAAGATGTTTTGCGAACTAAGCTTAAACAAGAACTACATGGCTACAAGAAGAAGATATGCCAGGCTAAGAGCTATAACCACGCGATTCCAATTCCAGCAGACACAACCTTTTACCAATAGTCTCCACAAGAACATTTTCCATCTACAAAGTGGTGGAAGCAATTGGAATCTCTTAACACAATATGCCGATCATACAAGCTCGATATGTACTTGAAAGCAGTATGGCAGTCTCCACAAACCCGTAGGTTCTTGTAAATCCGGATCACTGCTCCGCTAGGCACAACAAGCAGTCCAAACGCAAGAGCCAATTTCTCACTGTGATAAGCAAGTCCAAGCTCTTTCCCTTCCCTTTCCATGTCATGAAGCACAAAACTCATATCAGGAACGTAACCAGCTTCCTTGATCAATGCAATCACCTCATCGATCTTGGAATAAATCCGAGCCATCATTGGATGGCTCCTATCCTCAGAAACAAAGGTGTGAGTTTTGCCATTTGCCTGAGTCCAACTTGATCCGGGCTCCTTACTAATTCCTCTGCACTTCATCAACTTTCTGATTTTGGCAGCATCTTCCCATCTGCCAGCAGCAGAGTACAAATTTGACAACATTACATATGGCATGCTATTTTTCGGTTCCAATTCAAACAGCTCCTTTGCAGCCATTTCTCCCATTTCTAGCTCTTTGTGCATTCTACATGCTCCTAGCAGGGATTTCCATACGGTTGCATCTGGTTCTACATCCATTTGGTCAAGTAACTGCTTTGCCTCAGACAAGTTCCCCGACCGCCCCAAGAGATCAATCATGCAAGCATAATGCTCGGCTCCCGGTTTGATCCCATGTATCTTGTCCATCGAGTTAAAGTAGGAGCGACCCTTTGCAAGAGAACCAGTGTGACTGCAGGCAAACAGTAAACCGATGAATGTGATATAATCTGGTGCAATTCCAGCAGAGATCATTTGATCATATAGGAGCAGGGAGTACAATCCTTTACCATTTTGTGCATATCCAACTATCAAAGCTGTGTACGTTATAACATTCCGATTCTGCATAGAGTCAAAGACTCGATTGGCATCTAAAATAGCACCACACTTTGCATACATCGTAACTAGAGAATTATCCACAGACAAGGATGATTCAAGACCAGATTTAACAAGTATGGCATGAAGTTGCTGCCCAAATTCCATAATTGCCAATTCTGCACAAGAACTCATAATGTTGGCAACAATTAGTTGATCTAGCTGTATACTACCAGTAACATGCATTGCGCAGAATAACTTTAGAGACTCTTCATAAGACCCATTATGTGAATATCCTACTATCAAGGATGTCCAGGAGACGACGTCTTTGCCTTCCATGTGGTTAAATATAGTAAACGCCGAATCCAGGTTCCCCTGTTTGGAGTACACGTCAACAAGAGCATTATTCACAACCTGGTATCTCCCAAACCCACTTTTCAATATGAGGCAATGAACGGACTTTGCATTTCGCACATCTTTGGTAGACGCCAGAGAATTCAGAACAGACGGTAAAGTGTACTCATCGATCTTCATGTTTTTAGCATGCATTCTTTGAAACGTGTACAAAGCCTCACCTATCAAACCCTGATTCACAAATCCTACTATCAGGGAGTTCCAAGATATTGCATCATCAATTTCCATGCTCTCTAGCTTCTTCTTTGCGCTTTTCAAGTCCCTGCATTTTGCATACATGTCAACCAGAGCGCTCTGAACAAAGATATTAGACCCAAAACCACTCTTAACGATGCAACCATGAACCTGCAGTCCAAAATCATTAGCCAGAACAGCTGCACAAGCTGTCAAAATGGATGGAAAGGTGAATTGATTTATCTCAACCCCTTCTGTTCTCATATGACGGAAGAAGTCCATGGCTTTGAAGCTATCCCTATTATGAGAGTACCCAGTAAGCATAGCAGTCCAGGTAGCATGATTCTTAGCATCAGCCACCTTCTCGAAAAGACTCTCAGCCTCCATAATGCATATACACTTGGCATACATATCCACAAGCCCAGTAGCAACAAAAACATTGCCATCATTTCCAGTCTTTAAAGCATACCCATGAATCTGCTCTCCTCGTTGAAGAGAAGTAGTCATAGAACACAGCCTAAGAACACTGCCCATCGTATACTGGGTCGGCCTCTGTCCTTCCATGTGCATCTCCGAAAACAGCTTGAATGCTTCAACTTCACATCCATATCTACAGTAGCCAGCTATCAAACCGGACCAAGTGATCGAACCCTTCACTGGCGACTCATCGAAAAGCTTCCTGGCGTCCGTCAATCTTCCTGAATTAGCATAAGCAGCAACCATTGTGTTCCACGTGAACTCATCCTTGTCAGGCATTTCGTCGAACAGGTTACGTGCCTCCTCGAGGCGTCCCAACTTCGACAACCCATTCAACCGCCTGTTCAGTTCGATCGTTGTTGAACGTAAGAGGGACGGGGGAGGTCGATACGAAACCCACGTTCGTAATTTGTGCATAACCGGCTTCTTCCCCCAGGGTTCGGCGGTCGGAAACTTTCCCGACGATAGCAACCAAGCCGCCAGACCATCAGAAGGTCAGAAAGGTTACGCAATAGGGCCGAGAGAGAGGAAGATGACGGTCCGGCCCAGCCCAAAGAAACTTCGCTGCTTCTCTCGGGAAGAATTCATCGGACCTCGCACAAAGTCTGTGTTCCTTAGTGCTTTAAAAGAATAGAATACCTTAAATTTGAGAATTGGGTAGACATGTTATTTATATTTGAATAGGACGTCAGGTATCATTAAAGTCGATAAAATGTGCATTCATCTACTTTTTCATCTGACCCAAAATTTTAATTATTTTTTGGTACCCAGAACTATTAAAAACATTCAAAACCATATTTCAACAAGTTTTATCTAATATAAAATTTAGAAAACCTTCTAAACATATTATTACTAAAATAGCTAATCAAAAGTTTTCAATAAAATAGATAAATTAGTAAAAATATTAAAGGAATATTAAGAAAAATAATACATATACTAGAATATAATAATAAATATTTAAAATTATATTAGAATATCTATTTAAACATCCTAATTCAAAATTAAACACCAGTAAAAATAGTTATCAATACATCAAAATCAAAGAAAGATAAATGGAACACAATCATAAGGAATAAAATATATTCCAGTAATTGAAAAAACATTTAGAACGACAAGAGACGGAAAGTAACCAAGTAATAAATGAACTATAAAAACTACAACATTCAGTATAAATGTAGGGGGGAAATGACTATAGGAAGATAATTTGAATTACTAAATTTAATTAATATGAAACATCTACAATACAATATTGGAGAATTAAAAGGAGGGGTTTTGCGTCGAGGAACCCTAAATCCCAAAAATCGCTCTCGCCGCACCCTCCTCTTATTTTCTCCAAAGCTCGAACTCTCCTTGCCACATCCATCGTCATCGCCCTCCCATCATCGTAGTCCTCGCCTAGTCGTCTCCAAGTCGTCCTCATTGGTGTCATCTCCTGTCGCCTTCGTCTTTCGCCTTCCAATCCTCCTGTTGCACAGTTGTCGTCGTCCTCGCCTGCAGTCCTAGCCTCGTTGCACAGCCACCATCGTCGTCTCGTTTCCCGTCTGCCAGTCCTCCCATCGTCGTCGTCGCCACCTCGTCGTCAACACCTCTCCATGTAAGTTTATGATAATGTTGTTTTTTTATTCTGTATTTTTTTATTCTGTATATTTGTTGAGTATGTATTTTCTGATTTAGGGATAAGGTGGATTCGGTAAGAAACCATGTGGTGGTGATCGTGGAATAGGACAACAAGGAGCAAGAGCTGCTCTTCCTCCGACTTCTCAGCATCGAGTTCATTCGTAACATGCTACTCCTTTTACCAGAATTACTACAACCGGAGTTACTCCAAATGGAGCGACCAAAGTTGAAAATGTAGCAGCTATGGGAGTTGAGAATGTAGCAGCGACTGGAGCAGAGAATGCAAATGTAGCATCTGGGGAAGATCAATTTGCAACTGAAGATGGAGCGGGGAGTACCAATGAGGCAGCAACAAAGAAGAGGAAAGCTGAGTGTTGGAATGTATTCACACCGACAATGGTCGAAGGACACCCGTTTGGTGAATATATATTCTTCAAGACGAAGATAGCAGCACATTCGAGGCTTGATGAAACAAGCGCAATGAATACACGTACGAGGGCATGTGTGAGGAAAAGGCAGAAGGAGAGTGATAGCTCTCAAACTTTGTTGAACTTGCAACCAACATCTATAGATACTGGTGGTCAGGTAGGATCTCTTTCGACATGGAAGTTTGACCAGACTAAATGTAGGATGAGATTAGCTGAGTTGATAATATTGGATGAGCTTCTCTTTAGATATCTCGAGCATGAAGGGTTTAGATGATTCATGGCATTGACGCAACCCTTGTTTGTGGTTCATGGTAGGCTTATTATTGGAGAATATTGTTATTGTATCTTTCTTGAAATGAAAGATATCCTGAGAGATTATTTGTTACAAAATAGAGAAAAAGAATATTGATGACCACAAATACATAGACTTCTGTACATAATGCAAACTATATGTGTGACTGCTCACTTTGTTGGTAAAGATTGAAAGTTTGTGAAGAATGTCATATACTTTGTTGAGGTGACTAGTTATACTGGAGTTGATACAACAAATCAAATCGGTTAATCAAGATCAAAATTTGTTTAGGTGACTAGTCATATTGGGCTAATTATAAGGTGATCACTGATCACCCACCACTAAAATGAGTTAAAATTTTAAAATGATTCACCCGACCCACGTCACCCCTACCCAGATCCTTCCGCACAAAAACATAAGAAACGGCATCGCTTAGAAGCAGCTGTAGCCTCGCCTGTAAGCCTGTAACGTTTATCCGGAGGCGAAACAGTAGGAACCTTGTCAATTTTTCAGATACCGGAGCTCAGGGGAAAGAAATGGCTACTCCAGCTCATACCTCGCTCCTCCTCTCCAATCCTTCGCCGCAACCGCAATCGCAACTCTTGTTCACTGTTCGGAGATCAGTTTCCGCTCACACTAGAGCAACCAGATTTAAATGCTCAGCGAGCCAGACTGGGTTCTTCAGTCGGCTCGGTCGGTTGATAAAAGAGAAGGCGAAAAGTGACGTCGAGAAGGTCTTCTCCGGATTCTCGAAAACCAGAGACAATCTCGCTGTCATCGACGAACTCCTCCTGTACTGGAACCTCGCCGAGACTGACCGAGTCCTCGACGAGCTGGAAGAGGTTACTTTTCTTCGTGAATTTCGCACTTCGTTCAAATATTGAACTAGAAGATTAGCATTTTCCGTGTCTCTTTTCTGATAATAGGTGTGCATTTGATTTGAAGATTCTACTGGTCGCTGATTTTGGGCCGAAAATCACAATCAAGATCGTAGAGAGCTTACGGGAGGATATTCTGGCGAGGAAGCTCAAATCAGGAAGTGAAATCAAGGTAAATGGAGGCTGAGTGTTCTTTCCACTGCAATTTAGGAAGCTATTCTGTTTGGAATTTTTGCATTGAATTGTTGTGTTCTTGTAGGATGCTTTGAAGAGTCGTGTGCTGGATTTGTTAGTCACGAAGGGGAACAAGACGGAGCTTCAACTTGGATTCAGGTTCTGAATGTGCCATGTTGTTTTGTGTGTGTTCGTGGTATGGACTATTTACATTTCTTGTGTTTCGAGGAAGGGCCAGTGATTAATGAGGCGCTGGCTTTGCTTTGTGGTATCAGGAAACCGGCTGTGATCATGATAATTGGCGTTAATGGTGGTGGAAAGACAACATCCCTTGGTAAGTCAGGAGTTGGAGAACAAATTGATCATTGAGTTGAGAACATTAGTAGCGAAAGTTCGGCAGGCTTTTGTCGTAGTATGTCTAAGTAGATGAGGCAAACCGAGGGTGATGCATGCATTTTTGAGGCTATGGGACTCTAATATGCATGGCAGTCAAGTGTATCTTAAGGAAGATTCAAGTAGCTTGTCTTGTTTCTTAATTGAATTTTCTGGGACTCTTCATTTTATGGTTTCTTAATCTCCACTAATTAGTTATTTCTGAAAAACCATGATTCCAGTGGCATATAAGCGTGTACTATTAATGCAGGCAAGCTGGCATATAGATTGAAGAATGAAGGAGTGAAGGTAAGTTGTTTAGATACTCAGTGTGATTTAGTCTACTAGGCTGGCTGAATTGAGGTAATGATCTATGGCATAGTATAGAAGTCTGGCAGAAATTATTTTGTTCCTAGGAGTTACCAAGCAAATTATTAACGCTCTTATTGGTATGTGCGGGCGGATATTTGTTATCAAGAGCTACTGCTTTTGCAGTGATCGCAATGCTTGTGCATGTTTCGTGGGCATCTTTCATTTCTCGAGTTCATGGTTTAGAAAAGTTTTGCAGGAAGTACCTGCCCTTGGTGTCCTTACTTGGGCTTGTTATGTTGCTAGATATTGATGGCAGCCGGAGATACATTTAGGGCAGCTGCCAGTGATCAGTTGGAGATCTGGGCTGAAAGGACTGGATGTGAAATTGTTGTGGCTGAAGAAGAAAAGGCAAAAGCATCATCTGGTAGGAAATTTGGATACAATTGGAATTCATCATTTGGATCTTTGTAAACAGCAGAAGTTCAATCTTCACATGGTGTAAGTACTAACTCATGATCTTAAAGTGCTTTCTGAATAGTTCTTTCACGGGCTGTCAAAAGAGGGAAAGAAGAGGGCTTTGATATTGTTCTGTGCGACACCTCTGGACGTAAGTACTTGGACTTGTGACCGATGGCTGTTTATATGTGGATCCTATCACAGTTTCTAACGGACAACTGGACGTTTTAGGTCTCCACACGAATTACAGCCTAATGGAAGAGTTGATAGCATGTAAGAAAGCTGTGGGCAAAGTCGTTCCTGGTGCACCCAATGTGAGCTAAACTCTTAGGGAAGACTCTTTTAGTATTTTTATTACTTACTAGGAAGTTCTATTCGTAGTAAGGCTCTCACAATGTGTTACTCCCTAGTCCCTACTTCCCTAAATTTTGTTAAAAGAATTTCCATCAAGATCTGTAACTTTGCATGACTCGCAGGAGATCTTGCTGGTGCTGGATGGGACCACGGGTCTCAATATGCTTCCCCAAGCAAGAGAGTTCAACGAGGTAATCTCCCTTTTCCGTCGGCATTGGCATTACGAAACTCAATTGTATTGAGAAGTGAACAAACTGCGAAGCTCATTTTCTGCAAAACTACTTACGTGCAACTATGATAACAGGTGGTGGGGGTAACGGGTTTCATTTTGACGAAGCTTGATGGCACTGCAAGAGGTGGCTGTGTGGTACGCATCATGGCATTTAATTTAATGACTGAAAGATTGTCTAACTATATTGGAAATCCTTGAAGTTTACTATGTTCTTTGTTCATACAGGTTAGCGTCGTGGACGAGCTTGGCATCCCTGTGAAGTTTGTTGGTGTCGGTGAAGGCGTAGAAGACCTCCAACCTTTCGACGCAGAGGCTTTCGTGAATGCCATATTTACCTAGGGCCTGAACCAGAGTTAGTAAGCCGGCACTTCACAGTTGCGTTGTTTTACTGCTCGAAATTGTGCAAGCTTAGTGTGTTAAATCGACCAATTTCATTGTCGATTTCAGGTTACCTAACCACCAAAAACTATGATTGATTGTCCCAAGTTTAGGCAAAACATGATTCAGTACTGATCTTGGCTTGCAGGGGGGGATGCGGCGAATACAAGAAGTCGGGAACACGAAGATCAGCACTGGGAAAAGCCAAGCCAACTTCCGCCGGGACTACAAAAGGCCGTCAAAAGCTAGGACAAACCAGCTTCAGGAGGAGCCATTTCACAACAACAGTGTTGAGCAAAAGAGAGGATTGATGGTGGTAGTGGGACATTGGAGATGTAGAAATGAACGATAAAAAAGCTTAATGCAATTTGTCTTTCTGTCTGTATAAGAACACCATTACACATCACAGGACCATCATCTTGTAATCTTCCAAAAATGGTGTTCCAAAAGAACTCATCTAGTGATGAGGCGAATTGTGAGTTATGAAATGGGAGCAAACGGGTCCGCGTTTTCTTTCTTGCGTGCGTCCGTCTTCTGTTTCCGGTTTCATAACTTGGAGGCAGGCAGGTGATAGAAAGTAGCCCGAGCAGTGAACATGAGCTTCCCAGTTTTCTTCTGTCGGAACTCCATCGAAACCACCGTCAAGTTTCTTCCGCTCCTCACCACCGACGCGTCAACCGTCACCGTCTCCTGCAAACAAACCAAAGCGACGATGTACTGAATCGGAGAGCAACGGGAGAGGAAAATGAGAGAGAGAAAGGGTGGGAGAGAGAAGCTCACATTTTGAGGGGCGGCGGAGAGGTAAGAAATGCCCAATTCGCCTAGAAACAGCTCCTTCTCCTCCGGCACTAGGGTTCTTGCACAGGCAATCGACACTCTCTCCGCCACTGCCGCGACGGCCCCTCCGTGCAGTCCTTTGTAGAAATTCTGCAACCAACCACCGTATGGGATTCTTCCGCAAATTCAAATTCAATTTTTTTTTTCTCGGAAGCCAAACAGAAGGGTAACAGTAGAGGTAGATTGGACGCAAAGAGGAGAGGAGGAATAGATGGCAGTTAAATTACAGCTACGACGGGGAGGACGGAGAAGGAGCAAGAGATCCGGCCGCGTTCGACGGCGTGGACGTTGAGCAGGCCGCGGATGATATCGGAGTAGGAGTCGGTGGTGGATGTGTACTTCTCGACGGCAGGATCGGAGACTCCGAGGTTTGTGAAGAATCTTTTTACCGTATTGACGTATTGAAGAGGAATGTTCCTCGCGATTGTTTCCGCGGCCGTTAAGCCGTCGCCGGCGGTGGCTGAGTTGACGTCCTTGGTCATCTCTCTCTGCAGTTCAGCTCAACCAGGCACCTGTTTACTCTTTTTGGGAAACCAACCACTTCTACTCTTCTAGCCTGGCCTTCAGGCCTTGTGCTTTCCCACCCAATCTTTTGTTGGTGAATTTTCCTTCCCATTTTGGCTTCTCCCTTTTGATTGGTTATCTATCCCGAATGGTTAAAGCTAGGGCTCGACAATCGGTTAGCGGTTAGCGTTAGCCGTCCAGTTACAACCGAAATCGGTCGATTATTCATTAATCGAAAATCGAGATAACCGAAAACCGATCGGTATTCGGAGGGATCGGCTAGTTGCTTTTGGTCTTGAGGGCAGCTCGGTTAACCGAAAATCGAGATTACCAAAGCCTTAAGGCCTCTTTTTGGTCGGTGGTCGGTAGATTGGGGAGGTGGTTCGGTTTAACTGATAACCGAACTCCACCCCTCGTTAAAGCTTTGAATTTCATTGGCCATAAACTCTCTTTGGTCGATGGCGTATTTTACTATCTAATCCAATTGGATTGGGTATGAAATCCAAATAGATGGTAGATAGGTAGAGTTTGATGAGTTTGTACCCATACCATTTACTTGGGTTGAGTTGTGTTTTTAACACATGGATTTGGGTTTGTACCCATTTCCAAATGCAAATTATAGTTTGGTACCTAACTTAATATATATGTATATTTAGTACTTAATATTTTTTTTCATATAAGTCCTCAAAATATAGATAAAAATTATGTTTTAGCACCTAAATTTTTTTGGTCTTACATTTTGGTACCTAAACTTTTCAAGATTTGCAAATATGTCTAATTTTGTATGTGTAGTTAAAACACACTCAAGTAAATGGATATCCACAACCAACCCATATCCATTTAGATTTTGGAAGCAATAGGCATACCTTACCCAAACCATCTACAAACCCTCAAACCTGTATATACATCATCCATACCCTATTATGAATGAGTCTACTTGGGTTTATGTAGAATTACCCATGGATGGGTAATTGTCATCCCTAGTTTAGAGGTTTCTAATTGTAGCAAACACTAGGGTGAAAAAGGGCTAGTGTGAAAAGTGCCCCTTTTTTGTGGCCTTCGGCAGACGCACGTTCATGTTTTTCACTTTTTTGGTGAGTACGAATGAGTTTGCCGGACTCATAGGAAATTTGATCTGGTAAGCTGTTTCGAAAAGAGATAAGTGGAACTCAGGTACACTTCCTTCTCATGGCTGCTAAGAAGATTGCAGAGCCAATGGGAGGCTGAAACAACTGAAGCTATGGCGGCTGAGTTCGGGTTGCATATTGCCAAACAAATTACAAATCCAAGTTATGAATCCGATCATAGAGATCTAAGTGCCCACACTGACTCAGAACTTCAGAAGCTGCAGAATGCGAAAGTCATTCACACTGGAATAGGGTATCATTTGTCAATGTATAAGGCGACATACACATGATTTGGGTAATGGGACTTGGAGGCACGTCAATCGGGAGGCAAATGAAGCAAACATATAATCGGGAGGCAAATGTAGCAACACATATAATGGCATATGCAGAAACTACTATGCAATTTGCATCCCATGTTTGATTTCTAATCCTTCCTTTTCCTCCCACGTACCCCTTGGCCTTAGCTAGCCCACAGTTATGCAAACAACTAAGATTCAAGTCTAATAGCAAACCCCATTAATGTACAGAATTGTTCCACAGGAAGACGCAGGTGAAACCGCTTTAGAACATTAAAAGCTAAACCTGTGACTGCTACGCTTCTGTGTTTCCGCAGTCTGCAGGCCCAGCTCCTTAGACAGCTGTTCATCAGGTTGCAGGGTCCCTGGAATCGCACCGAAGGCTGTTCTCGATGCCTCGAACCCAGAGGCGAGATAGTGCACATACGCTGATGCGTCCTCCATGTTCCTCTGCAGGTTCAGAGATGTGGACCCTAAGAGCTTTGAAGGACGTCTAGATAGTTTCCTTGAATTGGCCGCCACCCCATGAAGATCGCCGACTCTCAGAAACCGTTCAGTGGCTGCCTCCCATGATAGCTCATGTCTATGGGCTTCTGTGAGTTCACTAGGTTCTTCCTTCAATGCATTGTTGGTGGCCTCTACAAATCCTTTGCTGTCGTCGTAAGTCCAGCAATTGGGGAACTGCTTGAAGAAGTCGTTTGATGGGTGGTTAGCACACACGACGAGCTTCCCCATTGCTAGTGCTTCAGCTGTTGTTGTGCATACCACGTCGGTGGTGCTTGGATTCAGGAATACTTTGTAACTGGAGGAAAGAAAGAAGAGAGGCTGAACGTGTTACTAATATTGATCATCTACAAGCAAAGTCCCTACTAGTTTGCTCAAGTCATCATAAGAAAATAGAATTCGGTATTTAGGTCAATGTATTAAATGCAATATACTTATAATCACGTCTATTGAAGTGACCCAGCTTTCAGATGAAACAGAACAGAAATGATAGACAGCTTACTCATGGAATACAGGATCTGCATGATCACGGCCAGGGTAAAGTCTAACAACTAGATCCAGCTTCTGAAAAGCTTCCTGAACTTCATTAGAATCTTCGCCACTGCCATATAAATCTATTTCCAGGCCAGATAGCTCCTTTTGGTGTTTCCGGAGGAGGTCAAGAAGCTCCTTGTACCCTTTGTTCCAGACCATTTTACCTATGTAGTAAGCACCTTTACTGAAAGCCCTCTTACTAGATTGCTGTAACTCGATTGTCTTCTTTCCTATTTCAAGGAACTTAGGGTTTACTCCATGGACATTGCATATGATGGAATTAGGATATTCCTGGGTTGCAGCAGACAATCGAATCACCTGCAGAGTTGAGAAAAAACAGATTCTGGTTTACGAGAGCTATTCCTCTAGTTCACCATTTTATACCCCCTAAGCACCAAACACATGCAAAAGATGATAGAGCAACTGAAAATTTCATGGTAAAGCCATATACATCAAGAAAGAAGGTAGATAGATAAATAAATGAAATAGTATGTTAGTCTCTTCTAATAACAACCTAGTCTAGTTGAACATTATACATTACTAATTATTTGTTCTGCATGTGAAATATGATAACTTTATACTAGGTATGTCCGGTCGTAAACCAAACTTCCAGTCCAACAAAATTCTTCTGTACATCTGTCAGCACAGTAATCTCATCAAAGTTAGGGTGCTGAACCACATAAACGAAGTTATTAACCTGTTCTATTGGTTTGGGAAAATAAAGTTTCACATACCATATCTGCAGAGCAACACTAACACATAACTTAGCAGAAGATAACTACAATAAGGCACACTGAATGCTTGCCGCATGTCAAAACCAGAAAGCTGGCCCAAAATTCATATTTTACATATGTGAAACAAAACTTCCAAGCTAAATGGATTGTGTTTCTTGAATGTGAAAAATCTCAGAAAACTGATAAATTAACCAAGAACCATGGCCTGTGACGATTCAATAATCTAAGAAATTGAAAGTACTGCATGCCACAGAAAGAGATCCCTTGGCAAAGAATAGGCATTCAAGTAAAATACCAGATACATTCAAGTTTCATAAGACTGAAACAACCAAGAAACAATACCTTGTGGCAATAGATGTCAACAACCCAGGTGTTAAGATATCTAAGAATCAACGCTTTGACTCTACCGTTACTTTCCCTCTTCACGTACGCCAAATAATTGGTGTGCACAACACCAATCACTAGACTAAACTTGGTTTTCCATCTCTTGCCATGGTGAAACCATGTAAGGTGCTCAGGTTCCTCAAGAACAGCAACTTCAGCCTCTTCATCTGGGATGACTTCAGAGATATCTCCAACAGGAAGAATGCTCCTCTTATCCACAGCAAACTACACAAGGGAAAAACAAGCAACCTTCTCAACTACATGCCAATTAATCCAACCGTCAACGAACAAGCCTAAACTCGGGCATTGCATACATCTCTTTACCTTTCCAGGATAGAATCGAATGGAGAAATCAGCAGAAAATGAAATCCTCTGCTCAAGCCATTGACGAACGTAAGCTTCCTGCTCTGAGGGCGAACTGAAGGTAACATCAATCGGGTAAACCAGCTTCTGATGCTTCAAAGACAGCCATGGGATTACCAAAGTGACGTCTCTTTTCCCATCCTTGGCAAGATACACAGCACGAAACAGTGGATTGACGGCGGTTCCGGTCATCCATGGAAGGCTAGCAGTAGTGAAAATCGCGATATGCTGCCTTTTATCCATGCAGACATTAGTTCCACCACCCAGCACTAGTCGTCACCCAACCCTACAAGATCCAGGGCCAAGCAGCTGGCCAGCCATGGACATCAATTAGAAAACCAAACAAAGAAATAAAAACCTATCATCGACTCAGAAATTTGACAACGGCATCACTAAGACGTAGCAAAACAGTAACTAGAGCGATCTAAAAGATTCAGCGGCTCACTAAACATCCTCCAAAAAAAATGGCGGCGTTGAAATCGAGGCAGAAGTCGAAGATCAAGCAAAGCGAAGAAGACGATCTACGAAACAGCAAATCGAAGCACGCACAATCAGCGGATGGATACCTGAGTGATTCTGATTCTTCGTCGGGCAAATGGCTGCTCACTCGGCGCGGCTGCGACTTCGAGGGCAACGTTACCAGAAACGGCCCAAGATGAGGCGAGGAGTCGACGGCCGAGTTTCAGCGAGTTTTTAGTTCTGGAATCGAAAAAAGTCGACGAAGAGAAGCCCCAAGGAAGAAGAAGTAGCAAGGAGAAAGAAAGATAAAAGACACGAGGAATCAAATTAGCGGTGGTACTCTGGGCATTGAAGGGAAGGAGAATATCTCAAATTCTCAATTATTGGTGGCGCTGCTCTTTCTTGTGGCTTCTTTCTCCTCCGTCCGTCTTCCGCGACCGTTCAATGGTTGTTTGTACGGTAAACGGTTGCCGTTTCGTCACGGCTACCTGCTTTGTGCTTTCCTCCTGTCCTGAGCTGGCGCAAAACCAAAATTCGGAGTTATGTGTGTGTCGCATAGATTTGTTGTATGTATATCAATAGATCACGTTACTAATCTTTGTTAACATTTCAGTCTTAACAAATTACCTTTCTTTCTCGATGTTCCAATTCGGCATAAGAATGGACGGGTTTGGGTCTGATTTTGTTATAACGCATTTATATCTGAACATAAATTTATACTCTCTCCAATCTCCATCCTTGTGTGGGTGGAAGTTTTTATCTTCATCCCAGCGATTTTTGGATAGCTGTGGATAATCTCCATCTCACGAATTAGAATAAAATTTAGTTTATAGCTAATCTAACATAGTTGAAGAGAAAATTATATAGAATAATATGAGAAACATAGCAAATTTTATTGTAAGGGAAACTTATAGTTATCGTGTGTTGTATATGTATTTATGTAATTGGAAAAGAGAAATGAAGGTGTTTAGAATTATATTATTTTTAGATCTAAGTGGAAACTAAAGATGGGAGGATCAAATAACTTGTAATTGGGTGCAGGTAGTATAGAAATTACATGCATCGCGATTATGAGTACGTGATAGGGTTGTATACCTAACCATTTCACTCGAAGATTGTAAAGACAGAGTGGATCAAGGTCTTGAGCATTCGGGAAAGGATCAACCGTCTCGTATTAATCAAGTTTCTCAACACTCTGATGACTAAAGATGTTCAAGGCACAATAGACAAGTTCCCCAATGTTGAATTCTAACTCAAAGGATTACACCAACAAATGTCCATCAAGGAGTTTATAAGGGCCTTTGACATTTATCCTGCAGCGTTCGTGGACTCCACCATTGCTTCGTTGCCCTCACTCTAGAGAATGCTTTCACATACTTCAGATATTTCTACAAAGAAGAGCTTAAAGTGCATGGAGCAAGAGCATGAGATGTGAAACTGTCGAAGGGTAGTGAAGTGAAACCGGAATAGAGGTTCATTCACCACGTTATCTCTAGATCCGTGGGTGGAAAGTATGGGAGCAAAGGTAATATGACTGCTAGAGACGCTACATTCCTCTTGAGCATGCAAAGTCTGAGTTCCTTTAACCTAGGCCTCACCATTCTGAAGATTCTAAATCAGTATGAAAAAGACAGCAGACTCTCAACCCTTCATGGGGGTGTCTACGTCACTCTCATAGCCCAGTATCTCAATATAGACTTTGGCAATGTGGGGAGAAGATTGGATACATGGACCATTCTGATCACATTTGAGACCCTCAAGACACATCTCAAGATGGTCTACAAGAATGAGAAAGGAATATGGAGAGTCCAAGGTTTACCATTTCCCGAAACTAGCACTTTAGTGATTTAGCGATCGTGTGCCAATTAGAGGGTGATGCACATTAGTCACCCCACTTAGTTTTGGCTACCTATCATATGAAGGTTGGTCATCTTCATGTTGTGGTCCCTCCACAAGAGGCTGAGGTATAGGTAGGTGAAAAGAGCACTAAAAGCGACTCTCTTACTTGCCCGATCTTGGACAAATAAAAAAAAATTAAGTTGCTACAACCCCCAAAGAAAAATTTACAAAAAGAGAATAACGATTGAGGAGAGAGTAAAGAGAATAACCGTGTAAAGCATTCGATTGTTTCACCTACACCCATGGATGGTGATATTGCTTCTTGCACGATCTCCAATCACTCTAGAATGTTCAAGTCGTGAATTTCTGAAGCAATTCGAATGTTAGCATGGAAACATGCATTTCTAGTCACTAGTGACATGTTTCCTAAGAAACAAATTGATGGGAGAGCCTAGGGACTTCAAGTTGCATATTTAAGTCACATGTTAGCTTGGGGACCGACTTGCTACTACTACACCACGAATTAAAATCCCAATTAGAGCCCAAGTATAAACTCTAGCCAGGTGTAGTATAGGGCAAGTATATAAATGTCAAACCCGGGACTGGTCCATGTACTGATGTACCCCTACTTCAATCGTTTGAAACATTACCTAGCATTCGATTTTTAGTGAAAACTACGGATTACAAATCAAATCAAGTGAAAAGGTAAATGGTTTTGAAGACTATGTGAGAAAGCTTTACCCGGGTGTTGCTCCCCTTAGCTATGTGTCAAGATTAGTAAAAAATAATGCAAGTGTGCGGAAAAGTGGTTGTAAACCGCAGGAGAGCGCTACTAGTGCCAAAAAGCTTCACTCTTTCAGTCTCTCGGCCAAGGGATGTCAAATCAAGCTAACAAATTAGCTCTCTTGGCCAATCGACTAAGGGTTGCCAAGACTTCCCCCTCGGACCTTTATCCGGACGACCAAACAACAACCAACTCAAAGTGCTAAAACGTAGTATGAGGTTTGCCCTAATTCGTCCCAAGTAGGTGGCTCAATTTGGCCAAAGAATTCCACCTTATAAAAGCCTCTTAGTAATGAGGGGATTTTCCTCTACCTAGGTCAAATTGGCATAATAGTGAGAAATGGAGAACACAACTCAAACTTCATGAAAATACCTCAATACTTGCATTAAAACACAAACCAAACACAAAACATTCAATTCATACAATCAATCACATAGTTCTAGCTAGGGTTCACAATGTTAGAGATAAATTAGGAATAATCTTATATTTGCTTGTCCTTCTAGTATAGTTCTTAGTATTTCCGTGTCCTTCTAGTATTGTGGTTCTCTTACTTATTGTCCAAGTCTTGTAATCTATATAAACCCCTTTGTGGTTTCATAATAATACAAGTTACTCTTTTTGGAACTCCTATACACAACACCCAAGTGAAAGAAGAGAACTACTTCATGCCTAGACTAGGGAATACATAAAGAAGAAGAGAAATGACCATCTTGAGATGTTTGCCTTTTTCCTTTGATGTATAAATCAGTCTTGGTGGATGAGATTCCCAAATCTTGAAGCTTGGAGGAAACCCTAGCTTTCTTCTCCTCTCTTGTTCATCACTCTCTCTCTAAAATAAGAGGAAGAAGATGCAATTTTCTCACTAGGTTCTCTCCTTCTTCTTCCAGCTCACTTCCCCTTTTATACCTAGCTCGCGATCGTGATGTCCCTTAAGCACGCCAGGCACAAAAACTTTCCTGGTACCAAATGAATCGAGAGTTCATTTCATTGTAAAATGAATTACCGTGTAGAATTCATTGTCAAATGAAATCTTATGTTTGGTATGTTATATTCAAATCTTTAGAAATAAAATGATGCGTCGTGTTGAATTCATTGTCAAATGAATTCATGTGTTTGGTATCTCATATACTCATATGTTTAAGTAATTTAGTTAATAAAAGAGGATAATCATGTCATTCTATTGTAATTAGTAAATACTTGTGGAATTCATTTGGAAATTCCATGGCAATTCCTCGGAATTGCCATAACTAGTTCCAATTTCGTAGAATTATAAATTTAGAATTGAAAATGAATTCTCTTTAATACCAAACACAAAAATATTTCATTTCAAAATGAATTCCTCAAAACTTATGAAATTCATTTATAGCAAACAATATGTAAGTACAAATTTATGGAATGACATATAGGAGGACAACATTAGAATTCCCCCCTACTTCCTCTATCTCTAGCCGACTCCTCCTCTCTCATTTCTTCTTCGTCTACACTCTACTCCATCAATCTACCATCTCCATCTTCCTCCCTCTTTTCTCACAAAAAATCACCACAAACCCCTCTTTCTCTACCATAAATTCCAATCCTAATATCCAAGGTCCAGCCTATCATGAGTACGCTACAAAAGAACAATATGGGAAACATGGAGTTGCATAGAGCTGTTGTGAAAGAATTGGACGACAGAGAAACTTCCCCAATTTCTATAACTAACAACTGCAATCTCAGAACTCGAGCAGAAGCGCAGGAAAGATATAGGATGGAGAGGGCGGCGACGAAAGTCCTGGTGGTCGGAGGCACGGGTTACTTGGGCCAACACGTACTGGAAGGGCTATCAACGATCGCCGACGATGCCGTTCCTTACGATCTCGCATTCACCTACCACTCCACTCCAAACCCTCCCCCGCTTCTTCTCGCCGGCGTTCCCCAGTGCCTCGCTTTCCACGTCGATCTGCGAACCGGCGACGGACTGGAAACTGTTTCTCGTCGATTCGGCCAGGTGCGGAGACCGTAAAATAATCTTCGATTCAACTTGTTTGTTCAATTCGTTGATTATGGGTTGGGAATTAAATATCGACATTTGCCAGCCTGATATCGTGGTGAACTGCGCTGCGATCTCCGTTCCTCGTGTGTGCGAGAAGGATCCGGATGCAGCCATGGCGGTCAATGTGCCTTCCGCACTGGTGAATTGGATCTCCAGTTTCCAAGATAGGGACGCTCTTCTTCTCATTCACTTATCCACAGATCAAGGTGCGTAGGACTCATTGCTGGCCTGCTCCAAATCGGGTCTGGGGTGAAGTGTTTAACAAAAAAAAAAAAATTGTTTTGGGGTTTTCTGGAGATCAGTTTATGCAGGGGTGAAATCTTTCTACAAGGAAGAAGACGAAGCCGCACCGGTGAATGTGTACGGTAAATCAAAGGTGGCTGCCGAGAAGTTCATATCTGAGAAATGCTCGAATTACGCCATTCTCAGGAGCAGCATCATCTATGGGCCTCAGACCATTTCACCTGTTCCCAAATCTCTGCCAATTCAGGTGAGGTCTGGTCAGCCAATGGAGCATTGTCGGTTTGTTTCGTTTTGAGAGACTGCTGATATTCTGTTTTCACCCGACTGTTGATGGCAGTGGATCGACGGTGTTCTTTCCAAAGGAGAACCTGTGGAGTTCTTCCATGATGAGTTTCGGTGTCCAGTTTATGTGAAGGATGTTGTCACTGTCATCCTGTCTTTGATACACAGATGGAGATCAGGTCAGTTCCAACATCATTTGCTGCAATCTAGCTACCGAGATTGATAGAAACCTCATCCCAGGATAACAAATCTATTAGGCCATTCACCAGAAAAAAGAAATGTCAATGTAGATTCTTTTTGTCTTGTAAGCAAAGAACTCGATGGGCGGCGATGGATCGAACTTCAGCCGATGAATATATATGAATGGGCTATGTCGAGCTCTGAATCTTTAGCTATATACTGCTTGCTTTGACAATTTTAGCGATCTGGCTGTAGAGGGTGACAAGCAAATGAAGCTACTGCTGAATTTGGGTGGACCAAATAGGGTTTCTCGAGTTGAAATGGCTGAGGTTGTAGCAAACGTAAGAGGGTACAACGCATCGTTGATCAAGCCAGTCTCAGCATCATCGGTATGTATACAAACACTGTTGGGATTCCTCTCTGTAAGGTGTATGATGGATTCTTCTATCAGTTAGTTAAACCAGCCCTGTAGCTTCAAGACTTCCTTGCTCAGGTTGGTTTTACTTGTTCTTTGTATTCTCAGGTTGATCGGGGTGTGTCATCTCCAGCTGATATCTCCATGGATATTTCCAATCTGGTGCAAGCACTAGGCATTCGCCCCACTCCTTTCCAAGATGGTGTGAAATCGACTCTTGAAATTGCTTGAAAATGCGTGGAGTGACTACCTCTTGCTAAATCTGTTTGCTGCGCAGTACCAACTAAATGAAACTACAGGCTCATTTGCCGTGTGACGGTGGAGTGTTCCTGAGTTTGTTCTACAAATCCTCCGGAAGTGCTAAATTATCCGACTGATCACTGACTTTACAAAAGTGTTTCGGATTTTGTCATTAGCAAAATTTTCCTACCGCAATAGTCATTAGCTAAATTGTCCGATTGGTCACTCACTTTACATTTATGTTCCCTTATTGCTATTGTCTGTTCAAATTTATCATATGTGACACGTAGGAATGGCAGTGGGGCAGGTCCAGGGCGGGTTTCTTGGTACTCAGACCCGTCCCGTGACAAATCGCATTGAACCACATGTAGTTTGGTTAACCACTAACCGCATTTTGTGGTTAGTGGAGTTTTTAACTCCCGGTAATTAGTCTTCTCATTAAGCTCACTCAACCAACCTAATCAAGTCGCACAAAAACTCAGATATACATCTTACAACAAAACTAACTAAAAACAACTTAGAAGTGTAAATGTAAGTTTTCAATAATACTACTCTGCTACAAAACTTCTTGAAATCGGTTGTCTCCAATTGCTAGTAGTCTAATCTCCTCTCGCAATTGCACGAGGATCACATCCCATGGGTTAGCTTGCTCTCCAAACACACGTCTACAACGTACCTTCCAAACCAAACTGCAAATCCAACACCAAACAACACTAACAACAAGCCTTCTCTACCTTTCTTCGACAGTGCATAGAGCTCCTACAACAGATGCTCCCAATCCGTCCTCCGGCTTCGAAAGGGGCGGCCAAACACTATTGTAAGCAGACTTCCAACATACTCACATTCACAAAACAGATGATATCGACTCTCCTCCTCCTTAGCACACATCACACACACTGCATCAGAAAATTTTCCCCAAGCTTTAAGCTTGTCCCTCGTTACAATACGATTTAAAATGATCAGCCACACTATAACCCTGTTTCTGGGAAGAGTAAACCTGCCCCATATGAGCAGCCACCAGGGAATTGAAGGTTTGTGAACTCTAATCGATTCACAAACCTGCTGCAGAGAAAACTTGCGCATAACCTTGCCTTCTCAGAGTACATTTTGCTGAGTGTCAACTGTCATTCTGTATTGGAACCATCCTCTTAGCTTTAGTAACTGTCGCCAAAGCCAATAGCCTGTTATAGTAGGCTTCAACTCCCAAATAGTTAGTGGTTTGTTGTAATTAGTAAAATTGTAAATTTTTTGGTTAGTTGTTAACCACTAACCACCGTGGTTAAACCATAATAACCACACAAACCACACTTATTCATTGAACTTTTATTTGTATACATATTAGTAAGTAATAATTAATATTAATAAGTATGATTATAAATTTAAGTGGACTTAGACTAAAGTTTAGTAGTTAGCGCATAACAAGTTATTTTTTGTATAGTGTAATAACTTATAGAAGATTCCAACTTCTTATTGAATAAAAGTTATTTTGAATTGGTGTTAATGTTTTTATTGCTCTTTAATAGTTTTATTTGTATTTTATTTGCCCGTGATTTTCTCCACATATTTTATTGCTTTGCTTTTTGTTTATATTTTATTTAATATATCTTCCGTACGTGATATATGATTCTCACTTTTTACCATATACCGGTATATGTCATCCTTTGTATCTCTCTTGATTTTTTTTATTGATAACAAACTTACAAGAAAATATAAATCAATATATGAATTTGGTAAATTGGTTTTTGCGGTGATCCATAAACTAACCGCCCCGAACTGCAGCGGTTAGTGGGTTAACCACTGACCACAGTGGTGCGGTTTGTAGTTAGAGTATTTAGTGAATTGTGATTGTGGTTAACCGCAAAATGTAGTGCGGTTAACACAAACCGCACCGACTTCCACCCCCCTAGCGATCATGACGCGATTAATGGCGATCATGTTCTCGAAGGACACGTCGATTGATTGCTTCATCTCCCGAACACTTCCATGATGAGTTCCACCGTGACGAGCCCCTTCAAGCTCATCGAAACAAACCCAGTCACCTGTGGATAACCAGAACCAGGCTCCGATACCAATTGCCACGTGAAGGAATTCACCCGTCGAAGATCTCTCGAACTCTTCTACCAAAACGACTAAGGAAACGGGACAAAATTATAATATATAGCTACTTTCTACTAAATTACTTGACTTCTCATTCATGAATAAAAACGTAGAAGCAAGGTATATATTTATTGGACCAACCCACGAACCCTCTCCCTTTGGACAAGGTAACCCAATCCCGGCCCAAAAACAATAAGGATGCTTTAATGCATCAGGAGGCAAACCCCTACCACATATATGTCTTCTTTTGGTGTTGTTAATTGAACGTATCTTCTCAAGCAACCTAAGTTTACCCGAGAGAAGAAGAAAAAGAGAGGACGGCCTCAGTTTGTTGCCGCAACTAGCTAGGAGACAGACTGGCAAGTGGCAAGGGATTTGGTTTTGGTGCTCCGCCAAATCTTCATGCATGATAAGGACAGGCTTTTAGTAAGCTTTCCAAGAACAGTCGGTCGTTGATAAACTTGGAATCAGTTCTCACTTTGTGCATGCGGTGGGTTTAATTAGAACATCCATTGTTTTAAGTCGAACCGGCCGGCATCAAGTTCTCTGAGATAAGTCGCAGGGCGCAGGGCATCTGGCCATTAAAGAAACCTGAATAATGACATTTCAGGTCTATCACCAAAAAAGTTCTAATAAAGTATTCAAACTAAATTAATAATTTTTATTAAAATTAAAATTAGTAATTAGGACACAATCAGCAGTACACCACATAAAGCTCGTAAGGAGGGTGAGAAATGAAAAAGAAGCATATACTACACCAATTTAATTTATGTTAACGTATTTTTTTTAATTTTTGTGGTTAAAATTATGAACCAATGGACCGGTCAAACAAAACCTAAATTGTTCATCTGATTGCATGTAAAACCGTTGCGTCCATCGTCCAATCAAATCAACCAAACTACTATTATTATATTATAACTAGTTTAATGATTCTACTAGCCCAATTATTTTCCAATTCAGTTCTTATAACAATGGCTGTAAACCCATAATAGAGTAAAAAATTGTGTTCTCTCCTATAGTAGCAGTCCTTTTTTTCCAAAATTCCCTTCTCCGCGTATTAGGGCTGGAAAACGGTGCGATCTAGTCCAGACCAGACCATATATACGGTCTACGGTCCAGATCGAGAGGCTAAAGTATAGACCACAGACCAGACCACATGCTATACGGTCCGGTCCAGACCACGACTGTGTGGTCTGGTTCGGTCTGGTCTGGTCCAGATAGACCACACTCAACGAAAAATGAATAATTTCTTTAGTCAACCACACAAAAAATTGAACCAATAACCAAAAAATAATAATTGTTATTTGCCTTAAAACATTAATCCTAACATGTATGAATAATTTTGATACTCTAAATCTTATCACATAACAAAGATACAAAGTAAAAGCATCACAGTTTGCACCATAATGTCATAAACATTAACATAATGTCATATGGAGACACGATTATGTCTACTTTGTGGTTAAATGTGGTTGTGAATGAAAGAGGGAAGAGATTCACAAAATTAAGGTTGAGACTTGAGTGTCGTTGTGGGAGTTTGGAGAGTGATCGAATGGGCTGTTAACATGTATTGACAAGTCAGTTGGGTCTACGGTTTGGTCCGATAAACCGCGGTCTAGACCAGACCAGACCAAGAGATCAAATCATAAAATAATACAGACCATACTTCACGGTCTACGATCCGGACCAAACTGTGCGGTACGATTTGGACCACGATTTTTCTAACGGTCTGATCTATTTTCCCAACCCTGCTGCGTATGAACCTCCCCTAGCCAAAAAAAAGAGAGCTAACAGAAAAGCCGCAACCTCCTAAGGCCATGCATGAAACGGTCCAAAGTATCGATTCTGCGGGCATAGAATAATATCTGGGATTTCCTCTCCCTTCCTTCACACTCAGAATTGGAATAATTCTTCCCTATCATTAATACCGTTCGTTCAACGTAAGGCCAATCTTAATTAGGTTAGGTGGGATCCACAAGATAAAACCTTCCCCGTGTACAACCAAATCTTCTTTCGAGAACGTCTGGTTAATCTGATGCCAGGTTGTAAGAACTGGTCCGACAGTCTACAGACTTGAGTCACGGGTCAAATGGTTGGATCGAGTCGAGTCGCTTGACTCAGAATTGACTTTGATTTTTTTTTTTTCTGCCTAGTATAATGGTTATGTCCATTCATTATGCTTCCTTTAGGTCAGATCGACCGGCCGAGTTGTACCTCTTTCTAACAGGTTTGGTCGGATTCGGGTATAAGAGATTTTGGTCGATTATAACCTTAGCAGGGAGCCGATTTTGGTTTTTTTCGGTTCGACCCAGGGTTAACAATTATGATACGGTGTAAAAGGTTTCCTTCCACACTCCCATCAACATCACCAGATAAATCTAAATAAATTCATTTCTTAATATTTATCCCATCGTGAACTATCGATATTGTGAAATTATATTTGAAAATCATTTATTTTATAAATTCGGGAACTGACTAAAAGGTGGACGGCTATTTTTCACCAGCTCAATTATAATTATTCGCCAGTTATTTTTTTAAATTACAAAAATGATGACGTTATAAAATCCTACATCCACAAGTTCACTTCCACCCACAAACACCATATCGGAGTTTGGACAAATCTTTCATTTTAAACAATATAATAGCCAAATCTTTTCGAAAACAATCTAATATTCAAATCGTAAACTTTTCGTACGTTTGACCGTTGGTTGACACTTCAAAAAATTTTTGTTTAGGGGAAATTGTCACAATACAACTTTGTTTTCTTGTTTTGGCATTGCAAATGACTGAATATTTAGATATTCTATACCATCATGGTGGAGTCATGGATTTCTCGGGTTTGGAACCACGATATGTTGGTGGTTTTTCAGAGAAGATATCGATGGATATTGATGAAGCGTCGTACTTTGAACTTTTTTTGAAGTGTCAACTAACGGTCAAACGAACGGAAAGTTGACGATTTGGATATTAGATTGTTTTCGAAAAGGTTTGGATATTATATTGTTCAAAATGAAAGGTTTGGATATTAAATTGCATTTACCCCTAAAAATATTTTTCAAAATTTAAACTTTAAACATAATTTATTTCTATATTATACAAATAATAATCGCAATAAAAACGTATAACCCTAAAAATCTTAGTGTCAGGAAAACTAAGTGGCCGAAACCAGGTCAGACCGAAATGCTTATGGTGAATAATAATTCGTGTTTCAACTTTCAAGTGCTAAGCTTGAATCTAATGAACTTACTATTGGTTTTCGTAATTATGAAATAGTTGGTGTGCAACGATCCCGGCCGAATTAAATTATGAAAAAACATGATTCAATAGTAAAAGACATTTTAGAATATGACCGAATCAACATTACATTTGGTCTTGTTAAAATGTCAATTCGATCCATTTTTTCCTTAGTATTTATAAAACTCAAGACATTAAAGACCGAACCACATTATATTTGATTCGTTATAAATCCATCCAAACACCAATTTGGTAAATAAAGATCGAAATAAGGCGCTCAAAAACCATCCATGAAAATTATAGATGATTATATAAAAAAAAGCGTAATGTCTATTTTTTACCCAAACCTTTTTTCAGGTTCTTTTATATTATCCAAACCTATCGAAATACTAAATATTATCCAAATGTTAACTTCCAGTTAGCAATTTTATTAGTAATATTGACGACAACATGATACTGACTTGAAAGAGACTCATGAAGATCAACATTCTAAAATTTTAGTATTTTAACTAGGAAAAGAGTTACAAAATTATTAACGATTACGTAAAAATGGCTAATATTTTGATACACTATGAAAGATTTGAAAAATTAATAAAATTTTAATAGATTTGAATAATATAAAAGAATTTGAAAAAAATGTAGATAAAAAATAGACATTACCCTAAAAAATATGCTAGAAAATAAACTTAAAGAAAAAGAACCGTTCTGATTCACCACCGCAGTCCGTAGACGAGTTATGAGTTATGACAAATGTTACAAGTCCATTCAACAACCACCACCCGCATTTATATGGATGTCCACGTTACAATGCAGCTCGTCAACACAGTGCATTTACGCATCTCCAGGAATATTGGCAAATGAACAGTTGACCTTCATAATCAAAGCGGTACAAAGCTGAAAGCGTCCTCTATATATATATTTTCCAAAATCAAGATATGAAGTGATAGTCATTCACATTAAAAAAATTTACATCACTCAGTTACCACACGTTAAAAGGCCAAAACTATATTTTCTCACATAACTCAAACCTTAAATATGAATCAATAGAACTTGTTAAGTTCCTTTTTACAAAAGTTGTTCAAACGATCAAACTATGTGGATTTGATCTCGACTATTTGGATATGTTGGCAATCAATAGATTCGAGTCCTACTAATAAAAAAAACTCTTTCTTCACTTTCTAGATTTACATCAATGGACCTCCATGTTCCATATAAATGTACAACCATAATACTCGACAGTACATGTCACGCTCTCCTTCGTTTTCGTCCCAATCAATTTTGAATGACTTATATCTTATTCATTTGAACTTGAATTTTTTTTCATTGAAAATCCAATTCAACAAGATCAATGCAATGATACCCAAGTTGGTGTGTTTTGAAGAAAAATTTAACATCATCAATGATGTATTCACATGCAAGTGATTTATCATCACCCAACTACATTTGATCAATTGTGGTTTGGTTAATGGTCTGATTCTGTAAAAGCAAGCCAGCTACAATTGTCTGCCCCCTACCTAGATAATTTCAATTGACCCATAACGAAAAATATGAAATTCCCATGCCCAATTGTTTTGGTTGAAGTTTCTCTGTTTTGCCAAATGAGACAATTTGACCCTATTGTCTCATTTTGAGGCAATTTGGCTAAATTGCTCAATTTGAAAAACTCATCTAAGCAACTTGATTTCGTCATAGGCTCTACTAAGTAGGCTAACTAATCAACCAAATTTATTTTATATAAAAGGGGCATTGACGCCAATATCCAAGTTAACTCCTAGTATAGTGGTATGTGCAATAACAGATAAAATACATGAATTTGTAACTATTTTGACTCTATGCACTAAAGGGACTTAAATTAGGTAATCATGTGAATCAAAATAATACGTCAATATGACGTGGAATACAGAATTTTAGAGGGGACAATGTCCAGACTACCTCTTGACAAGCCAAACACAACATTACTCATTTGACTAAGTGCTTAATAAGTTATCTAATATGTGAACCATAAACAATGTCCAGTCTACTGATTACACTCACCAATCAATAAAATTTCTTAGATTTGGGAGGGACAATGATACAAATGTTCAGTCTACCTCCTACATGTGCAATAGCATACAAATTAAACGGATTGGTAAGCCATGGTGCAACCGAAGGTGATTTTCGGTTGGTCCATGGTACAACCGAAAAATTGCCTTAGGTTGAGCCATGGTACAACCGAAAATTGACTTCGGTGGAGGGGTTTCGAAATTATTTTGGATTTGTTTGGTTTATATCAATAATTTTCTATTCTTTTTTACTACGATTTATGGTTCGGTCCATAAGATAATTTGTTGGATTTTGATTTATATTTTTGTAGATTTATGGAAGGGGAGGGGTTGTTTGTTTTGTGTTTGATTTTGAAATTCAAAATGGGCAATTCGATAAATTACATATTAAGTTAGGACGATGGTTAGTAATTTTTAAGATGACCTTTAACTATTCCGTTTATTTTTGGTGGCTGACGTGATGCGGTCGGTGATAGCCTGAAAAATAATCTAATTTTTTTTTTTACTATTTGAAGCTCATATTAAATTATTTTTTTTCAGGAGTGTTTTTATTTAATTGACTATAAATAAACTCAGCCAAGCAAGGACTGGTCTACATATTCGTCACTCCACCCGCTACCTTCCTCCCTGTCCCTGATCTCATCTGTTTCGCGAGAGCTTGGTTGAATTCTTGATTGGCGCTGCTCTGAAGGGCTTTTCTGTTTGGGAATTTCTTCCGACTCATTTTCCCATCCTTGTTTGGAGAGGAAGCAGTCTGCTGGCTGGCCAGGAGTGATTCTAGCTTGTGGATCTTGGAATTTCAATTTTCCTGGTTAAGTAAGTGCGACTGTGACGCGGGAACAGGAATGTGGAAGCTCGCGCGACTTGTTGCTGCTTCGAATTTCCGCCGAGCGCGGCCTTTCTCCACCGCCATCCCATTGCCCTGTATCGTCCACAAACGCGGCGCCGACATCCTTCACGATCCTTGGTTCAACAAGGTTCGGAACCTCGCTTCCCCTCTTCCTTGCTTAGCTACACGAGTTTTGTTTTATATAGTTTTGAGGTTGATCGTTATCAGGCCGTTTTTCCATTTCTTATTGCGATTTTTCCGAGTTCTCCAATTTAGCTGGATTGTTGAATTCCAAGGATTTGGGAGATGGTAGTGTTGGTAATGTAGGATTTGGAACGAATTTGAACAGCACTTGCCTTCAGGAGTCCGAGGGTTTCAATGTAGGCGAGAGAGTGCCCCTGGAATACAGACAATCAAAGTGGAGATGGGAAATGATTTCTTGTCTGCTGCTATCTTTGGGTGCAAGAGTTTTGAGGGGGGATAAAGAGTTTGTTCAGGAGGATTTTACCGTTTGGTCTGAAGTTTGTTTGCTTTGTTTAAAAGGAACCCTGGTATAGGCAAACCAGCCTTGTGATCGTTGAAGTTTTCCCCCTCTCGTTGTGTATGTTTTCCCTCCCTTCCCTCCTAATTCACGTATTTCAACCTTTTCTTGTTTTGTTTTGTTTTCCCTTCCTTGTCTTATATTTGAAGAGCAGGATACTGGATTTCCATTAACTGAAAGGGATCGCTTGGGACTTCGTGGTCTCCTTCCACCTCGTGTTATATCATTTCAGCAGCAATATGCTCGCTTCAGTAAGTTACCTGATTCTAATTTCTAAAGTCATTATTAGCCTTATGTGTTGTTCATTGTTCTTTCAATTGAATGTTATATCACTTTAGTCAGTGATAAGCATTCTGCAGCATTTCAGTTACTATCCAGTCTGATGAGTTGATTTATTAGCCATGGCATTACTTGTGCTTTCCAGAGTTTTGTTTTCCTCGTTTGGTTTTGTTTTCTTCGTATTCTTATAGGTTTTGTTTTCTCGAGACAGTGGAATCGTATCGATCCTTGGAGAGAAATACCATGGGACAACCTGAAGGTGTTGTATCATTAGCAAAATGGAGGATCTTGAACCGACTGCATGATAGGAATGAGACATTGTACTATCGAGTATGTGGTTTTCGGTGCTAGTCTATTATAAAATGTGCTAGAAACAGATCCTTTCATAAGTCAAGAAAACCCACATTTCTTATTTCTTTCTTTACAGGTTCTTATTGATAACATCAAAGATTTTGCTCCAGTAATTTACACACCAACAGTGGGGTTAGTCTGTCAAAACTACTCTGGGTTATTCAGGCGTCCACGTGGGATGTACTTCAGTGCAAAGGATAAAGGAGAAATGATGTCAATGATATATAATTGGCCAGCTCATCAGGTACTATAGAATATTTCTGTGAGCACAAAAAAAAAAAAAAAATTGCAAAATGGTTGGCTCGTAATATTTGAAGTTGTCTTTTAAACCATACACTCACCAGGATGAAAGCCAGTGTTTTTGATTGATGAAAAGGCTGAACATATTCCCTAATGATTATTGTAGTCATTTCTTAATCTTTCCATAGATTTGAGCATGAGCAACGTTCCCATAATGAATGCATATGGTTCATATAAGTAACTAACCATTCTTGTCAGAAACAGAAAGATGTTTTACTGAACTTCTGATGCCTCAATCTTGAATTCGGCTCTTCGTTCCAGGTAGATATGATAGTCATAACAGATGGTAGTCGCATTCTTGGGCTAGGTGATCTTGGTGTTCAAGGAATTGGTATTCCAATTGGGAAACTTGACATGTATGTTGCTGCTGCTGGCATCAACCCACAAAGGGTATGTCTCACTTTCTCTCTTCCCCTTTCGTGGTGGTTTCACATTCTTCATATGTACTGTTTTATTTTTGAACAAAACTCCATATATGGTGGTCACACAATTTTGGTACTGGTCATTCATTGGGAGTATGCTGGACACAAAAACACATCCGTGGCTTTGGGACTCTGATAATTGTTTCTTATGCTTTCTTAATTATTTATTTATTTATTCATTGATTGTCCTACACTCTCTTATGTAGCTACATTCACATATATAAGTAGAAATTCTGTTTAAAATTTGTTTATTACCATGATTTCAAATAACCGTTTCAGAATTAATAGGTTCTCCCGATAATGCTAGATGTTGGTACTAACAACAAAAAGCTGCTCGAAGATCCTCTTTGTGAGTGAACTATGTTCCTTGTTATTCACCATTTGGGACTTAAACCTGTTCAATAGACTTCTACCTTTTATTCAGTTTGTAATGTCCTTAAGTTGGCAGATTTGGGACTTCGGCAGCCCAGGCTGGAAGGTGCTGAGTATTTGGCAATTGTTGATGAGTTCATGGAAGCTGTACACACACGTTGGCCAAAGGCTATTGTGCAGGTTTCTTTCTTTTTGAAAGTGGCCTATGGGATAATGCATAGTCTTTTGATACAATTAACTAGATGTTCGTGATTACCTTCTCAGTTTGAAGACTTTCAAGCCAAGTGGGCATTTGAAACACTGGAAAGATACCGTGGAAGGTTTTGCATGTTCAATGATGATGTACAGGTGTGTTTCTCAAAAGTCATGCCTTTTGGCTAAGTGGCAGGGTTTCTTCCTATTGTTGTCTGACCTGCATCTCTTGCAGGGAACTGCCGGTGTAGCACTTGCAGGTTTGCTTGGCACAGTGAGAGCACAAGGCCGCCCATTGTCTGACTTTTCAAACCAAAAGATAGTGGTAGTGGGAGCAGGAAGGTACATGCTCAAAACCGATATGGTAGAAATATAATATCTGTATCATGCTTGTATATATTATCCTTATACTATTCTCCCTTTCGTTTGTGGCTCACAGTGCTGGGCTAGGTGTATTGAAGATGGCTGTACAAGCTGTTTCTAGAATGTCTGGAAACAATGAAACTTCAGCTAAAAAGCAGTTTTTCGTGCTTGACAAAGATGTATTGTCCCGGACTTCTCCCTATATATTTTTTTTTTCTGGCTCATTTGTATTAATGGTTGGGTATACTGTGTGCATTGCTATGTTAAGAAATTGCCATAGATTTTCCAGAAAACTTAAATTATGATAATTTTCATTCTTATAGGGCCTTATCACTAAAGCTAGAAAGAATCTTGATCCAGCCGCAGCACCATTTGCAAAAGAATTGACAGATATTGAGGGGCTTAGGGAAGGCTCAAGTCTGATTGAAGTGGTAAGCTATTATTATTGCTATATGAGGGAAGGTCTCTGTGTTAGATAATTGCAACAGACAAAATGCTTACTGTTAAACCACATTTAACTGTGCTTGAATTTTTGTATAAAGTAGTGTTACCTTCACCTCATGGTGTTGACTAAATGATCGTCAGGTTAAAACACTGAAGCCCCACGTGCTTCTTGGTTTATCTGGAGTAGGTGGAATCTTCAACGAAGAGGTAAAGCCCTTGCTGTATTTGAAGTTTGAACAAGCATGAGAAAATATGATTAATAAACTATTATCCAGACAGATTAGTGACTATGCAAATTACAATTTGGCAGTGGATAATGTACACGCCTTTCTTTATCCCATGTATGTTAGATATGATGTTTTTTTCTTTCTTGTGAAAGAAGATAACTTTCTCCAGTTTGGATGTTTTAATCCAATAACTTCCTGCGAAGAAAATGGTGTTTCTGTAGTGGCTTTCTTCCTGAACTTTTCTGAAAACTGAATAAGTTCTTTTTCTCTGTTTTTGGGCTGGAAATTGTTTGGCTTTCTTCCGTAATCAGGTACTTAAGGCCATGCGAGGATCCGATTCTCCCAGACCGGCAATTTTTGCAATGTCAAATCCTACAATGAACGGTGTGTCTTGGCAAGCTCCATATGTTGCATGGTATATGATGTCACCTAATTCTATTGCTGACAATCTAACTGGATAATCTGTGGAACAGCTGAATGTACAGCCGCTGATGCTTTTAAGCATGCTGGAGATAACATAGTTTTTGCAAGTGGAAGTCCATTTGAAAATGTTGATCTTGGTAATTTCCTATTTCATTGGATCTTTTATAGATTTGAGTAGTCATGTCTTGCAGCTTACTAATCCCTGCATTCCTAATTTATTCGGCTTATTCCTAAATTAATCTATGATCTTCTGCTTCTACGCATTTTCCTTACCTCTATATGTTTATGTACTGTGCAGGAAACGGCAGAGTTGGGCATGTAAATCAGGCCAATAACATGTACCTTTTTCCTGGGTATGGATTATTATTTATAGATGTTTCAGTCATGAGATGATGTTAGAAATTTTGGAAGTATATGTTAGAAATTTTGGATTATTTTTAATGAGGAAGCTTTATAATACCAATAGTAAGTACGAACGGAGAACAGAAATGAAATTATTTATAGATAAGATGAATCTTGGCAGCATTTTTTTACTTTACTATTTTAGACAACGAGTTCTTCTTATAAAACAACTGTGATTTACTACAACCCAAAGTTTCTCCTATTTTCAGAGTTGGTCTTGGAGCACTTCTCTCAGGTGCTCGGCTTATATCAGATGGCATGTTGCAAGCAGCTGCAGAATGGTACGGATTCAATCATTTAATCTCTCACCTTCATGGAGTCCTAATTTGTGAATGAATCAACATCCTTCTTATCTTCATTGATAGAATTGATGGAACTAGTGGAAAGTGGATGTTGGACCATTTTTATCCGTTTGCATGCTGTGTTCCTTGTACCTTGTTCATGGTAGTTGGGTTGCAAAACCACCTTGGTTCTACAAGTTGTTATATCTTGTGCACATTATGATTTCCTCCAGGCTGTGTTCCTAAATGAAGCACACATTAATGGCTGCACATTATGATTTCGCTTGTCTATCTTGTGCACATTTCTTGAAATTTATATGGCAATAATGTCTATGCAGTTTGGCTTCTTACATGACCGATGATGAAATCAAAAGAGGCGTCTTGTACCCATCTATTGACAGGTATTATACCAGACCGTTTTACTATTAGTTCTGTAGATCGGATACTTGGAGAAAAAAACTAGATTTATTTTTTCCAGTTTCAGATGGAAAGCGGTTGGTAGTTAGGTAAATCTTGTAGTTAGAAGCTAACTGCATCATCAACTTGTTTGATTGTATACTTCAGGAGGCTGTTTGTTTGGGATTAGTTGCCCAAACAAGTTATGTAAGTTGTAGTGAAACAAATAGAGCGAGGGATTAAAATTAGTAAATCACAGATTGGGTCTCATCCATATTTGTGTTTTTTTAGTGAAAAAAAAAAACTTTGTTTGTCCTCTTAATTAACCACCCGAACTATGAAGGCTTGAGTAGAAACAAGCAGCCCCCCCTTGTATCCCTAGCTTCGTCATAAGTAAACTGCCAGGGACATGGAAAGCAAGATGATGGTTGAAGTTCTTGATCTTTAATGATTGTTCAATATAAAGCATTGCTCATAACGCAGTATTCGGGACATCACGGCTGAGGTTGGAGCTGCTGTTCTCCGATCAGCAGTGTCTGAAAAGCTCGCAGAAGGACACGGTGACGTGGGGCCCAAGGAGATGAAACAGATGTCAAATGTGGGTGTCATCGTCCTACCCTATGAAAATTTGATTCGTGCTTGATAAGTTCTGGTCATATGGGCTGGCCACAGTGATCAATATGTTGCGACTGTAACTAATTTACATCCGGGTTGCAGGAGGAGACGGTGGAGTACGTTAGGCGCAACATGTGGTACCCTGTTTACAGCCCTCTAGTTCATGAGAAGTAAGGTGTTTCTCACTATGGAGGATGCCTGAATGTGGAAGATAGTTGATGGTATAATTGTTGTCGCATCATTACTATTATGTTGTTGCAAAATGTGGCTGCCGCATTGAAGTTCTGCAGCGCCTGGAAGGAATTTGTCAGTGCTCCCTTTTACTATTGCACGCCTGGGCTGATGATAATTTTGTATCCGAGTTAATATGATTACTACAAAGATATAGGAGGAAGAAAGCCTACTGGAAATGTGAGGCTACCCTCCCGTTTCCTTTCGCACCTCTTCTCTTTCAGTTCTGTTTCGTATCTGTTGTTTACAGGCCTAATGGCGAGGTAGCTCTTCCTAATTCTTATATGTAGAACTACTTGAGTATACTTGTCGTAACTTAAATGTTACATGGAGAGGAAAATCTGAGAGGCAATGTACACGATTTTCTTTTGATTTGTCAAGTGCTTATTAATGCAGGGGCAGAGTCAGGATTCGAAAGTTGGGCGGCCGGGGCAGGGGATTTTTCTTACAAAATTATTGTATGCTGATCAATCGTAATGTTTTTATAAAATTAATTAATCAATTATATTCATGAAAAAGGTTGAACTTAATTTACATATTTAGGAACATAGTTGATGTAGTTTGGAATTAAAAAGATTAAGAAAATGGGTAAATGGCACATTTGGTCACTGAGATTACTAAATCGTGTCATGTTTAGTCACTAGAAAAATTTAATATAAATTTTGGTCACTCGAATTATTGAAACAGGTCACATTTAGTCACTCTCCCGTTAGTTTCCGTCCAACTCCATTAATGGAGTTGGACGGAAACTAACGGGAGAGTGACTAAATGTGACCTGTTTCAATAATTCGAGTGACTAAATGTGACACATTTTAGTAATTCGAGTGACCGGAGTTAGACGGAGGCTAACGGGAGAGTAACTAATGTGACATGTTTCAATAATTTGAGTGACCTAAATTGATATTAAATTTTTCTAGTGACTAAACATGACACAATTTAGTAATCTCAGTGACTAAATGTGGCATTTACCCTTAAGGAAAATGATAGATGATTAAATTGAATATTTGTCTAGCAAAAACTGGAAAACTAAAATGTCTAACGATGTATTTATGATTCTCAAAGGCAGTTTGGTAAATTGAATGCAAACAAGTCAGTGATCAAAAAGAAAAAAGAACTTCCCTGTGCTAAATTTAGGATTAATTGCACTTGATGCCACTTAAGTTCTATCCGATTGCACAGTAATTCCACTTGATTGCAGACACTTAGGTAATATTTGTTGTAACTAAACCACTTTATTCTAACTTTTGCTGCTTCATTATCTTTTTCGTTCCAAAACTTAATGGCTGGTATGAAAATGTAATTTTTCTTGCCATATGAGTCGTCCAACTTAGTTGAGTTGCCACTGTGTTTTAAACGACAACCTTTTGCTATCTTTGTTTTGATTTTGTATCTTTTGTATTGCAACTGAGAATGGCAAGATGAATACAATAAAACAGAGCATTAACATGAAACACGAGAATTTATTTAAACACGACCAACTTGGTTTGGATGTTCTCTTTTTGGAGGGTTGATTTTCTTTCTTGTCAGTTGATATTGAACTTGATCATCTTCTAACCAACTTGGATCACTTCTGGCGATGCTTGGCTGGGGAAGATGGTTTTCTTGTGTGTCTCAGTTTCTTTCCAAAATAAATTCACCCTTACAAAAAAATGAGGAAGTCATGAAATGAAAAGAAAGGGAAGCATGAAAGCTGAAATTGAAAACTTCACTATCATGTAGGAGTTTGATACTTGACAAACATAAAATAAAAAGAGGACTTGATGGACTAAAGTAATAAATTTTGTTGTATACAAGATGTTGGTATTGGTAGTGTCAAATAGAACAAACCAAAATTCTATTGATGATGATATTGGTGCGATTCTTGTAAGTCGCTAAGATATTGCAAGCATTATAAGTTGTTAGAGTATCGCTGTATCATCAATGTTGGTATTGGTAGTGTCAAATAGAACAAACCAAAACTCTGATATTGGTGCGATTCTTGTAAGTCGCTAAGATATTGCAAGCATTATAAGTTGTTAGAGTATCGCTGTAGCATCAAGTAATTTTTTTTTTTTGAATAATCGAGAACAGAGTACCCCAAGCCGATGCAACCATATTTTTATACTATGCAACTCATATACAAGAGCACTTCTTATACATAGTATTCTGACGAGTTGTTGATATGACAGATTGACCACTCTTTGGTTGATCGTTAAGTCTAATACCCAACCAAAAAACGAAAAACATTCTTAACATCGCCCCCAGACTATTTGTTGCTTTTTCCTTTAGTTTCTTTTAATGCAGCTTAATCACCATTATAAAAAAAAACATTGTGACATCGCGACCCTGAACAATTGACATAAAAAACATAAACTATAAGCCCTTTTAAGAGATCATGCCATTTCAGAAAATCGGAACTTCAGAAGTTTTCGGTACGTAGCTAAAAGCCATTCGCCGTAAATCCACCATCGACGGCAATGACCTGGCCATTGATGTAAGAAGCAGCTGGAAAACAAAGGAACGCCACCATTGAAGCCACCTCCTTCGGCTCTCCCATTCGGCTCACCGGAATCTTGTTGAAGAAACCCGTGTATCTTTTCATCATCTCAGGATCCTACAACCCACAAGAGTATTAAAAACATCAAACAAACCGAAAAAGCATTGTTTCTGAAAGGAAGTAGGCTACTTGAGAAAAAGAAAAAAAGGTACAGGCTCTGTCATCGTGGTCCTGATTGAACCGGGAGCCACTGCGTTGGTCCGTATGTTGTCCTTTGCCCATTCACATGCCAAGTTCCTCGTCAATTGATTGATTGCCCCTGTATATACAATATTTTTGAACAAAATCACTAGCTCGAACTTATCGAGTTTTCGACTTGGTAGTAATTTGAAGATGATAACATCCATCCGCTCTGCATTTCCGACTTGGTAGTTATGATACCTTTGGTTGCTGAGTAAACGGATACCATTGGCAAAGAAACCAACCCAGCAACAGAGGAGATGAATACGACACTCCCCTGTTCAGAAGCTTTCAACAGAGGATGTCCCAATTGGCAGAGATGGTACGGCGACTCCAGATTGGTGCCAACCACGCTCGAGCAATCCTCTGATGTGTGATCCAGGCAGCTTTTCATGACGATGCTAGCCGCGTTGTTCACCTATGTGAACAACAATACCACATACATGATAAACAAATTAAATTGACGCGCGCGATTCGATGAATTCGCGCGAGGGAGTGAAAGCGTTTCGGAGAGCGTACGAGGATGTTGAGCTTTCCGTCGAACACTGAAGACACCGTCTCCATGAGCTTCCGTCGGTCGGAGATGGAACTCAAGTCGCAGACGGAGCCGGTGACTTGGAACCCTTTGCTCTTCCATTCCAGCACTCTGTCGTTCAGCTCTTTCGCGTTGCGGGAACACGTGTGCACTCTCGCCCCAAACCCTGCAAGCTCCTCCACGATTGCGTACCTGTAAAAAAACAGAGCAATTTCTCAGATTGAGAGAGAGAAATGGCAGATCAGAGTGATTACGAGAAAGAAAGGCAAGCAAGGATCAATTTGATGTACCCGATGCCTCTGGTTCCACCAGTGACTAGCGCGGTCATGCCATTGAGAGACCATCTTGCTTCTGCCATCTTGTTCTTGCTATTCCCCCGTAATCGAAAAACCTGAAATAGCTTGTTTCAGCTCAATGGGGGTGTTGAATTGTTGAAGGCGGTATAAATACTAAGCAAAGAAGGTACCTTCCAATCGCCCAATTCGTCGCGATTCGATGAACAAAGTGGGTAGACGCCATTATCAAGAAAGCAACAAAGGAAAGACCAGGCGGCACTGATCCCTTCCGGGTTCTAGAGGCCTGTGTTCTTCTTGTTGGAGCAGGGCTACAACATTTCTTTCGTGCCATGAATCTTGCCGATCGTCTTAGCTATAGGAGTATCTATTTGAGAGAAACTAATATTTTATGCGATATCCTGCTGGTAGGGGCGTGCAATGGTCCGGTCTGTACCGGACCAAATCGTTGTTAAGATCGGACCGGACCGGACCGAGTAAAATGCGGTCCGGTCCTTGATCCTCATAAATTTTATAATTACTGAAAAAATGGTGGACCGAGCTCATATTTGGACCGGACCGAACCGGACCAAATGGACCAAATGCAAGAATGGTCCGGTCCTTGGTCCTAACATGTCTTTCACTAATGGACCGCGGTTCTCATGAGTTTGGTCCGATCCTGACCGAACCGAACCGTTGCACACCCCTACCTGCTGGACAGAAACGAAGTTATTTTTTAGGCATACTATTAGCAATCTATACTGACTTTGTTGTGTTAGGTGCTAACATTTTTTTACATAGCACCATGCTAATATTAATTTTAGCTATCAAGAACATTTTGTTTTGATGATATTTTTTCTTCTTCAAAGGATTGACCACAAGTAGGGGTGGGCATCGGTTCGGTTCAGAACGAACCGAAACAGAGCATACCGGATCCCCGAAAGTGTCAATGAGGGCAACCGAATTTGAACCGAATTAAATACGGTTCGGTTTTAACACACAAACCCGAACATTTATAAACCACCACTCTCTCTCCCATATACCCTAACCCTCCCTGTCTTCCCATTTCGGTCGAATATCTCTCTCTCCCCTCTCCAACAAACGCAGTTGATGCAGAGCAGAAAGCGGCGGTGCTGCGGTGGTATCTCCTCCGTCTCGCGACTGACCGGCGAGTAGAAAGCAGTGGTGTTGCGGTGGTATCTCCTCCGTCTCACGATCCAGCGACAACGGCGATTGATGTAGAAGTCAGAACACAACGTAGCGACAGGCGGGTATTGAATGTTAGAGGTCAGTATGGTTGTAGATCCAAGCATGCATGTCATTTTTCTGTTTGATTTTCACCTTCGAGTTTTCAAGCATCGTCTCTCTTTTCGATTCAGGTATAGAAAGCTTCGATTTTGGAGAAGAAGGGGTTTTGGTCGAATACCCCTGGTTTCCGAAACAAAGGGTTTTGGCTTTCGAATCCCGAACCGAATAACATTATTTCAGTTTCGGTTCGGGTTGATTCGGTTTGGTTTGGGTTTACCGAACCGGATGACCATTATACTTGATGACCACAAGTATAATGGAAGGACACGCTTGTCATTATCAACATTTAAGGGCACACACATTGATAAGAGCACGGATCCGGTATCCGTAATGATTAAAGGATTTTAGGATTTTTGTTTTGGGATATGGTGGAATTGAAAGTGCAATCTCAACACAAAGATGAGAGAAGGCTCTAAATTTATAAAAAGATAGAATCTCGATCACAATCAAGAGAAAATTTGATTGATACAGAGAACAATTCTCAAGCCTAAAGCTCAAAGAACCGATAAAATAACCAAAACAAACAAGGAAAAAGATACTTTTGTCCGCCCAGGCCCGATCCTCGATCTGGGGTTATCGCTCACTCGACCGAGGGCCCTTCTGCCTTCAATCCCCGGTCGCCTCTCACATTCCTCGGTCGGGGAATTGCCTGCTTCCCCGGGGATCCTCCGTCCACTTCCTTGGTTCCTCGCGTGCTTCCCCAATCAGGGATTTGTACCAGGTGACAAGGATCGACCTTCTCATCCGCCCTGCTGGTCACGCTGGGGCTCACATCAGTCCCTCCCCGTTGGAGAAGTTTTGCCCTTAAAGCTTGTGTCTTCCTGCAAGAGATAACATCAACAAAATTTCCAAATGAAGTTCTCCTTAGCGCAGTCATCATGTGCCCTAGAGCCAAAATATGAGTTCACTTCCGCCTTCCGATTTCGAACCACTTCCATTTCCTGTCTCCCTTGTGCAATTCAGCTCCATATGTTGTTGATCGGCTCGGACTTCAGCTGGTGATAGTGGATTCAGCAGAAACTTCTGATCTCCTTTCTTGAACTGGTAGCTATTGTGCCTTCCATCATGAATAACCATTCGGTCATATTGCCATTGATGACCCAATAAGAGATGAACAACCTGCATTTGAGGAACATCAAATCAAATTTCATCTGCATAATCACCGATATGAAAACAAACCTTAGCCTTCTTGTTGACTTTGATAGCTCCATAGTCGTTTAATCAATGAAGGTTGTAAGGCTGCGGGTGCTTAATCGTACTTAGTCCCAGCTTCTTGACTGCATTTAGACTAAATACATTGGTGCAAATTCCAACATCGATGACCACAGATAACACCTGCTCGTCAACCAAGCAATGAGAGTAGAAAAGATTATCCCTCTGCTCTATCTCTATACAAGCTTCAATATATAAAGCTCTACGGTTTACTCCAAGAAGCTAATCTGTCGCGGAGCTTCAATAGTGATGTGATCATCAATCATCATCATTAGAATCGATGTCCATCCCCATCAGCTTCTCTTCCTCCTCCTCCTCCTCCTCCTCAGCAAAGTATTCTCCATCTCCCAGAACTAGAGTCTTCTTGTTGGGGCATATGTTGCTTTGTGACCTCGTCCAAAGCACTTGAAGAATTTGATGCTTCTAGCCGATCCTTCATTTATGGCTTGGATGGTTGGGACTGTGTTCCTAGCAACTGGCTTGTCACCTTCTTGCCTAGGGTGATTCATAGTAGTCTCAAGAATGTTCTCTGCAACAGGTTTGTGCGAAGGGGGGCACCTTCTTCCCGAGTTCACCTTCTGTTGCCTCTCTACCTACATAGCCAAATGAACCACTTCATCCAACTCCACAAACGGACAAAGCTAAAATTCGTGCTTGATCTTCCCGTTGAGCCATGTAGGAAACTAGCAATCGTGCGTTCCTTGTTCTTCCTCACCTCTGCTTTCATCAATAGCAGCTCCAGCTCGTTGAAATATTCATCAATTGATCGTGCTTCTTGCCGAATTCTCTACAAGGCATCATGAAGATATCTTTAATAAAAAGGAGGCACGAACCGATCACGCATCAAGCCTCTGAGTTCCTCCCAAATAGAAACAGCAGGTTGCATATTCCTTCTTTGTCGAAGCTGAACCTATTCCCACCAAACTGCTGCATAATCTATAAGCTCATAGGTGGCTACAAGAATTTTCTGATGCTTTGGGTCAGGATTGCACTAGAAAAACATAATCACCTTCCTCTCCCAATCAATATAAGCTGACGCACTAGCAAATCCTAGAAATGACGGGATTGAGCGCTTAATCCCTCAAATCGGATCAACGCCATAACCTCATGTTTCTGGTGGTCTTCCTCCAGGGCTAAGATCAGGTGACTAAGGGGGGTCCCTTAGTCACATGAGTAAGTCAATCTCAGCCTTTGAGCCTCATTTAAATCCAATGGCTCTAATTAATTCAATTTAAAAAGGGTAATGTGGTAATTGCAAGATTTTTATATTTTAATTACTAAACCATTATATGAAAATTAACGCCGCGTCCTTTTCCCTCCCCAACAATCATGTTTCTGGAACTCCGACACCGGTGGCTTTTACCGGCGGGCTGGTTTTTTTTGGGCTTCTCCGTACCTTTTTATGGAGTGTGGGAATTCCTCCCAGTGGCTTTTGTGGAGAGAGAGAGAGTGAGAGAGAGAGAGAGTTCCAATGATTGGGAATTTCGGCGACTATGCCTTTTGTTATGTTTGTGGGACTATTTTGTAATATTTGTAAGTCTGGTTTGTAATTTTGTATTAATTCGGTTACTAGCTTGTCATTTTTATCTATTATGTTTGTAATGTTTATATGACTAATTTGTAATGTTTGTTTGTTTTGTATACTTTGTATTTATTGATTTGTAATTCTAGTTTATCGATTTGTATTATAAGTAGTAGCTTTTTGTACGGTTAGTATGGTTTGTACTGTTTGTCAGTTTATTTTGTAATGTTAGTGCTTTGTTATTTTTGTAATGTTTGTTGGTTTATTTTGTGATTTTTGTTATTTTTGTTCACCATGTTTGTCATTTTTATCAACCATGTTTGTAATGTTTGCATACTTTTGATTTGTATGCTTTGTATTATTGGTTTGTACTATAAGTAGTTGTAATTTGTACAGTTAGTATACTGTGTACAATGTTAGTATTATTTGTCTACTTTTATGCTATGGTTTGTATACTTTGTAATATTAATTTGTATACTTTTATGATGTGGTATGTATACTTTTATAATATTTAGTAGTGATATTTTCTGTTTTTAGTAACCTTTGTATGTAATGTTTACATGATTTATATACTTATATCTTGTGGTTCTAATACTTTTTAATATTGTTTTGTACACTTTTATGATATAGTTTGTATACTATAACTATTGATTTGTAAAGAAATTCAAATCGATTTGTATGGTAAGCAATTGCATTTTGTATACATGGTAATACTAGTTTGTACATATTTATGATATGATTTGTACAATTTTATATTTTGATTTGTAAATAATTGATTTTTGCATTTTAATTATAATGTTTGTACATAATGTATTTTTACTTTGTATATTTTTCTTGTACCGATTGCACATTTTTTATATTACTTTGTGATTTTTATTATTAAAATAGAAAAAAGCTAATAAAGAAAAGAAACAAAGAAAACCCACGTGAGTGGGATGTTTAAAAATGATTAATAAAGAAAAGAGCAGAATTATTAAAAAAAAAAAAAAAATGAGACGTGCATTACACTTACAGCCCGTGAGCGGGAAATGAAGGGAAAAAAACAAAAGTGTAATTACTTTTTTAAAATACAATAACTATGCTTTTCATTAATTAAATACATCTTCTCATTTTTTAGCCATTAGATTAGAACATCTAGATCCAAGGGCTACGAGAGCCTTAGTCACTTGAGTAAGATTGTCAAACCTAGGGATGACAATAAAACCCATGGCCGCGGGTATCCGACCGCCCCCGACCCAGTCAACGCGGGGAATCCCCGCTTTGACCGGGTATGGGGCGGGTATGGGTAAAATCTGCAAAAAGTTTGATGGGTATGGGGCGGGTATGGTTTTGACCTCCCCCGCCCCATACCCATACCCATACCCATACCCATACCCATACCCATACCCGCCCCACCAAGAGAATTTCCTCACATATAAAAAAATATGTGGATTAAATTGTAATCTATCAATGGCGATGAGGATAACTCAAGGAAATAAATAGTAGAAATGCAATTGAGTGACCATTTTAATCAAAATCTAATTCATTTCCCTCAATTCCCCTTTCACTCTTTCACTTTTCCCCTTGTCTACAAGATTATGTTAGTTAATTATTACTTAGTAGATGTATAATAGTTAGAAGATAATATTTTGAAAAATATTATACTCTATATTATGTATTAATGGATGTTTTAGGATCATATACTTTGAACCGTATTAAGAAAATGATCGTGTTTTGTTGACTTCATGATATAATAGGTTCGTTTAGAGTAATAATTAAAACTTCTTTTGTAAATTTTAGGTATAATAATGTTGGATGTATGGGTACAAGTATTACCCATGGGTACCCGAAACCCACGGGTATGGGGATGGGTTTGCAAAACATTCCCCCGCATGGGTATGGGGCGGGTATGGGTTTGGATATTTGAAGATGGGGATGGGGATGAGGATGGTTTAGACAAACCCGCCCCATTGCCATCCCTAGTCAAACCGGTTTATGCCAGTGTGCCGGTTTAGCAAGTGGAATGGTTCGACCGGTGGCACATACCGGTTTGTGTCGGTTCATGCCGGTCAATATTACAAGTAAAATTATAAATACTCATTTTAAACATGACATTTAACGTCAATACCTAAACATTTATACTTGAATCCAACAAATAACATCAATATTTAACATTTATACTCATAAAATAAATAATAAAATAATTTTTAACAATTAAAGTCACTAAAATAAGGTTATTTTACTTAGAGATTCGTATATCGATCATGTCGGTCATACCGGTGGTGTCACGCCGGTTTTATGACCGGTACAGGTTGAACCAGGTACAACTGGTGGCACGCCGGCCAGCGTGACAATCCTGCACTTGACTAAGGACCCCCCTAGTCATAGGATCCGCTCTCCTTCCCCCATACTCATGGTAATCATTCTTATAATCATTAAAGGGAGGTCTGTACCGCGAGATCGCCTCTGCATCTGCCAATATGTGGTCTAAGGAACTCGATATGCTCTTGTACCCTCTTGGTTCTCAACTACAATATGAGCCATTACAGTCAGAGTATTCACTGGTGGGTTACCCATTGGTTGCGTCTCCAACCTAGTGATTAGGGTATCTAGATGCTTATTAGTCTCAACCAGCTGACCTTTGGTAACGTCCTACGGGCCTGAACCAAGGCTCCCATCTGCATAGCTTCTGGAAGACTCTGTTCTCCCATGGCTTGCTCGTCGATTAGGGCTTTGTCCTCTTCTTTCTTGTGGTTTGCTATGGGGTCTTTGGATATCGTACGAGATGAAATAGATCCTCTCACCTCACCTTCATTTTCGCCACTATGTTGAACCGGGCTCTGATACCACTTGATATGAACACAGATTCGGTACCCGTAATTATCAAAGTTACGCAGCTTCAAGATTGAACAAGAAAAGGGATTTTAGGGGTTTTGTTTTGGGATATGGTGAAATTGAAAGTGCAATGTCAACATAAAGATGGGAGGAGGTTCTAACGATATACAAAGATAGAATATCCATCACAATCAAGGGGAAAACTTGATTGATACAGAAAACAATTCTCAAGCCTAAAGCTCAACGAACCAAAGAAAATTCAATATCATGCAAAACTAACTCAAAATTCGTGTACTTTTGTCAGCCCAGACCCGATCCTTGGTCGGACACCCTTCAGGTCCCCGATTGGGGGTTATCCCTCACTCGACCGGGGAACCTGATGCCTTCAATCCCCGGTTGCCTCTCACATTCCCCGATCAGGGAATGCCTCTCTCGCCGGGGATCCTCCGTCCACTTTCCTTGTTGCTTGCTGCTTCCTCGGTCGGGGATTTGTACTCGGTGATCGGGTATTGAACTTATAGAACCAAGGATGAAACCTCGGTGTGAACGGTGGATAGTATCCATTGAAATGAGCTACGAGCTTATTTCCCCAGATACAATAGCCTAAATCATTGTTGTATGTGTCATATATAAACCAGATTATGTTGGATCCTATACCATTCTCTAACACGCCCCCTCAAACGAAAGCCAATCCATGGGCTTGAAGTTTGTACAGGCGAACACACGGCCACTTGGATCAATCCGTGATCTGCACCCTTCAAAATCGAAGGAAAATGGCCTTTCAAAAAAATCGCATAAAAATTACGAAAATGCCCTCCAAAAAAATTTGATCAAATTTCCGCCCAAATCGGCCATTGCTAGACTTCATCATTGGTGGAGAGTACCTTAAGGCCGAATATGGGATCCATCGCCTTCAAAATCCAAGGAAAATGACATTTCCAAAAATTCGCCTGAAATCGGTAATGGTACCCCTTTGAAAACTAGCAAAAACTGCCTCAGAAATTTTTCGCCCGAAGCGCTGTTTAATAGACTTATTCATCCTCAGGCTGAATCCGTGATCTGCACCCTTCAGAATTGATGGAAAATAGTCTTTCAAAAAAATCGCCCGAAATCGGTGATGGTACCCCTTTGGAAACTGGCAAAAATTGCCCCAAAAATTTTCCGCCTGAAACGATGTTTAATAGACTTATTCATCCCTAAAGAATAGCCTCAACCTGAATCCGTGATCTGCACATTCAAAATCGAAGGAAAAAGGACTTTCGAAAAAATTGCCTAAAAATAAAGAAAATACCCTCCACAAAAATTCGACCAAATTTCCGCCCAAATCGGCCATTGCTAGACATCATCGTTGGTGGAGAGTACCCTATGGCCGAATATGCGATCCATCACCTTCAAAATCCAAGGAAAATGAAATTTCCAAAAAATCGCCTGAAATCGGTGATGATAACCCTTTGGAAACTAGCAAAAACTGCCCCGAAAATTTTTCGACCGAAACGCTGTTTAATAGACTTATTCATCCCTAAAGAATAGTCTCGTGTTGAATCCGTGATCTACACCCTTCAAAATCGAAGGAAAATGGCCTTTCGAAATAATCGCCAAAAAATTACAAAAATGCCTTCCGGAAAATTTCGACCAAATTTCCGCCCAAATTGGCCATTGCTAGACTTCATTGTTGGTGGAGAGTACCCTAAGGCCGATTCTGCGATCCATCGCCTTCAAAATCCAAGGAAAATGACATTTCCAAAAAATTGACTGAAATCGGTGATGGTACCCCTTTGGACCCCTTTGGAAACTCGCAAAAATTAGCCCGAAAATTTTCCGTCTGAAACGCTGTTTAATAGACTTATTCATCCCTAAAGAATAGCTTCAGGCTGAATAGGTGATCTGCACCCTTCAAAATCGAAG